GCATTCTCAACTAATGCCGTTAATAAAAATGCGACCCGCCGCGAGCCGCTGCTCCTTAGCGTCCGTATCGTCCTCTTTTTTTCCTCCGGTGTGGGCGTTGCGCGGAGTGCGTTTCTTTGAGCCGCTACCACCGCTACTTCGGCTTGCGATTGGCGTGTTTAGCCGTTGCTTTTATCTGTAGCCCGTGGAGCTTCGGTATAGCCTTTTGTTTTTTTGCTTGTGAGGACTTTGAGACTCGTTTTAGGGAGCAACTCGGTGCGCCCAAGACTGCCCAGCTGTTCCTCGAAAGATGTCGAGTGCAACTTGTAGCGCTGTGGGCTGCTCAAACAACCCTGTGCGCAACACGGAGGTGCTTTTTCACAAGTGTCCGACGGACCGGAAATTGGAGATTGTGGGGATGAACGCTGTTCGATGAGTGGACTTTGGACTTCGGCTTTTACGCACCCAAGGAAAAAAGACCGAAAAGCAGTCGTGTTCAGCCCAGCACACGTGTGTTCGGGCGCCGCGTCCCGCGCCGGAGCCTCAAACCTTCGTGTCTGGGACTGACCCGCAGCGCGAAAGCGAGAGTGCCCCCAGTACTGTACGTCACTGGCAGCGCGGCGTATAAGGCAACGCCGCTCCATCCACGGAGCCCAGAGGACAATTTTAGCGACAAGTACGGAAGACCACACACACGGCGACAGCCGCCGAGTAAGGCACCGAACGAGTTCACTTGTTTTCCAGTAGCTAGCTTTTGGGCATACAAGCGACGAGTACGGCATAGCGCACGCACGGCGGTGGCCGCCGAGTACGGCACCGTACGAGTTCACGGGTTTTCCAGCCGCTAGCTTTTGGTTATACGCACTAGCTCTTGCTACATATGGTCGATGACTACCACGTACGTATACAGAATTAAAACAAAATCAGCTTGCCTCCTATCTTTAGACGGCTAGCGCAACAGAGGTAGGTGGCGCTCGGCCTGCGTACTCGTTGAACGAGAACGATCGTGACGTCACGTTCACATAGCGGCTGATTTACCAGTGTTGCCGGGGCCTCGAGCGGCTAGTTTCGGTTTTGTTGGCCGCGCCCCAAACAAAACTTTCAGGCGTCGATATCTTTAAAACCACGCACAATAACGAGAAAAAAATTACACCTTGCAATTCAGGGACGCTGACTGCACTAAAAACAGTCATAATCCAAAAATCGAAAGTATGTACCGGAGTTGCCCTTTAAAGGGAAGATGGGGCACTTCTACATTTGAAAAAAAAAAAAAAAAAAACCGCTTGAATTGCGTTCATTTGGCCTTTCGAATAACAGATATCAAAATTATATTTCAATGCGACGCGCCGGAGAGCCATACGAGCAATTTCAAAATAGGACTGAAGCCCCGCCTCCCTAGCCTTGGGCAGCCACGTCACGTACAGCGACTGTCTTACGCGTTTTTCTCACGTTTAACAATACTTACGCAGCAAATGGTTTGGGTATTCGGGTTCACGGGGTAAAAATACACTAAAACTCACTTCTAACTCATTTTTTCCAAGAAGCTCCGTAGCTTCCCTTTAAGTGCGCTACTAGTTTTCTCACGCGCTCAATGTCTTTCTGAAAATGACTGATTTAGTGGTTTTCAATAACGCTCAGCAACTTTCTAATTGAAAATTTACGCCGATTTCCACTAATTTAAAAGCCAATTAACAAATTTTAATTAATTAGCTGGCTAATTAGTATCTTTTTAACAATTCCTGACGTCCGCCGTGGCTGGTAGTTTGTTCCCGAAGACAGTTTCTTTCTTTCTTTTTTTCTTCAAACGCCCTAAATTTTTAGGATTTTCGAGTCTGCAAAAACGCCCGGTATAGGTGACATTCACTTGACGTCACTCGCTAGGTTCGCTGGCATCGCCCACCACGGTCGCCATCTTCGAGGTCTCTTGCTATCGCGAATGCCATCTGGCAGGACCTTTTGACCGTGGTTTAGCAGCATTTTACAACTTTAAAGGGTCTTTTTGACCGAAACTAGGGGTTATTCTTATACTTTGGTGCTTTTGAAGCGCTGTGGGAGTATTTTTTGTGTGTTTTAGTTCGTTTTTGTCGCTATCGGACTCGTTTACCGCTGCCGCGTTGCTCCCTCGGCTCCATGAAGCGCTCCGTGTCGCCCGCCGTGCCGACGGCGGTAGCTCTTGCAAGGACTAATTTTTCTACTTCGGTGCTTTTGTAGCACGGTGTGATTACACTTTGTTTTGTTTTGCTAGTTTCTTTATTGTTTTTCTCTAGCGGATTTTCTGTACTACGGCCGTGTAACCGTGTTGCTCCATCGCCGCTGTGTCGTACATACGTCTTGCCTTCGGTGTTCGTTCCTGTGCAGAAACATACCGTGCGGCTCACAGAGTGCGCAGCTTATGAAAAATGCGGCGCATTTTTCATTAGCCAAAGCGATTTAAAAACCGCATGTAAGCGATTTGGCGAGCGGGAAGACAAGCGACGGCGACCCGCTTCGCTGCCGCTCGGTCACTCGCGCGACGAGGCGAACCGCATGAAAGCGACGGGAGCACACGACCAAGGCGATGAGCGCTAAGTTTTCCAGAAATCCCAAAACCGAGCTACGCGACGAGTGACAGTGGAGGGTGAACCGCATGTAAGCGATTTAGCGAGCGATGGCGACAGCGACGGGAGTCGGCGACGAGCGACGGAGATTTCTCGCGGTCGGTCGTCGCGTCGCTCGGTTTTTGGATTTCTAGAAAGGGTCGCTTATCGCCTTGGTCGCTTGCTCCCGTCGCTTTCATGCGGTTTGTCACGTCGCGGGAGTGACCGAGCGACAGCGAAGTGGGTCGTCGTCGCTTTTCTCGTCGCTCGTCTCGTCCCGTCGCTCGCCAAACTGCTTACATGCGGTTCAGCCTTGACACACAGTGCTCGGCGGCAACAAGGAAAACGGCCCGCCCCCGAGACCAACTTTTCTTCTATCTTCTGTTCAACAAAGCTTAAAACGATATGAAATTAGCACACACTAGCAGCCGACGACCGCGTAGCGTATACCCAGGCGACCCAGGCCAGTCAAACCCGAGACTGCCGAGACCTCGAAGATGGCGGATCGACGGTGGCAAAATCGAACCTGCAGGGTCAGTGAATACGAGGGAAATATATTTTACATAATTAACTCTTTTAATATTGTGTTTAAGGGCATGCTTTCAATTAGAAAATTGCTCAGCAACGTCGAAAAACACTAAATCAACAAATTGCAGAACGATAGAAGGCACGCGAAGCATTTTACGGCTTTCTGAAAAACCGCGCAAATTCGACGGGTTTTTTAAGTTTCGGTTTGCTATCGGAGCGCATCTGCTGGGCCCCGGCGGCGCCGCGCCCCGCGGAAAGATAGTGCAACCATGCAGCCTCTGCTGCGTCGCGCGATGACAGCGCAGTACTTCTACTTCTAACCTCCTTGGGCAGACTTGTGCGTAACGCGTTACAAGTAATGGATTACTTGTAGTCGGTTACATTTTACTGTAATTTTTTAACCCTTCATTTACTTCGTTTAGGGAGTAACGATCCTTGTAATTGAATTACTTTTTTTGCTGCAGTCGGTTACAAAATTACCCATTACACTTTTCCCTCTTTTTCTTTTTTTTTTTTTTTTTTTTTTTGAGGGGGGGGGGGGGGAGGGGAGGTTGATGTGCTAGAGCAGGGGTGGCCAAACCGCGGCTCTTTGCTGGTCCAACTGCGGCTCGCAGATCCCTCGTAAGGGGACCCCCCCCCCCCCCCCCCCCCCTTTCCCGTATTTTCCCAGGAAAAAAGAAGGGATTTCAGGCAGAATGAAGTACGGCTGGCGGTTTGGCGGCCTTGTACCTCCATACGTACTGTCGTACAGCCTTGTGCACTCATACGTACAGTCAGACTCTAAACAGAATTTAAACTTGCGCCCCCCCCCCCCCCCCCCCCCCCCCCCCCCCCCCCCCCCCGTGGCTCTTAGAAGTTTCATGGTTTCACTTGCGGCTCTTAGGCCTGGTCGGCCTGGCCACCCCTGTGCTAGAGTTACTCAGCTCTGGGCAACGGTATTTTTTTTTTTTTTTTTTTTTTGTCGAAACCATTAAGCACGGGACCTCGAGGATTAGTAGGCCACTTCACCATGCTTCGTTTCCTGGCCACTTGTTTTTCTTTTTTTTTTTTTATATATATTTTGGAGGTTACGTTCGGGTATGTAATTAAACAACGCTCTTTTTAATTTTTTTCTTCTTTTTTTTTTTTTTTTTTTTTTACGAGAGGGATTGGTTGTGTTGGCGTCACTCACTAAGCTCTGAGCAAAAACGGCCAAGGCTTTCTTTTTTTTTTTTTTTTTTATAATACCCAAAAAAAAAGTTTAATGAAAAGTAAAGTGGCAAGTAATCGGTTAATTTAGAGTAATTTTTCGATTACTTTTTGTGGCTGTAATTGTAATTGTAATCGGTTACAATCGGTTGCTTGTTTCAGTAACAGTCTGCTGCAAGGTGATCGTACCTCACCACCGTAAGTTTTTCTTCAAAGCCTGTGTCACACTGCTTATACATCATACAAAAAAACTGTCTGCAAACAGATTCAAACACGAGTCACCACGAGATCTGAGCTTCGAATGCCGCACGGCAACGAGTTCAAGGAGACACATGGCACGCGAATATTAAAAGGGCAACACGGACTTTACTATATATAGTATCAAGCCTTGTGCTCAGGCTCATAAAACTACGCCAAACAATTAACGTGCAAACAAAAAAGCATTATGATCATTTTTATTTTAAAAAAATCAGATTTTTTTCTTTTTTCTTGAGTTTTATATTTGCTACAGATTGCAGGCGCGCTTGTAGCGCTAGCCGCAACATGTCCAGATGAAGATCTCAAATTTAATAATTAAACAAGCATCACAACTTGTCTATCTACGTCCCCAGAGCAGCTGTTCACCGTTCTGCCACAATACACAAAAATTTGTAAGTAGAAGAAAACATACTAGGTAGCGCAAACTACCGCCCAATATAGGCTCCAAGCCTGAGAAAGAAGCATTTATCCATCCATTCATTGTTCCCCGCTCCCTGGACATGCTGTTTGGTTGCTTCGGTTGTGAATCAGAAAGTTGAAGCTTAACCAGCTTAATTGCGGTGATATCCACCAACTGGTTGTGGACCAGTTTTAATTCATCGTCTTAAGGACGCTATGTTAGCGAGGCATGTGGAGCTCCTGCGGGCCGCGTATCGCTGCCTCGGTCATAGCAGCGTGCGCTCGCAGACGTTATGCTCGTCGTCTGCACCAACACGCAGGGACGGAGACGTCGAGAAGGTGAAACGCAACATCGAAAACGGGCCGTCGCTGCAGCATTTCATCGCAAACTCGCTCAGCGAGAAGCAGAACGACCTGACTGAAGGTGCAGAAGCGCCTCATCCCTACGTTCGAGAGCCGGACGTGCGAGTGCGGAACAGGAGCGGTGAGCAAACTCGATCACTACAGTCGTGCGAACTCTCCCTTTTCCTGTATGAAGTCGCGTGGGTGTGGCAAGAGTGAACCCGAACATTCCGTCCAGGAACGAAGCCATGTTTTGCTGGCTGCACTGAGCTAGTGTGACTAGCTAGAGTATTATATACACCATTTTGTCGTAGGTAGCGTCATTTTAAAAGCGAGAGAGAAGAGGGGAAATGCCGGTGTACCTGCGCTTTCCTTCTTGCTGGTGCGTTAGAAAGAGAACCTCCCGGATGAGAGGCTTCGCCAGTGTTGAGTGTATGCATTGCCCTTCGTGCTTTCTTCTCTGTTTTAAACTCCCATACTTAATTAGAGCCGCGGGCTTCGATGGCGACAGTCCTTCGGTCATTGGGACACCATTGCGACGACAGAAAGCGTTGAATACTGTCCGAAGACCTACGTAGCTTGCACAGAATCAGACAAGTGCGGCTGTAATTTCTTGCTGCAGAATACTGCAGGGAAAGATAGAAAGCAGTGAGCTGCCTTCGATCGTTCCCTGCAGTATTCTTATTTCGCGAGTCCTTGTTCACATTATATTTAATTGTTGTGGACGACACAAATTGTCAAAAACATTCTCAGTGTACTGCATCTAAAACGACAAAAAACTTGAAAGAAAATTCAATCAATTCTATCGCTGTCAAATGATACAATATTTGGAGTACTTGCCTCTGATTTCTGTCGGTGGCGTGTTCAGTGTCGCACTTCTGGCATCATTGCACTGGCGGATGCCATAAATAGGGGCAACAAATATTCTCTGTGAGTTGAAAAATGCTATCCGTGGCACACAGAAAGCTCCCGAAGTCAGATACCCAGCACTTTGGAGCACACAACCAGCCCACACAACGTGGGAACGGCGCCCAGAAGAGCCCTTTCGCCAACGTTTCTAACCAGTCAGCATGGTTGCGGAACCTGATGCTCTCTGGATGGTGAAGGCAGCTCACTCTGGTTTGAAGGTGTTTATAAATATTTTATTTCAGGATCCCGTCTTGACAAGTGTGCCTTTTGTCGAGAACTGGAAACAGCAAAGTCGAGATGGGCTTATTGCCGGAGTGAGTCGATCAGTGATTCAACAATTCGAAATTGATGCATGAGCATATTTCAACTTGCAGCAACAGAAATTGAAGGTTCCTTTCCAGCTACATTATGTACTAATTTTCAAAATAAGAAGAATTGAGTCGCGTTGTGACCGTCAACATAGGTTCACGGCTCTCTGGTATCGCGCAGGAGATCGCAATTCAGGAAAATCGATAGAACAAACTTCTTGACAATTTCCAGCCACACCTGGCGGCAGAAATGAGTCTTCACCTAAGTGTTGTAGATGACAAAATCGAGTCAGAGTCACCATTCCAAACATTACAATATTAAGATAAACTCAGTTACAAAAAGTTTCAAGCTGAAACAGCAATTATCACAAGAAAACTTGCATGCACCTTGCAAACGACCCCATATTCATCAGCGGTATACAGCGTTCGGTGCGCGCTCCATTTGCAAAATGTTCCGAGCATAGTCGAGAGGATGGTGTTAAGGAAAAGTCTTTTCGGTTTACGGAAACAACCCACTGCAGCCGAAGATCAGAGTCGTGTGGAAATCGATAAAGACATTGCGGCCGCACTCGCCTTGCCGGATTCCGTGCAAGCTTTGTAGGTCCTCGGACAGTATTTGGCACTTTCTGTCGTTATTCGGGCACCCCATAACTGAGCAATGGTGTCCCAATGACTGGGGAACTGTCGCCATCCAAGCCCGTGGCTCTAATTAAGTTTGGGAGTTTAAAACAGAAGAAAACGCAAACGAAGTTCGGGCAATGCATGCACCCATCACCGGCGAAGCCTCTCACCTGGGACTTTCACTCCTTCTAACGTACCAGCAAGGGGAAAAGTGCTGGTAGCCCCTTTCCCCTCTTCTCTCTCGTCCTCTTTCAGTAAAACAATCTATAGGTCTTAAGAGCACAGTAATACAATCTTTTGATCTGCATGTCTTGCCGACAACATGGCTGACAAAGCAGCTTGGCACGAGTCACGTGGTACTCACAGCTCCAGGAGGCGCCTGCCCTATGGGAGAACACATAAAGATCGACACAACACGGCTGATTAAAAAATAAACACCGAGTTCACACTTTTTTCAGCTAGTCTATAATGAAGTTGGTAAAGCACTAAGCACATTATCAAAATTTTCATAATATCGGATACGTGTGAAAATTTTGAGAAGGCAATTTCCAAGGCAATGGCGTTTGAAGCAGACTATTTTTTTACGCAGCGGAGATTGACTTTTTGGGTTTGCCGGCGCGGGTGACGTGAACGATGTGATGTTTTTTTCGTGCATTTTCCAAACAGCATGAGACCGTCGATGCATAGCTGCTTACAAACTATCGTCCTCCACTGCACCACGTCATCTGCTACATAATGCCGCCTAGAAATTAAAAAAAAAAAAAAAGAAAAAAAAATTATGTTCTTATTATGGCACACAATTTCCTCACGTTCCCCATGCAGTTGTGACTAGAGTTAGAACCTTTGGGCATTCGCCGCTAGTTGCCGAGAGATGGCGTTCTATGTTGTGCTACTCCAGTCCTAAGGGGCTATATAGTGCTCTAGGGTGACCTAGATTGAGTTCCCGAAACCTATCACTTTTGTGCCCATTGTGGCTTATCTCCCCCCAAGTTAATACAGAAAACTTTTCCGCTGCCCTTTCTGATGGCACCTCTACCTCAAGTTTCCTACCAAAATATCTTTGAAACAAGTCCCCAGCAGGGGACACCAACTTTTCGGAAAGTGGTGATGATACATCACTATTTTACATAGGTTTGTCTGTTCCTTTGTGCACAGTCTACTTTGAAACCTACGGATGCCAGATGAATGTCAACGACACAGAAGTGGCCTGGTCTGTTCTGAAGAGCGCCGGGTTTACAAAGACGGAAGACGTGAATGTGGTGAGCTTACGTGTAATTGTTTTGTTGGTGCGAAACATGTTGCAGAAGGTTTGTGTGGAGTGGATAGGTCCTTCAAGTGGCTGCTGATGTGATGTCAGTGCAAGCCACACACATTTGTGTGGCCCTCAAATCCTTCGAGTTTTCCCACCTTTATGCACAAATATTTTGAGTGCAGCTCGAAAAGCAAGAAAAACACTTCCTCGTTTGACTCATACTGCTCAAGCAAAGTTTGCGGAATTTGAAGTGCAGCCAGTGCAGTTTCTTACCTTATGACAAAACGAGTAAAGCAATCTAAGAGTTCAAGAATTCAACCAGAAGGAAGAGGCTGTCTTCAAGCCTCTCCAGTGCTTATTCCTCTGTGGATCTTTTGCTAGATGTGGATTCATTTGCTGCGGAGCGTGTTCATGGGTGTGCTGGTTGATTGAGTGTCCCAATTTCAGGCTGACGTCGTTCTCATCATGACCTGTGCCATCCGCGAGGGTGCAGAGTCCAAAATCTGGTCGAGGATAAACCAGCTAAAGGCCCTCAAGAAGGCCCGCAGGAGGAGTTCAAGAGGACCCATGCAGATTGGAATACTCGGTACTGTGTCAGTCTTGGGCTGTCATATTTCCCTCAATGTCGTCTGACAGTTGAAAGGACAAAGGAAAAACGGTGGGACCAAAACATCCCTACAAACCGGACTCCATTTCCCGCAAAACCAGAAATAGTGGCGTGTCCATTCTATAGCATGCACAAAACTGTGTGTGTCTTATTTTTCTTTTTAACTTTTGGCTGGTTCGTGAGAAGAGTAACTGTTAAGAAAAAACCCGAAACGTTGCAGATAGGCGTAACATCACGGACAGGTGTAACACCACAAACAGATATCGCAGACAGAGCCTTTTCTCGCTAAGTTAAGGGGGAGCAACGTTTCCATTGAAGCCTCGTTTAATTCCAGAACTCGACAGAGACAGATTTTCTGTTCAGTTCCGTAAAAATATACAATTACTTTTAAGGCATCTTCAAAACCCCGAAAAAATAATGTGCTTCCAACGTTCCAGTCGCGTGGCTTTTTTTTTTCCTCGGTGGTCGCAGATTTTTGCGATATTTAGGAAATCTTTGAACGCTCGTTGCAGCGTCGGTAATTACATTTATATTTTTCCTCTTTCAGGGAAAGTGCATTTGTTGACACAATTGCATGTGCCGTATCAAGGCAGTTAGAAAGCAAAATGATATTGGGGGGTAAAGTGTCCCCAACATATTGCACGGGTTCAGCTGACTGCACTTGTCTCGACCGTAACACATTGTTGCACCCAAGTCTTGTACATGGAACACGCCCCTCTCGCATGCTTGACCGCCAGACGGGGGCACATCTCTTGCGTACAGGGTGCATGGCTGAGCGGCTGAAGGAGAAGCTGGTGGAGCGCGAGAAGGAAGTGGATATTGTGGCGGGCCCCGACAGCTACAGGGACCTGCCGAGGCTCCTCAGGGTTGCCACCTCGGGTCAGGTTGGGGGTGAGAGTCCACCTCCCCTTGAAAGGGATCCCGTGCCTTGGGCTACACAGCGTCCTATGCGGTCGTAGCATGGTGCCTGAAATGCATCTCCGACCTGCGCGTTTACCACATTCCAAAAAGTGGTCCTGTGATTTCCAACGAAAGGCATCGTGCGAGCATCTAGTTGTCGCCGACTGCAACCCGGGCAGTGTTGCGGCAAGGGTGGCAGACGCCTGTCGCTCTGCAGGTCGCTCTCTAGCGTGGGGATAGGAAGCTTCTGGAGGCAACATGATGCCCCCAGAGGTAAAATTAGAAGTATGAAGGGACAACGATGACCAAAAGTAAGAGACGCTATTGGACGAAAAGGAGAGCTGACTTGACGCCGACATCTGTTTCGGTCACCCTCGGGGCCCCGACAGTCCACAGAAGCTTCGGCGGCCAGGAGTTCAGACGTTGTGACGACGGCAACGCTCCCTGTGCTCGCTCATAACTTTTTGCCGGGACTTCTAGCGTCGACCGTTAAGATTGCGACGTCCGACGGTGTGACGTGCACGCTTCTGCGATGTCTGTTGGCCATTTGGGACCACTTTTGATGTGCGGGCGAGACGGGACGCAACACGCGCCGGTCGAAGGTGCGTTCCGGATACTGTAGTCATAGTTGGAGATGTCGCGAACCTGCCGACAATGGTGTTTTGTTTAGATTCGACTCACTAACTTTCGTCACGAAGGTAAACCAGGGCTTTACTGAAATTTGATGCGTTAAAAAACGCATGCAAAGTAAAAAAAAATTTTTTAAGCAGTCTAGATGTGAAAAGAGTGTTATAAAACGAATTTACAACGAATAAAAAAATTTTAGAGCTATATTTATGGCGCAAAACGAATTCGTAGTTGGCACCCGCGGGAGCCGTTGCGGGTCACGTGGTAGGCCTATGCGCGGTCAAGCGGCGCCACTGTCGCCTCAAAGTCACACCGCACACTGAGCGTGGTGCGCCTCCATTTGAACGCGTTTCTCCATGCCGCCGCCACGCAAACTCGTCTGCTCCGCTGCGCCGCCACCGTCATCTGACCGGTGTACAGGTCTATCATGTCTGCTTGCACTTTTTCATGAGCTTCCTTTGGGCTCTAAAAGTTGCTTATTAATCTTTGTTTTTTGTTGCACTTGAAACAAAGATGAATAAGTATTTTTTAGAGATGATAGGAAGCTTCCGAAAGAGTGCAAGTACCACGTGACAAATAGTGGCCAGTCACATGACAAATGTGGCCACTTGCCGGCGGGCGCCAACTGCAAGTTTGTATAGCGCCGTAAATATAGCTCTAAAAATTTTTATTTTTCGTTGTAAATTTGTTTTATGACTTCCTTTTCATAGTCAGGCTGTTTAAAAAAAAAATTATTTTTCCTTTGCATGTGTCCTTTAAGGCCGGTTTTCACGTTTGCGTTTGTCCGTGCCGAGTTTGCTCCGTAACTGAAGGCACACTGGTGCCGTCGGCCGGAAGACTCTTAACACTTACGACCTCTATCGGCCTGTCTAATGCGCGCATTGGTTGTCTCCTTAATTATTGTCATCATTTTACTTTATTCGTTAGACTGCACCGCACCTTACCCTCGATTGAGCGGTATTTCTTTGTTTTTGGCTTCGATTAACAATGGGAAAAATTACATTTGCTCCAATTTGGGCCAGCAAATCTTTTAAGAAGATCACAAAAATAATGCCAGTTAAAAATCTCGAAACTAATTATTGCCTCTATTTCCTGGCCAACTCTTTCTGGCAGGAGTAATTTTGAAGAAACTTAACTCCAACGTATGTGGTAGTGCACCAGTAGATAACGTTCTCCAGTTGCATCCCGTGCCGACCAAACTTATAGGATTTTCACTTCGTTGCTGCTTTCAGTAAACGTCTTGCTGTCATTGGACGAAACCTACGCAGACGTTGTTCCTGTCAGGCTGACAGAAAATGCCAAGAGTGCCTATGTGTGAGTGTCATCTTATCATGCCACTAGGGCACCTGAAAGTGCCCCTTCCAGTATAACGGAGTAAACTATTTATCCCAAAGTATAGGGCCCTCGCACCTGACATCCATTCCAGTCCAGCGTGTTCGGAAAGTATGAAATCTAATGTCAGTAAGCCATCTTTGGCCTTGCCGATGACACTTTTGGCCATTTTCTCTATTCGTTTGCACAAAAGCAATTCTTTCTTAGTGTCGACCTTGGCGTTGGCACAAAAGCAGAAACAAGTTTGTGGCTCCGTCGATGACAGAACCCAGGAAGTTTGATCGAGGGCGTAATTGAAATGTAAACTCGGGCTTGCTTTGGTTTTTCCCTCTTCGGAGCCGCCTTGGCAGGCTATGCAGCGTCTGCCGGGGCAGTTTTGGCCACCGACAAGCCAACTTCTCGAGCGCCGGTTGACTTGTACATAAAAAAAACAGAGTACCAGCCGATGCTTTTTCATTTTAGTCAATCAGGACACGAGTGAAGTCATGCATTCTGGGAAACACTGCCTCCACGCATGAAAAGACACCGGGCAAAAGCAGAGAAATGCCACCTACATAGGCTCTAGGGAGATTTCCATGCCAGTAGTGTTGCATCCAGGGTTGGGCAGTATCGCGATACAAATGTATCGCGATAGTATTTCAGAAATACATTTTGTATCTGTATTTCTGTATCGCGATACATTTTCTCCGCCAGTATCTGTATTCCTGTATTGAAATACATTTTGAATGTTCCTCTGTATCGCAATACAATCAGGGTGAAATGTATTTCGTTACATTTCTTGAGAAATACTTCCTCCCCCCCCCCCCCCCCCCCCGAAAAAAAAAAAAAAAACAAATCAGAACGCTTTTTTTTTTCTTTTTACTTGTGAGGGCACCAGGGTCAGGGAGATGCTTGGGCATTGTTACCATGCTGACCAAGGTTCCTTCCGTTTCTCCAAACTATTTTTCTATGCGTCCTCTTCTCTCTTCTGAGAAGTGTTGCGTAGTACGGCGACTCGAACCAGGTGGCGTGCCAGGAGTGGAGTCAGAGCATCTTGTGCCGCAGGTTTTTAGGTAGGGGTTTCTTGAGTCATTGTTTGCTGGCATCCAAAGCTCGCTGCTAACCGTCTCTCTTGCCTTAGCGTACACAGTACACCCAGCCGGAAAAGCTGAGTCACAGTCCGTTGCAGCACGAGCCTGGCGGTAGTTCGCTTGAAATAGTAGGATGACTTACCCAGTGAAGTTAGACACATATTCGAATGCGTCTGCGGCTGCGCCCGTAATATTGCACGGCTCAAGGGTACGTCCTCTGCCGACGTGAAAGTGACCTGCTGTTCTGGTGATCCGAACCCAGGAAGGAGCTCAGACGTGGCCTGTCTGTGCTGACCCAGACTTCATACACCTGCGACTCGTCTCGAGCGCGCCGTTTCTCGGACAGCTCGCACCTGTGCCGGCAATATCAGGTCGCCATCCATGAGGTTTCTATTCGGAGTATGCAAGACGAAACTTGGACTGCAATTCATGCGTTGGTGGTGGAGGGTCGGCAGGAAGGACCTTCACAACAGGGATGCACAGTATTGTTTTTTCAACCGTAACAGAAGATAAGACATGTGTTTCAGAATGCTTCAGGTGGTCTACTATTCTCGAAAATTCCAAATGACACTGCCTGCATGATCTTCAACCAGGTAACCTACAACGAAAGTATGTATTGTCCTATCATACAGCAGCGTGGTAAAGTTTCATGTTCAAGGCCACACGTACAGATAAAAAATACCAGTTCATCCCACCGTGACGTCATCTGATAAATGTTGACAGTTGCACAATGGGACAGGGCATGGTGACGCTTTGATGTGATTTAGAATGACATAAAATTTATTTAGAGGTCAATGTCTTTTCGCATCCCTCGTCAGACAGACAGGATGTCAGCTAAGGGACCGCGGTCATTCCTTGATGGACGTTTTTTCGAGCCCATTGAAGACTCCTCGTCGTCCGAATTCACTACCTTCAAGGCTAGGTGCCAAGCCTACGGGAAAGTAATTTGGGGATCAAAAACTTGCACTTCAAGCTTTATCTCAGTTGGCGTCTCAAACAAATGTGAAAAATGTATTGCAGTATCAGTATTTCTGTATTTGTATTTCCGCCCTCCCTAAATTGTATCCCTGTATTTGTATTTCCAAATACTTTTTGACTCTTTTTAAAATGTATTTCCGATACGTATCGCGATACACTTTTCCAGATGTATTGCAGTATCAGTATTTTAGCTACTATTTTAATGTATCCCAGTATTTGTATTTCCAAATACATTTTTGAGTATTCTGCCCAATCCTGGTTGCATCACAGTCTCGTGCAAGGGCCCTGTACTTGTTTAGCTGAACTTATAATCTGGAGCTACTATGTGCATACTCTTTCTTATGTAAGATCTCTTGTCACTGTATTTGGTTTTCTGCCACGGCGCAGTTCCATAATGCGGGGCTGCAACAACATGTGTACATACTGCATCGTGCCATTCACGCGCGGCCGGGAACGGAGCCGCCCGGTCACCTCTATCTTGGACGAAGTTCGGGCGCTTTCGGACCAGGTATTTGCTTGCTGGCTTACAGCTTACTACTATAGCTACCATCACGCCTTCTGGGCTGACCCAACACCTCTAAGGCATCAACATGTCTTTTAAACCAGTACCAGTGGTGCTAGGAACACCCAGTTATGGTATCAATTTCAATTCCAATTACAGTTTCTCAGAAAAAAGCAATACAGTCACCGACCTGTTTTTCACATGCCGATAATTCGGACTTGTTCAATATTTCGGACCTAAAGGGGGGACCGTGACCTACCCGATAGAAATAGTGCATATTCACGACCGTTGTTTCGGACACTTGAATTCCGAATGTTCGATTTTTCGGACAAAATCGTCGGGAGCTGGAAGCACCAGTGAGAAGCCGCCATTTTAGATTCTATGTTGGCTGCACATGGATTGGCTTGGTTTTGCAGCACTACTTGAGTGCTGCTAAATCCTATTGCTTGGTGATGCTATACGGCTTTTTTTTTTCTCTAGCTGTGCATCATTATCATCATTGTTACCATTTTGCTTTGTTCATGTGCCATTGAAGTCAATCTATCAATTAATCAATCAATCTTTTATTTGCACAAAAGAAAAAGGGGGAATGCAGGAGGCGTGCACAGGTAGCGGATAGGTCTATAACCTGCACACAAGGGCACCTACTAGCCAACCTCCTGAGCACACTAGGAAATGCAATTAAATAAAGAAGGATGAAGTTTAGATTAGAAATGAAAATGGAATAAATTTATAAATGAAAGGGATGATGTGACTATAGGTGCGGAAGAGCATACGAAAGACTTCTGGTGAAACCACCAAGGTCATCAGTGGTTTGAGGCAAAGGTGGGCATGTGCGCCCAGAGATAGAGAGGTAAGTGCCCACAGCTGATAGAAAGAGGAAAGAAAGCCTGGTGTTGTCGAGTATGAGCATGAAGGGGTAATGGGAGGCCTGTGCGACCTGAAATCCGTGGATCCGAGGCTAGATATGAGCCAGCCATAGGAGGCCCGGTGGTAACGGCTAGGAGGCGGATTCGTGCCACCAAGCGACAATAGCTCTGCTGATGCCGACCGAGAAACTGCATGCGCACATTGCAGTCTGAGGTTGGATCGCGACAAACCAGCATCCGCGTTGTGCGGCTCTGAACACCCTCTAAGATCTTGATGTTGTGTTGATTAGGGCCCCAGATGAAGGAGCAGTATTCGAGGCGCAGAAGGACTAGGGCAGTGTATAGTGTCTTCGGAACATCCTGTCCAAAGCGCCGCAAAAACCGGGACACAAAACCTAGGGTTCTGTGAACCCTGACTAGGATTCTTGAGACGTCACGACTGAAGATGAGATACACCCAGAATGTCAAGTGTCGGCATAGGAGGCAAAAAGGAATCCACCAAACGTGTAGTTCGGGGGCTGGATTTGCTTAGCCGAACTAATATGCATCGCAGCACATTTGTTGTAACTGATGGTATGGAAGTTCATGATGGAACACCACACTAGCCTGTCTAGATGGGCCTGTAGAGTTACATCATCGGTGGGCGAGCAAACACAAATGGCCAGGGTGGTGTCATCTGCATATTGCCTGGTGAGGACCTTATTTGACTGGTTAATGTCGCGAACATAAACACTGAATAAAGTGAGGCTGAGAACCGACCCTTAGCGTAGGGCACACTTGATAAACTAGGCAAGGCGCTGGACACGGAGCCCTTGAAGGCCAATTGATAACTGCACCCTGTGAGAAAGAAAGCTATCCAGTTCAGGAGATCACCCCCCTGCCCCACATTCATCGAGCTTCCTGAAAAGACACTCATGGTTCATTGTATCAAAAGCAGTACAATAGTCCAGCTGGACAACATCTGTGGCATAACGACTGACCATGTTGACGCTTGACGTAATGGCAGATGGAAACCAGGGCAGTCTCGCAGGAACAGTAGCGCCGGAACCCAGGCTGTGAAGTCTGAAGCAGCTGGAGGCTATCAAAGTGGTGAAGTACCTAGGTGCTCGTTGATAATCCGCTCGAGGATCCGACAAAGGAAAGAAGTGATGGACACGGGGCTACAACCGGATATGTCGCTTCATGACTTGCCTTTACCCTTAAAAACCGGAGTAACCAGGGCCTGTCACCAGCCTTAAGGGAGTGCCGAGTTCTTCAGAAGAAATTGGCAGTCTGCAAGGAGGGAGGGCAGAACATAGGGCCAAGTCATTTTGAGCAGGATGGGAGGGATACCATTTGGGCCAGGTGACGCTGATGGTTTGATGAGGTGTAGGGCGTCTTCTATGTTTGCGGGAGTGATAGAGAGAGATGGCAGGATGTCAGAATTTGGTAGCAAGAGTGGCTTAGCATCAAGACCCATACATAGAGAGGAGGCGGAAGCAGGTGAAAATACCAATGCAAACTGGTGGCCCAACATGTTGGCAATTTCTACGGATGAGGTGATGAGCTTGCCGTCAGAAATGAAAGATGGCTCCAGTCGGGTAGTTTGAAGCTGGCTAATATGCGAACAGAAAGCTTTGGCCTCTTTGCGTGCCCCTAGGGCAATGGTCCTGTCAAATGCTGCAGTCTCTGCTGCGCGCAGATCAGCCTTCAGGGAACACTGGAGCGCCTTGGCCCGTGAGAGTGAGTCCGTGCGCTGCAATCGGGCAGCACACTCGAAAAGCACCTTCTTGTGATGAGCAGCACGAATTGCTCCTTGGTAATCGAGGGAGCACGGGAGCGTCGCCGTCGGGAAGAAACATGGGGTACACACCTGCTGAGTGGCGGGTGTGAAATCACACTAGAGTTCCATATTAGCTAAGCAATCACCAGACCTGTAGCCAAGGGGAGGGCCCTAGGGGCCCTCCCCCTGGCTACGGGCCTGCCCGAAATTTTGGTGGGAGAAGGGGGGGGGGGGGGGGGGGGGAGAGAGAGAGAGAGAGAGAGAGAGGAGGGAGAGAGAGCTTTTCGGCTTTGCGGATGTCAAGCGAAAGGCCCTCTTTTTTTCTTTCTTGCTTCTTACAAACACGTCGGTTCGAGTTATTTAGTGTACACAATGGCCCACCAGTTTACGTCCACAGCCTCCAGATTTGACGCAGAGGTAGTTTTCACATGCAAATCGAGGCTGGGAGACCTGTGCAAGATGCTAAACAGAAAGGGACTCGACCCGCCGCCTTGCTGCACCAAGAAACATACTAACAGGCTCACCTTGTGCAAGAGTGAGTAAAATGTTCCAGGCCCATGTCCTGCGGGCGCTGAATACATCAGCCAAACGGGTCGCTGCGTAAACAACCAGCTCCGGGAGCATCGCAAAGAAGTAGAGCACTCCGCACTCAACAGTCAGCACTCGATAGACACGCAAGACAGGAATGTCGCGACTGCGCTCCCAACTCAAGGCGATGCTGGTAAATCTTCGTTGTGAATACGTCAGGAGGGAGATAATAGAAGCCTTTCAAATGGTGACGAACCCTTAAATCATAGGCTCATCCTCTCTTTTGCTGAGAAAGTCCTTGGGGCCCCGGCGTCTTGACTGATGCTATTTTATACCTAAATCGCCTCCTTTTCCTCCCCCACCCCCCCTTTTCTTCCAATGCATGGAAGTTGTGGCCTCAAAAAGTGGGCTCCCCCCTCTGGCTACCGACCTGAGTCAGTGTCTATTCTGGTCATACACCACGGTGCGAGATGTGCTAGCCTTGCCGTGTGATCATGATCAGTCCGATGAAGCTTGCACGCGGAACGGGCTGAGTGTCCTTTACAGGGCAGAACCAGGGCATTGAAAAGCTCAGTAGCCAGGTGGTCACTTCCAGAAAGGCCAGAGTACACATCACGAGAAAGGCTTTGAGTCGGGTGGGCACAAACACAAAGTCAAGACAACTGGAGCAAGGTATGTAGGTGGGAGAGTGGCGAATCTGGGGAAGTCTCGATGTGGATGCTAGGCTCAAAAAAACTTAATCAGTTGTGTCGGTTGGGATGGGTGCATCAGTGCTTCACCCGCCAATAAGACTATTGAAGTGCTCAAACAGCAACACTTCATGGTAGGGCTTCACCAACACCTTCATGTGGGATTCATAGAGGATCTTAACGCAGCAGCACGGGTAGAGGGTGTACAGCAAGCACAGACAAAGGGTGAACTACCCTTTGGGTGACAAAGCTCGAGAAAGATGGCTTCTAATTCCTGGGGCTCAAGGTCAAGCCGCCCAATGGCTGGGAGACTGGACGGCAGAGCGATAAGTATGCCGCCACCTTGGGAGCGACAATCACGCCGATAAATGGTCGGGAGATCAGCCAGAGAGTTCCGCATCGCAGACACTGCTATCCAACCACGTTTCCATGAGAGGAAAGATGGTGTTGTCCGGAAGAGCAGATGAGACGAGCTTAAAGGTGAGGTCGGTCAGCTTGCTTCTCACGCTCCAGCAGTTGGTATACCAAAACGCAATGGACTTGTTGAATGGATTGTATAGAGTAATGCCAGAAGGGACCACATTTTGTTGTGCCAGCCCGGTTTTCAAGGAAGGGGCAGTGATGCAGGGAGGGTCAATAGTGTCACTGAAGAAATTGGAGAAATGAAGAATCCAAATAAACAGCCGATGCAGTGCCAGTGATCGGAGGAGCGACCGAGGGTTCGGTACTCAGTCAGTGTCATGTGTACGCACTTCCAATGAAATCAAGCATTGCACATATCGCAACACACGGCTGCTTGAAAGTTGAGGACACGCTTCGAGCAACGGTCGCACGTAGATGGAGGACCGGGATTAAGGGCAACATCACCCCCGAGAATAATTGAGGGACAATGAAGGAGCGACGAAGATAGATATGTGTCAAGCAGACAAGAAGAACCAGCAATGTAAGGCGTGGCCTAGTCATCCAGCTGGGAGTAGAGGGGTCCGTAAATGTAGGGATGGTCGTGGACTTAGTTGTGGACTTGTGCCCCTTATCTCGTCTCAGTGAATTGTGTTTTCGGACTACGCTGGCTTGGACTTCATGGCCCCACCTCTTCTTTGGCCGCCGTGAAGTGTCGCTAAGAAGCGCGGAAGGTATTCAACCATAACGCTAGAAAAGAGGGCAGCGATTCTCAGCGTAACCTGAAACAAGGCGCACAGTCATAAGCTGAAGCAAAACACAGTTTACAGTCTAAGCTAATTATAACAGACCTGGTTACAACAGACATTTGAATATAACATACCGATTTGTGAAGTTCGGTTGGTTTTCCTCTATGTACCATTGACTCAACTTCATATCTGCATACAGCATACTCCTTTTACAACAGACCGAAATCTTGGTAAAAATCAAGGTCTGTTATAACGAGCTTAGACTGTACTGCTTTCCTAAGCCCGCTTGGACATAATAAAGGCAAATTTTTTAATTTCCTGATTTGTCGGACTGCTCTATTGTTCAGGCGTTTTTTTCCGGTCCCTGCGAAGTCCGAAAAATCAGTTGGTGACTGTAACAGCAAAAACTGGAATCGGTGATAGTTTCTTGTCGACTATTACAGACTTCAGGGCAGTGAATACGATATGAATTCAAATGTCTCTGTTCTCAGTTTTGAAACTGGCACGACATACGATCGTTCCAGCTATGGTGATCTTATGTATAGTCTGATTTATGGTAAAAAAATACCCTGCGTTCTAGTTCAATGAACCAAACAATAGTGTTAGAAAATGCCTATGACAAACAACAGTGTCGGATCTTGTTCTCGTCGTTGTGCATGCGTCCACTTTTGTGTGTTGCTAAAGAGCCTTTCTGTCTTTCCAGGGTGTCAAAGAAGTGATCCTGCTTGGACAGAACGTCAACAGCTATAGGGACACGTCAGCCGAAAGTCAGGCGCTGATCGCACGCCCCGCAGCGGGGGACGGACTCCTGAGTCGCGGGTTCCGCACCGTCTACAAGACGCAGTTGGGCGGCGTGAGGTTTGCGGATCTCTTGGACAGAGTCTCCCAGGTGGACCCCGAAATGCGGATCCGCTTCACGTCCCCTCATCCGAAGGACTTTCCCGATCAGGCAAGCCCAGCCCCAGACATTTTGTTTTTAACGTGGAATGTGTTATATATATAACACATTCTGCATTAAAACAAAATGTCTGGCTGCTATCCATTTCCTGTGATGTACTCTTGTAACGGAAGAGTGTCGCACGAGTGCTGCGTCAGCGTTTTGCTGGAACACTTGTCCTCCCTGATGGGACACCTGGCTTAGTCAAACGGTGATGCGGAGCCTTCGTTCAATCTGTGCCCCAAGCTGGCCTAAGCTAAAAGCTGTTGAGCAAACACTCGCACATATGGTGGGAGAGTGCACAGGAGTTGAGGGGAAAGAGAACAAGCATTTGCGTCGGGGAAAGCTGGGAGACGCAAAACAGCACGGTCGAAGCTGGGGTGTGCCACTGCGAGAGTTGTTAACTTTGCGTTCCACTTCCATCGGAGGGTTAACTTTGGCAGTGCTTTCTTTTGAAGGTGCGGCGCACAACAATGTTCATGCCGTAGAAGCACGAAATCCGTACCAAGTTCCCACATGCAACATCACCGCAAAGCAACCCACAATGCATTTCGCATCACGACCATCTTTGCCACAACGGTGCAGAATAAAATTTTTGTTTTTAAATGTCTGCTTTTTTTTTCTTTTTAGTGTTTTATTTTAGTGGAGATATACAGTCGAATCTCGTTAATTCAAACTCGAGGGGACCGAAAATTTGTTTGAATAAAGCATAGTTTGAATTACCGAGAGTTTCCTCCCATAGAGACGCATAGAATGGGACCTGCATGTTAGTTTGAATTATCCACAAGTTTGAATTAGGAGGGTTTGAATTAACGAGATTCGACTGTAGATTAATTGAAGTTGGCTAGTAGTTAATGCAGCTGTTAGCGTATTGAATAACATGATGGTGGTCATGTAAGGCCTCACATTTCCTCCCTTTGCATAGGTGTTGGAGGTGATCCAGGACCGGCACAACATCTGCAAGCAGATCCACCTGCCCGCTCAGAGTGGAAACTCCCGGGTGCTGGAGACCATGCGCAGGGGCTACACCAGGGAAGCCTACCTCGACCTCGTGGCCCATATTCGCACCTTCCTGCCAGGTGGGTGCGGCACCAAGACCACAGCGCTTGAAACACACCTCCGACCGGTGTGTTTTTGACACATTTTTATTTTTGCATCTGTATAGGTTACAGACGCTGGAGCTATGGAAATAAAGTCAATGCATGTTGACTTGACAGGGCCTTTTTCCCTGCGCACATAAATGAAAGAGCTAAAGGTCTTACAGGTTTACATCCCATACTATACAAAAACTAGATACAATGATTTAGGATTTATAGAGTAAATGTCCACGTCATCTACGCAATATTGATTGAGCATTGAGGGTAGATTATGTTCTAAAGACTGGAAGCTGTAGATTGTGCAAACAGGAAGCACTTTACATTCCTCGGGGTGGTGGCCATCCTATCCATTCCTTGGGGCTGCAACCATCCTATCCACTTCTCAGGGCGGGGTCATCCTATCCTGCACGTACGTTGAAAGTGGCCCCGAAGTGGCAACGAATTGCGTCTCGGCAGCCAGTGTGTCAAGGCTGGTTCGCACATTTGCATTTGACTGCCGAGCGTGTCGAGACCTCTTGTAGCCGCTGAACACAGTGTTCCAGGGTGACCCTGGAACACTCCCGACTTGCTTATATACTTTTATAATTTTTTTTAACCATAATTCTTGCACTGTGGGCTTAACGTAATTCTGGCAATGGTACGAGTGACTATTTCTAACAAACTGCATAGATTTGACCTTGCAAATACTCCAGAACCTTCGGGTATAGTTGTACATAGGTTGAGAGTGCAGGTCTACCCGACAGAAGCACCACCGTGCCCGTGCGTTAAGGTGGTTACGAGAGATCACGACAGCACTCTGCACGGTCAAACGCAAATGTGCAAACCAGCCTCTGTGCCGTCTGATGTCGCGGTTCCTGCGGTCGGTCCTAAAAATGCCGGCGAAAAAGGCGACTGAAGGCGAGAGGCTGGAAGGGTTGCCGCCATCCATGGGAGAGGCCAGCAAGCCGGTTGTCTCGTCGCCGTCACTCATAGATGGCAGTAGCTGTCCAGAGTTTTGTGTCAACATTTCTTTGCGGGGGCACGATCCTCGGGAAACTAGCCCTTAACAGCTCCGCTGTAAAAAACCATGTGCGCCGAGTGAGTAGAGTTGATTACTCTCCGTTTTAGAGTTTTAAAGTTGGTTTGCACTGATTTTGTTCTCTTCATTTACCTCTTTGTCATTGGTATTGCTCAATACCCCCTTTTCCCAACTGGTGTATGGGGTATGTGACCACCTCTGTCAATCCAGAAGTGGTCCCAGAAACATCAGTGTTTAAGTAGAACCACTGACCTAAAAGCTTAAATTTAATTTACAATTCATATACAGTGCAATCCACTTATAACAATAATGAGAAAACCCAAAAAATTCAATCGTTATAACCGATTATTGTTGTATCTGGACTAGAAACTGACCATTTCTAGTCTAGAAACTCTAGAAATTGATTGTTAGTAACGATACAACATCATTATATGTTGTATCGTTATAAGTGGATTGCTCTGTATACCCTTAAAATGCTTCACTATCGTAATGCGACAGTTTTTGCAAACCACGGACAATGAGCCCGAACAAGGGCCAAAGTCCGTGTGCTCTCACACAGATTGATTCTCAACAACTGATGCGTTGGGGACTCTGGATCGTGATAAGTGATGGGGGACCCTATCTGTTGGGGAAAATGGGGGATACTAGATGATTACGATGACAAAGGGGTAAGTAAACGAAACTGAATGCGTGCAAATCGACTTCAAAGCTCTGAAACATAGAATAATCAGCCCTACTCACTCGTCGCACAAGTAAAACAGCCATTATCAGTTCATAAATTAAATAAATGTTGCTTTGCTTGTTTGACAGTTGATGGGTTTGGGGATTTTCAGAAGACTTTCAGGGACCCCAAAGGATCTGTGGACCACCATTTGAGAACCACTACTCTAACATATTTATTCAGGGCTTTTTGTCTTCTTAGTATCCTGTTATTCTTCTGCTCCATGTGATGACAAAAATTGAATTGTTTTCAAGCAAAATGTTTCTGCCACAAGGGAGGCAACTTGCTCTTGCTTCTTTTGCAAGATTTAACCAATAACGATCGTCAGTATAGTATCGAACACTGTTGTCTATCTCTGACTTGGCTGGCACGGTGTAAGCCACAACATTATTGGCAACGGGCTATGGATTGTCCATCCCGACTGCAACGGGCATCATAGAAGGAATCCACAGGGCCACGGCAAGGAAGAATGAATATGGCAGGGTTGGGAAGGTTCGATCCATTTGTGGAAGATGGCGACGAAGATTTTGAATCTTACATCGACAAACACTAGCTAAAGGCTACAAAGGTAAGCGAAGCCCTAAGGCTCTCTGCTTTTGTCACTGCAATTGGCAAGAATTCGTACAAGACACTTAAGACTTTACTCCATCTGGTCAAACCAGAAGAGAGAAGCTGGTAGGAGTTGGTGGCGGTTCTGAAAGGCCATTACACTCCGAGGCCGATAGTGATAGCCGAGTGGTTTAAGTTTAACCGTTGCTACCAAAAGAAAGAGGAGACGGTAGTCACTTTTTCAGTGGAGCTGAAGAAACTCGCGTCGACTTGTGAGTTTGGCAGTTTCTTGGATGGTGCTTTGCACGGCAGGTTCGTCGCGGGATTAAAAGACAGGAAAACACAGTACGACTTGTTAAAAAATATGACGTTGACGCCTGGTGCCGCGTGTTACATTGCTAAAAACATTGAGCTCGCCCGCAAAGAAGCCATCACGTCCCAGCCTATGGCAGGTCATCAAGGGTCGTCTAGCCAACGAGAAGACGACGAGGTGAATGCAATTCGGCAACAAAAAAGGGAAACGTGTCACAAGTCACCTAAGGGTCCACGAGCTTCTACGACCAAACAGACGTCCGGTCATATGGGAGAAACCACGTCTTCATGTTCCTGCTGTGGACGGGTACACACTGAACAGCCCTACAAGTACCGCAAGTACAAGTGTTATGTTTTTAAAAAAGTCGGACACCTGGCAGAAGTCTGTCAGTTCAAAACAGGCTCCGTTAAACACGTCGCAAATGATGGAGCTGATGATGTGCAGCTTTACACCGTGTACGTGTGTGAAACGGGGAGGCGTAACTATGAAGTAGATGTTAAAGTAGCCAACAAGCTCGTAAGAATGCAGATAGACTAGACACTGGAGCGTCCGTGTCGATAGTGCCAGAAGCGTTGTGTGCGAAGTATTGGGCAAACATTCCCAAGAAGCCGTGGAACCTTAAATTCCCAGGCGAAGATCAGTCCACTTCCAGCTGGATTATGGAACTGGAAATGAGGCAGTCCAGCCGGATTCCAGCTGGACCCAGCTGGACCCACCTGGACCCAGCTGGACCCAGCTGGACTGCCTCATTTCCAGTTCTATAAACCAGCTGGAAGTGGACTGATTTTCGCCTGGGTTTAGAACGTATGGGGGGAATTGTCTCACGGTGACTGGGAAGTTGTCAGTACCAGTCGAGCACAATGGACAGAGAAAGACACTTCCTCTTATTGTAGTTAAGGCACCAGGGGGCAACATAACCCCGCTGCTTGGTCGAGACTGGCTAGAAGAGCTGAGACTAGACTGGTCATGCATAAACACCGTAAGAAAAGAAAAGGAAGCAAGGCTCCTTGAGAAGTATGCGGAACTTTTTGGAGAAGGTGTGGGTTTGATAAAGGGACAACAGGTCAAACTGGTTTTGAAGAAACAAAGCACACCTGTCTTTTGCGAACCGCAACCTGTGCCCTATACACTAAGAGAAGCTGTGGAACAGGAAATCCAATCATTAGTAACAGAAGGTATATTGGTATCAGTGTTGCAAAGTGAGTGGGCGACACCTTTGGTAGTGGTACCTTAACCAAACAAACAGGTCCAATTGTGTGGAGATTACAAAGTGACCTTAAATCCAGCTTGTCGGACAGATCACTACCCTCTCCCGGTCATGGAAGATTTGGTTGTTTTACTGAGGGGTTGTAAGTACTCTACCATACTTGATCTGTCTACAGCCTACAAGCAGCTGGAATTGCATCCGAAGTCGCAAGATTTGGTCACTGTGAACACACACCTTGGCTTGTTTAAGTTCACGAGATTGCCTTACGACATCACTAGTGCTCCAGCAACTTTTCAGTCAGTCATGGACAAAGTACTGGAAGGGCTGAGAAATGTTGCGTGCTATCTAGACGATGTACTAATAGCGGGTGAAACTTATGAGGAGTGCTATAAAAAGGTGGAAAGTATGCTGGCATGGTTCAGCCAACAAGGCGTCAGACTAAAGAAAAAAAAATTATGATTTTTTCAGACGTCTGTTCATTACTTTTGACATGTGATCGACCATCGGAAGAGAAAGTCAAGGCCATACGGGAGGCCCCATGTCCTAAGAAGGAATCAGAACTGCACGCCTACTTGGGCATGATTAACTTTTATGGCAAGTTTGTGCTGAACATGTCAACCGAGCTGAAGCCGTTGTATGACTTATTACAGAAAGGCACAAAATGGTGTTGGTCAAGGGCAGAAGACGATGCATTCAACAGAAGTAAGGCGTAGCTTACGCATGAAAACATCTTAACATTCTATGACCCAAAAAAAGTGAAAGCTGCTTACAACTCCCTGTAACGCCGAATTAGAGCGCAGCTCTTGAGGAGGAAGAGGGAAGGGCACTGGGGGGGGGGGGGGGGTTAAACTAACCAGGGGGGGTCACGTGACCTTGGGGGTCACGTGACCCCCAATGCTGATGATGTCATCACTGACGTCACTGATGACGTCATCAGTGACGATGACGATGCGGGTACCGATGACGTCATTAGTGACGTCACTGATGACTTCACCAGTGGTGATGACGATGACGATGCGAATGTCGGTGACGTCATCAGTGATGATGACGATGACGATGCGGATGTCGGTAACGTCATCAGTGATGATGACGATGACGATGCGGATGCCGGTGACGTCATCAGTGATGATGACGATGACGATGCGGATGCCGGTGACGTCATCAGTGACGATGACGATGTGGATGCCGGTGACGACATCAGTAACGTCACTGATGACGTCATCAGTGATGATGACGATGCGGATGTCGGTAATGTCATCAGTGATGATGACGATGCGGATGCCGGTGACGTCATCAGTGATGATGACGATGACGATGTGGATGCCGGTGACGTCATCAGTGATGATGACGATGACGATGTGGATTCCGGTGATGTCATCAGTGATGATGACGATGACGATGTGGATGCCGGTGACGTCACCAGTGACGATGACGTCATTGGGGGGTCACGCGACATCGGCAGGGGTCACGTGACCTCAGGGGAGTCACGTGACTTCGGGGGGTCACGTGACCTCGGGGGGGTCACGTGCCCCCCACGATGTCACGTGACCCCGGTGGGGGGCTCGCGCGGTGCATTATGGGACATTTCCCATGATGCACCGGGGTCACGTGACCTCGGGGGGGGTCACGTGCCCCCCACGAGGTCACGTGACCCCGGTGGGGGGCTCGCGCGGTGCATTATGGGACATTTCCCATGATGCACCGCGCGGTTACGCCGACGGCGACGGCGACGCCGACGCCGCTCAAGCTGGAAACGGGCCCCTAAGAGCTGCGCTCTAAAAGGAATTGGGGCTTGTATGTGACGCTTCAGTGTACGGAGTGGGAGCTGTTCTTTTTCACAGAGTTGGGAATGATGAGAAACCGATTGCTTATGCATCACAAACTCTGAGCAAGACTGAAAAGGGTTACGCCCAAATTGAAAAAGAGGCCTTAGTAGTTGTTTTTGGACTGAAAAAGTTTCATAAGTACCTGTATGGCAGAAATTTCAGCATTTATTCGGATCAGCAGCCGTTGGCAGGGCTTTTAGGTCATGGAAAACAAATTCCGGCTATGTCAGCAGCCAGGATGCAGAGGTGGTCTCTCTTACTTGCTGCCTACAGTTACAAGTGGGTTTATCGGAGGGGTAGCGAGATCCAGATTGCTGATGCGCTGTCACATCTGCCTTTGCCCAATGTGAACGATGGCTTGGACTACGTCAGTTTCTTTTCGGCGGTGGATGGGGTGCCATTGTCAGCTGGTGAAATTAGGAGAGAAACTGAAAAGGATAGTGTGATGAAAAGAGTGTTGTTTTTCACACAGAACGGATGGCCTTCACATGTGGACAATGAGGCATTGTAACCACACTTTGTGCGCCGTCACAAATTGGGGTTGACCAAGGGTATGTAACATGGGGAAATCGAGTGATCATTCCCGAAGTTTTTAGAGAAAAAATGTTGTTCCCGTTGCACGAGGGACATCCAGGCACCACCAGAATGAAAATGCTATCACGTCACGTGTGGTGGCCTTTGACAACATATTATGTCGAAAACACTGTCAAAAACTGTAGTACTTGTCAACTAACGCAGAACGTGCCAGCACGTGTTCCATTGCTAACATGGGGTCGGCCAGTGGGCAGATGACAAAGGGTGCATCTTGATTTTGCATACCGGGATCATAACTGGTTTTTGATTCTCGTAGATGCTCATTCAAAGTGGGTAGAGGTGTTTCTAATGAGTTCCACTACGACAAAATGTACTATCGAAAGATTGCGAAGTGCCTTTGCCACGTTTGGACTACTGGAAGAGGTAGGGACAGACAATGGCCCCCAGTTTGTGGCAACAGAGTTCGTAGAGTTTTGTCGAGGAATGGTGTACGTCACACCAAAAGTCCTCCCTACCATCCTGCCTCTAATGGAAGCGCGGAACGGTGTGTGCAAACCGTCAAGCGGGGTCTCCTGAGGCAGGTAATCGATGAGCAACGGACGAATGTACCGAAATTGATGCAACATCGAGTCGACCAGTTTCTTTTGGCATACAGAAATGCCCCAACTGCAGTGATGTGATTGTTGTGCCAAACTGCGCCAAGGGGCTAACCCTGCTACATCCTGCTACATTTTGCCAAAATATGGGTAATCTGCGCCAAACCTGCGCCAAAGGACCAATTTTGGTCGCCTTTGAAAACCGAAACTATAATCTGAGCACTGTAATTGAGCACAGATGAGCTAGGTGGTGCAAGCAGCCGTCCGACACAAAGTACCCTGCATCAATCATTCATCCGGTCTTGCATAGTTTTTCCCGCCGTCTCTCGTCTCGCGTCTTTTTGGAAAAAAAAAAAAAAAAAAAAATTCAATGATAAGACGTACCTGTGTGCGGACGCTCCGATGCTAGCGTGCTGGGTACCAGCCATGCCGTCATGCTGTGAAACGAAACCATGTTTTTGCGCGGCGGGGGTTACTTTGTGGGCTGAAGCACTCGCTCCTAAAAGCAACGGCCGTGGCCAAACTATATTTGGTCCCTGGCTGCCAGTCACCATGGTCGCACGACGTCGGATGTTGCCGTCCCCACGTCACTGCAGTTATGGCATTTTCTAAACTGAAACGTAAGGACTGCCGCATGTTCATCAACAATCCCGTTCTTGTTTAATACGCTATACAAACATCCCTTTAGCTCAAGGACTGTTGTGTCGAAGTATTGATTACCTAGGTTTCTCTCGGTATTCTTTCTGTCGAGTCGTACCCTGGTACATGAAAAAATCAGCCGCGAAAGAAAGGTAGTGAAGAGAAGTGAGCTGAAGCAAAGAAGGCAATGTCCGTATGCTCAACCTGCACAGTGTGCTTATTTGTCTCGAGTTCAGTCGTTGCACAAAGCGCTCCAAGAACTTTTTTACCCTGGCTCGCGATGTCTTGCATCTATGCTCTCTGGTTCTTTTTTTTTTTTCTGTGTTTAGCTTGTACCTCGCCTGCCGGCCTGGCAAGCAAGTGCCGCTGGGCTGTGTTTTTTCGTCGTATGTTGGACAGTTACATTTTGCATACAATTTTGGGAATTAGTTGGAGACGGAGCGGAGTGGCATGGTTTCGATCGAACAGCCATCTCCGCTCGCACGACAATTTCGCATTGCACGGCAGTAGTTACGTGTTTCATCAGTTGGAGACTGCTTCCATTTATTATATTACTAGTCAACCTAATGATGTGATATTTACTACTAAGCTGGTCATTTTCAAATAAATTTTAACATGTGCAGTTTGGTGCGATATATTTGTACCATTTAACTGAAGCATTGTGAAAATGTCTCATATCACTGGCATTTCAGTTACATGTTGAAAGACTCCCAGGTGGTCTATCTTGACAATAATTGGTTGATTGCGGCGAGCAATGTGTCCTTCGTTTGTCCACCACTTGAAATGAATATCTGGCATTTCAGTTACATGTTGAAAGACTCCCAGGTGGTCTATCTTGACAATAATTGGTTGATTGCGGCGAGCAATGTGTCCTTCGTTTGTCCACCACTTGAAATGAATATCTTTTTGTTTCTAAGAATATCTGCTCCAAAACCCACTTTCGTTGCTCCGAAACACTGTTTTAGCTGCTCCAAAAGCCAATTTTGCTGCTCCAAAACTCTGTTTTGGCTGCTCCAGAAGGTGCTCCAAAACGGCTTAGGCCAGTCACATCACTGCAACTGGTACAACCGACAGAACTCCAGCCGAGCTGTTTCTTTCTTGGAAGCCTAGAACTCGTCTGAGCTTCCTTCATCCTGAAATGGAGAAACGCTAGAGAGATCGCCAATAACAAATCAAGACAGCCGCCGACATGAGAAGAGGCTCTTGGCGAACTTTTAAACCAGGCGACCAAATCATTGTTCGGGGATCACGTCCGACAGATCCTGCATGGTTGGTGGGACATGTTGTGAAGAAAGTAAGTGCATCAACCTATGTCGTGATGGCGCAAGATCAGCATCGTTATGTGCATGCGGATCCGAGTCATTTCGAAGATTCGTCTGCACAGAGAAGAAATGTCGACACTCCGGCTGCAACACCACAAAGGGCGTTTGGTGGTTCCCGAGACAACATGACAGAGCCTGCTGCCCTCGATATAAAGCCTGTTTCCGAGACAGCAGCATCGACCACACCAGTGCTTTGAAGCAGCATACGACAACTTAGGTCACCGAAGAGGTGTTCTTGTGTGAGTTAGCTGAAACTTTGATGGGGAAGGAGTGTTGTGTTTGAGTATTGTTTCAACTATAAATAGCGCGAGGCGGCAGGCAAAAAAAGTGAGGGTACGCCTGCGATGTGTGAGACTGAATGAGAGCACGAGATAAAAAAAACGTTTGGCTTTGGAAGGTACATCGGCTGCACCTCTTCCTGTCTTCTTGCCGTAAACCAGAACATAGGGGATGTAATATAGCAATTATTCTTTGAAAACGCCGTCTGACGGCGCCCCCTGGTGTCTGCTCCCCCTGGTGTTTGCTCCGAGGCAAAGAAAGGGCCGTATCACAATCTTTGCTTCGATTTTTAATAGGGAAATCGGCCGCCCATGAGTGTAATTTCAGGTTTTTTAGGATGTTTAGAGCCCGTAGATTGAGTTATTACCACAAATAGACATTCTCAGAATGTTCCCCTCTAATTCTAGGGAAGAGCATGTGCCTGGCCAACGTCTTAACAAGGTTTCGACAAAAACCAATACTCGCTAGAGTGTTAATTTCCAGAAGTCAGTTTTTTTTATTTATACTGATTCTCTTTTTTTTTTGTTTAAAACCAGAATGTTTGCAGTCTAGTTGTAACATGAGAGGCATAGGACAACTTCGTCCTACAAAGTCCTCCACACTTACCACTTCAGTTGAGTGAACACTGGAGAAAAAGAAACCACCAATCGTGGTAAAAAAAACAAACAAAAAAACTAGATATCTTTGTTTATACAGCGTAAGGTCAGTCTGCCTTTCATCATGGCAAGCGAAGAGGTTTGTGTGCGTGGAGGGGATCTGCTTGTCCTGCTTTTCTTAGCCTGCAACTGACTGTAGTTGTCTGCTCTACTGGATCGTCACGTTGTCCCCAGCGAAAAATGTGAAAGTCGTTGGAAATATTGTGCGTCTTGAACAAGCGACTTAATGCACACGTGCCGCCGCTCCCGCAGACGTGGCCCTGACGAGCGACTTCATCTGCGGCTTCTGTGGGGAGACGGAGGAAGCCCACCGGGACACCCTATCCCTGGTGGAGGCAGTCCAGTACGACATGGCCTACGTATTCCCCTACAGCCTCCGAGAGGTGGGCCCCGTTTACTAATTATTTCTTTCAAAGTACTACCATTCCCTCATGGAACTCTGACTGAATAGGACATGTACACTTTCCGGGAACATACAGAAGACAAAAGCAACAAACACTTCAATGTGAAAAATGCGATCAAATTTGATAACGTAATTTTCTTGTCTCGCAGATCACGCTGCACAAAGTGGGGGCTTTTTCCGAACGGAGCCCATGCGCTCCTCAGCCCCCGTGTTGTCGTTGTCTCATTGTGTGCCGCTCTCTTCGGGGCTTCTAGGCTGCCTCATGAATGATACCAGTGTGCCGGCACATTCTTTTGTCATAAGCGGCTGCGAGGGAACACAGCGCACTATAGACGGAGCTGGCTGCTGCCTAGGACGGTAGAATTTGGGGGGCAGTGGAATTCGGAGGGTGACTAAAGTGGTGTTGACCCATTTCAAGCCAACTCTGCACACACAGCATGTTGGAGCCAGAAGCCCCTCTAAAATCTTCCCAAAACGTGGACTGCAGAAGAAATACCTGTCATGGAGCATTGTTTTATGGCATGCCCTATTCGAACGAGTTTCACAGTTACCTCTGTGTCAGCCACAGCAAACTCTCTGCCTTTGGCAGATAGGTTTGAACAGAGTGGAGTCCGGACTTCCTGTTTATAATCAGATTTATAAAATTATGATTTATCCGGTTTTTTAATTCATCTGGTCAACTTTACTTGTATTGTGCGCCAGAATGCGGTCGCAGTCTATGATATATACCAGGGATCTCAAACACGCGGCCCGCATGTGGCCCGCGACTGGTTGGTCCGCGGCCCGCGGGCAACCGGCTACGATTCCTGGTTCCCAGGTCTCAAGCGCTAGAAATGGCATGCGCTATAGTGATCTCATCTCGCCGATTCATTTTCGCTTGTTCTTCTGATGTATTCACATAGTTTATAATTATATATCTTTATTTACCCTTTGTTTCGCTTTCTTTTTTTGCTTCCCAGCTTTTTGTCATGTTGAACAATTTCGAGGCGCAAACTCTCAATCAGCAGGAGCAACCGCCAAAGATAAAGCTACGAGCTCGGGATTCTTCTCTTCAAAAAAATATAGCCATTAAAAGACAAGTATTTGTTCGGAGTGTTGTAATAAAAATCACCAGGAAAGAAAGAACTGTCAAATGAATATAAATAGATAATGGGAAGAACATAAAACGCACGGACGGGCAACACAATTTCCCGACTAGCAGCACGCTCTCCATTCCAAGTACGCCAAAATAACTGATTTCTTTTGTTTTGTTTTTTAGAAGCATGTCGAAATTACCCAATTCCTGTGTGAATTGAGCAATGGGAATGAGAGTGTACTTGCTCTCTTGTTCTTTTAAGAACAAGAGGTTGGTTGGTGTCATTGTAATTCTTGTTATCACATTAGTCAGGGCCCCAAGAAGTCATATAAGCACATCAAATGTAAAGATGTCACTGGCAAAACTGTAAGTTTATGAAAAGCATAGAGCACGAGTTCTCTTCTCATCGAAATCTTTTGAAACCGCCTCCTCCTTCCCCACCCCCAAGGTCTTACGTTGGCCCTCGACCTTTTCGGTGTTTGCTATCTTGCCTTCACACTTAAAGGGGCCCTGCAATCATATTTAAGCGTCTACCTTTTTTGCGGTTTCCACGTCCCTCGGGGTTTGGGCATGCCAGCGGGCACGGAGAGAGTAACTAAGTATCAGTGTGTCATATTTTAACCGGACGACGCAGAAACCTCCTCCACCTACGAGGGCGACCCACGGTGCCGAAAGCGCGCAAAATGTGACGTCTTAGGTCCTGGGCTTACTACTGGTCAGAGCCGCTAAAAGCTTCTTTTTTGTTGAAATACAAAATATAAGTGGCGCGAACTGTTTTAATTATTTATAAAAGTAGTTTTGGTTTAATTTTTTTTATATCAGAAATGAAACAAATGCAGTTTATAAAGTATGGAAACAAGAAATGACCCGTTGACATATTGCCACCAAGCGGTGGAAAAGGCGGCGCATACTAGAAAGGTGTAGTGGGATCAGGCGCCAACGAGCGGTGAGCGTAGGAAGGTCCCGGATGTACGCGGCGGCGCAGCGGTCGTACGGACTGGAGGATCTGACCGGTTCCAAGCGTTTTCAAGGCCTTCGGCAAGCAGCTTTGGCTTGCGGCTTGGACTTTTGGCACTATGGCAGCACGAAGTGGCTCCAGTTCTGAACTGATCTTTACCCAGTGTTTGGTGTCGTTCGTGGCCAACGAAATGTCAAGCCGAATTAGTGTTTAATCGTGCAGAAAATGCAATGCGAGCCGCCCTGACTGCCCGCTTCATACAGCCTATCCAGAACATGCCTTAGTGGCGCCCTCCCGAACCGTCGTCACGGACTGCGGCAGCCGTGACCGCTCGCTGAGCTCACTGACCCTCCTCTAGTTCACGGCCACTCAAGCAACCAAGGACGTCATGAAGGCGGTTATTTTTTGCTTGTTTTTGTAAATATAATTTGCCTATAACTTCTAAAATAAAGCGAAATTTGAGAAAAGAAAAGTTTCATTAAAAACCAGTAAAAAAGTCGTTGCAGGGCCCCCTGAAATGAGTTTGAGACCATGGATATGTACTCACAGCAGTTTAACTTTGCAAATTTTACTGGGAACGGTGGGAAGGGGCTCTTAAGTCTGCCGAGAGGGGAAAAATGCTGAATCCACCTCTGTGCATCGCCGGTCTTTTATTTCTATGGCACTCGCAGAAGACCCACGCGCACCGTCGACTTGAAGACGACGTGCCCCTGGAGGTGAAGAAGAGGCGGGTGGCTGAAGTGCTGGCCATGTTCCGCCGCCGCGTGAAGCAGCTTCATGACAAGGAAGTCGGATTGCTCCAGTTGGTCCTGGTGGAAGGGGTGAGGAAACAGCCCCCATTGGCAACATATTAAAGCAAAAACAGCACGCTGGGGTTAATTTTTTTTTACGACGGTAGCGGTCATTGGTGAGGTTTCGCAGCGGATCCTTTGGCCTGCTAAATTTAGTGGGAAAAATTATCCGCTAAATTTAGCAGGAAAACTTCTCTGCTAAATTTAATGCAAGATCACAGTGTCGCAATTATTTATTTATTTAGGTATTTATTAAAAATATGAGGGAGGGTGTCACATGGGGAAGGGGGGGGGGGGGGGAAGAGCACACAAAATGCAGAGAAGAGATTCAATAACAAATATGTAATCATGACAGAGAAACAACACACAAATAATATACGAAATAGCAATTTCAGAATTTTTCCAATAAATCTAGGGACTTTCTCAGTAAAATTGAGCGGGAAAATATTTTTGCCAAGTTTAGCGGGAATTTAGTGTCGTGTGACATCAGGGTGCCACATTACGTCACAGTGTCACATGATGTTATGGTGCATGTGGCAACAAAGTGTCACTTAAATATTGTTTGCTAAACTTAGTGGAACGTAGGTGTGTTAAATTTAGACACGGCGTCATGACTGTGTGCAGCGTTTCGGCTATCACTGCAGTTCATTTGCAAAACTCTGCAAAGAAGCATGAATTCTTCTTAAGCTTCCTCAACGCAGGGTGACATATGGACGCTGAGTGAAACAAGCCAGACAAAATGACAACTTGATGTAGCAAGGTGACACTTTCGTCGAGGCGTGTTTCAGTGACTTGTCTTACGGTGAGAACTTTTGAGGTATAGCTCCATTCCTGCGAAATATGAGAATGGAATCATCGAGAATTTGAAGGGCCTGACGCTGATGGGAATGTGATGTGATGTCGGGTCAACGCCACCAAAAGATCATCGGTCATGGTTGTAAAATCGCATGATGGTGACAGCCGATGAAGTTGAAGACAGTCTCGCGTAATCTATGTTCCCTCTAATATTGACCTCGCACAGTACGAGGTAGAGAAATAAAGGCAAACGCGGTTGTGCAAACTCGCTTGCCAACACGTCGCTTGTCTGCGTCATCTGCTATTTGCCGTCAATGATCTGTGTGGCGGTTGGTTGAAAGCGTCATTGAATGCTGGCGTCAATTTTTTCGGACGATTTTCCATGGTATTTGAATGCCTATGCCAACTCGTACACTGAATGCATCTGTTGTTTCTGCATGCAGTTTGTGAGGTTTTGAAAGAAATAGGTTTGTTTTCGGAAAGCTTTGCGCTCTTAAAGCCCCACTAACACGTTTGTGGACGGCTTTCCAGGTCAGCCGACGATCGGCCGCCGACCTGGCAGGCCGTAACGACAACAACACCAAAGTCATTTTTCCCCAATCCTTGATCCCGGAGTCTTCAGGGTCTACGGTTCGGAGAGAAGTCCAACCTGGGGACTACGTGGTCGTCGAGGTGGGTTCTCGACTGTTCTTAGTTTCGGGAAAACGGGTTCACCCATTTGCACCCAGGCGTGAATGACTGTTTTGCAACCACTTGTGACCGCCTGTCACAAGTACTGCAAAACCTGCAATTATGTTACTGATGTGGAAATTGTCTCTCTTAGTCGCGGGACGGGACAGGGAAGGGAATGTGGACGTCTTGTCGGCTGTAATGACCTGACTTGAATGAGTTAATATGAGGGTACACTTAAAAGTTTATAATAGGGACACTATATTCACATCGTGAACAAAGTTTGCGAGCATACTTAACTTGGTGCCTGTCGTATTTTGCTAAGGGGTCCGAGGATGCGTCCATCTGCCAAGTGTAATGTCGACCGAACGGTGTTTCCTTCTTGCTCGGTCCAGCTTGTAGCAGTCCTAGGGCAGGTGTGACTGGTTGGCTTGAACACCTGCAGTCTATAGTTATGTGCAGTTCGGAAATGGTTCGGGGTACTTGGCTGCCGCCTCACCTCCTTCGTAGGATGGAAGGAAGTGTGGTGCACATGCGTTGTGCACCTCGATCACGATTTGGGGGGAGGGGAGCAGGATTGCTAGCTCAAAGATGCACTCCGATAAAAAACCTAAAACAGCTTCCAAACCGAGCTTTTTTTTTTTTTTTTTTTTTTTTGGAACGGCGTAAAGTGCTGTACATGCTTTATATCTTCCCTAAAATTAGTTAATTTAGTGGTTTTTGATAATGCCCAGCAAATGTTTTAGTTGAAACCATACCTTTAAACATATTAAATAAATTATTATCAAATTCTAGTTAATAATTCACTTAATTAGTCTGTTCTTTTGCGATCCCCAACATCCACTGTGACTGGCAATTTCTTCCCGTAATGAGTTATTTTTTTTCCTCAATCCAGATAGTTTTTAGAAAATTGTTAGTCTTTGCTAAAATACTCGGTATCTGTATATACATTTAAGATTAGCTTTTTCTTATTTGATCAGAGTGTGCTCCTTTCAAACGCAAAAGGCATGCAAATTATGTGCAAAAATTGCTTTTTCCCTTAACGCGACTACAGGTACATCTGAATTTCACCTCTACAGCATTAAACCAGTGTTATAACATTTTTAAGGCAGACCCATCTTTCACGCTGGAAGCATAGACAATGTTTCTTTTTTAGTGTTAAGAATTGTTTAATAAGTCCATGATTTAGCAAAAAAAAATTTAAAAAAATGAAGAATGCAAAAAGACGAGCAGTTTGGTTTTCTCTTGGCTCCAAACACCCTAAGCACTATGGCAGAGAGAAAAGAGATAAACAGAGTCAATTAAAATTGTTTCTGGTTTTGGTCAATCATTTTTCAACAGAATTAGGTGCAAAAAAAAAATCTGCATTTACTTACCAAGGATAAAACGCCTTCATCGGTATAGCACTATACTTTTTTTATATGGGTGTAAAATGGACACATTAAACGGGGGGAAATCTTGCCTCAGAAAAATGCGAGCATTATTATTGCGATTACTGCAACCAATGATCTGAATTGATATTAGCTCTTTAGTGTACTTCGAGATGCAAGAGTATCGGGAATAAAATTAGATTTCAGATAGCTATTGGATTTTAGATGCAACCCACTAATATTGATTAGCATTATTTTGCTTGTTACCACAAATTGATTAGCAAAATTTCATAATGACCATTTTTGTTTGTTTCTTTTATTTTCAGATTAACGATTGCACCAGCCAGGTCCTGAAAGGCACACCCATTCACATCAGCTCGCTCCAAGAACATTCGCAAAAGAAAGAACGTCTAAAGACTGTGCAAAGCTAGTCTTTTTTTTTTATTATTATGTTGTGAATAATGTGAGAAATAAAACTGTATGACTTGTAACTTTGTGTCTTGGCCTGTTTGAGTTCTCATATACACAAAATGACAACCCGTACCGAGTTCACTTTTTCTGTGGCAATGTCAACTCAACACTGGAATAAGTCTACTATCTTACTTTAGATGGATGAATATTTTAGCAGTATTTTGTTGATGTGTTTATTGCGGTAAAAATGTCCACGAATGTCTGGAACAAATAATGGACTTGGCATCTGGATTAAGCAGATGTGAACTTTTAATTAAGTGGATACCGAATTTGTTTCATCTCACAAACGAAAGCTTATCCACCCTGAACGAAAAGTTGAGTGATGATAGATTTTCGGAGCTTTGGTCTTTTGGTATGTTGCTATCCTGACAAGATCAATTATTTTTTTTTTTAATTTCAGGATTATGATTTATTACTTCTTGAACTAATTGAGAATTTAGAACAGTTAACACGTTCAAAAAGTTAAATAATACTTCATTGTGCGCGGGGTACCACGTCAATCCCCTGTGACGTAGGTTTTCCCGCGGGATTTCGCGCCGTTGCGGTGAAGTACGATTCGCAGAGCAACCTTCTCTTCGGTGGTCTGAATTTCATAGCTTTCATAAAGCTCTAAAAAGAAAAAAAGAAGTGATAATTGTTTTGTTTATATTTTGGGGAAACTTTTGTGCACAACACTAATTGCACCGGAAACAGTCAAAAGCAGCACTAACAGCATTCCCAAAACGAAGTCCAAAGAAAAAAAAAAGTACAGGGACGAGCGGCACGATGTTCTTGACAGTTTAACATATATTTTGCATTGCGAGTAATTAAGAAAACTCGTGACTTTCAAGTGGGACACAGGCTTGCATTTTACGTGTGGCACCGCGTTTTAGGGTGTCAGAGCTTCCAATGTTCGAGTGGCTTCATTCATTGGCTGCAGTCCAGCGTCGAGCGGCATGTCCCCGTGTACCCAATGCCTCGTCGTCTCGCCGTAAGTTATCGCAGGATATTTTCCGTCTCGTTCGCGTACGAATTTCACCCGATAGCAGTCATCGCTCCCAATCTAACGAGCAACTGATTTAGAAACGACTCGACTCAAGAATTAATGCGTTAGCCTTGAAGCGAGTCCGGTTCTTTTCTGCGTTAGGCCTAGCCAGCCGGACACTTGTCATACTGCACTGCCGCACTGCTCCAAGCTCTCCAACGGCAACAAGTGACCGTCGTCATTCGTGCGTCTTCCACTCGATGATTCCTGCGCCTGTCACGAAAAGTGCATCAGAAACGTTCCGTGAAACTTGCGTTCGCGTTTGCTAGGAGGCTTATTTTCAAGTGTCATATTTTGGGGGTAAGTCGGCCTTTGTTTTCGATCTGTCGATTGTCGTTTGCGGGTTCTGTCGGTGGCGCTTGTAGACTCGTTTGAGCTTAGCTTCTTTAGAATGAAGAAGAACACCTTGTCAGGCTTTAACTCCTGGTCACAGGTGCGGTACTTGAGTCTCCGAGCAAACTACAACTACTAATACTGCTCCATAACGCGAAGTTGCAGAAAGTTTTGGACGACCGACCTCTTCGTGATCCACATTTGCGTTCGGTGTGTGCGTGAACGTAGAAACTCCGTTTTGCAGGTAGATAATGTCCGACCACATCACTGCCAACGGCACGGGTTCTCCCAGCTTGCTCAACAGTCTGAGAAATTTTCGCTTTCAAAAGAAGTTCTCTCAAGATTCGCCGAACGCCGAGACGCCAGACCAGGATTCGGTTGAGATCGCAGAAAAGCAGCCCGCCGAGTGTGATCAGCCTGACAGTTCATCAAAAACTCCACCTCCCAGCGGTGAGTTGTTTGAAGTTGATCAGCTTTCATTGGTGTATGCTCTCATATGTTGAGGCTAGGAGTTTAAACACGTGAGTGATCTGCACTCTCGTTCTAGTTGTGGTTGTGATCCCAGAAACGCCGGAATCTGATCTTTTGAAAGCCGGCAGCGAAGCTGAGTCTGCAGCCGAGGGGTAAGCAAAGTCCAGCAATAATTCTTTATAGTTACAACCACCTCTTATTTACTCTATAATATATAGTATACTTCACATTTACCATATAGCATGTTACTTTTTCTACAATATTGTGTACCCTGCGCCACACTTTGTTCAGTCATCTAATGCGCTCAAATACATATGCGGTATACGAGTGGTAATCATTTGTTTCCAAAGCTGTAAGCAAAAATAATTTCAGTTATACCGCAAAGTCCATCTTTGCCTTTTTTTGTAGAAAACACCATACGACTTGATGGTCCTAAGATTGCCTAATGCAACATTAGTACACTGTTGTGTGGTAGGAACAAGTAATTATTTTGAGGCTGTCATAAAATTGAACGGAAATTTGTGCATGCTTAAGTACCCGGTATTGGAAGAAAAAAAAATGTCAGCCCAGATTGATGGTATAGTATGGAATGGGCGAGCATCCGCCCATTCCATACTAAGCGCTTACCCTCAAATTTTGCAACATCTGAAAAAATATGCACCATACTTATATAGGTCGAATTTGATGACCTAACAAGTGCCCATTCCCCAATTTTCGCGATTATCTTTATATTTTAAGTGGGCACTTGCTCGGCATTTTACGGTGACAAAATCATCAAAGGTAGGAAGCTTGCGCCAGAGGCGGGACAACCGAAAGGCCTCCCGGCCATTCTTGTTTCGTTGGTGGCTATAACAAGGGATGCAGTTCACCACTATACTCCATTTCGGTATGTCTTTGTAGACCGCTAACTCTACGGCCTCGACGAGCCAATGGGTATGTTGGAGCAAAGCACGTGACAGCATACTGCCTGTGTGCGCTGTGCACTCCTCACGTGCTGCTGTACGTTTACGTTCCGGTTAGCTCACGGAAGCCTCAACATTACACCTTTGCCGACCTATGCCGAAACAGAGTATAAGACTTGATTCTTGGCATTTTACCGAAATAAGCTGCATTCTCGTATGTTTGAACCACTCTTCTCCATTAAACAACTGCATTCTCGTATGTTTGAACCATTCTTCTCCATTAAACTGCTTTTATTTAAGTACCCTCGTTTCCCAATTGGGCAACCGCTTAGCAGCCTGGCACTGTTCAAAGAAATGTATCCGCTGTCAAGGATTGCACACCGACGTTTCCCCTCATTGCCCGTATCGAAAACGCAGGGCCCTGGCGTGTTCCACTTCGCAAACCCTGAACTCAACCACTGACATGGACGATGAGAGCCCCATTGTGTGCAACGGCGTGAAGCGAAAACGGGTCTTGTCGAGCGAGTCAGAAGACGACGAGAACAATCCAAAGCCTCCAGTTCGGGAGATGCCCACTCCGAGTCCGACCAATGAGAGCAATGCAGAGGAGGTGGAGGAAGAGGAGGAGGAAGATGACGATCTGGACGACTACACCCGGTACATGACCAGCAAGGAGAGGTGCCTCAAGCAGCTCATGGATCGCTTCAAGGGTGCAGATGTGATGGTGAGTGCTAAGCCTGCACATCCTTTTTCTCTCCTCTGCTTTGTTTGTTTCCTTTCGTTTAGGATTTGCTCATGGCATTCACATTCTCAAAACAGGTTTGTTGCTTGTTCTGCCTGTCTGTCTTAAAGGTACACTGACAGGGTACTTATACATGCCAATGTTTTTATTTGAACATGACCTATGAGAGCCCAACTACCCAGAACACTATTTGCAGCTCGAAATTCATATTCTTTCCGCTCAAAAACCGCCGGTCGAGAATTTGCCGGTTTCCGGTGTACTCGCTTCCTTTCCACAATCACGTACCATTCAAACTAATGTGCACCAAATATATGCAAAGTCATGGGTCATCTAAGGTAACAGATTCAATATTAAAAATAGAAAACAATATGGACCTATTTCCTGTGGCTTCCAAGAAGCTGCAAATACGTTGACTGAAAAAAAATTATTGCACTGATCACGGGAAGTAGATGTACACGTAATTCGCAATTGGGCAACGTACCGCGGGCTGGACGACGCGACGGCGGCGCACGATGGATCAACTTTGCGATGGTCATGGAGCCGCTACTTCGGATCTGCGTTTCGTGGTACCGGCCAATTGGTCGGTACCAGAACAGTGATGGGGAGGGGAATGAGTGTGAAACGGTCGCGCGACAAACGGTTCAAGCAACGTCCTTGTTGTCGTCGTCTGCTTCACACAGTTGAGAAGCGAAGGAACAGAAAAAAACTGGGTAGGAAGCGATAGCCACATAACTTCCAACAACTCTCTCCTCCGAGCCTCCGTGCACATGTTTCGGTTGCGTTTTTGGCTTAATTAAAAATATACGTGACTAGCAAAATATTAATTGGGTAGTCTTCTGGCAGCGTACTAGCTCGCCTAACAAAAAGTTAAAAAAAAAAAAAAAAAAGCTTGGGGAGGTGTTAGTGGCTGTCCATGCAGGACACAGCATGTGCCGCGCACAGCGTTTGCCGGACAGAAGTGGAGGTTTTCTCTCTTTTTCTGGTCCGTTTTTTTTTACGATTTGTGCTGTAGGAGAAAGCAGGCGTCCACTTGTGTCTTCGGTCTCGTGACGTAGGTCCCAAGACAACTCCTCACTCTTCTGCTAGCTGTGAGCCAAGGCCTTTGCTTCTGTTGTTTCTCCCAAACCTCTTGAAAACAAGACTGGGGAGGGGACAACACCTAGGAAGCGAAGGGGATAGCCGTGCTTTATCGCGCACGTGGTTGATGCAGTGGTCTAGCTAGGCTACCTGGCACCCAAGGCCCTCATGTCTTTCGTAGCCCCCCCCCCCCCCCTCCCTCCCTCCCTCCCTCCCTCCCTCCCTCCCTTCTTCACTCCCCGAGATGGCAACCAGCCAGTAAAGTGGGAAAAGGGGGTGCCGAGTGTTGCCAAAGGTGCCCCCCCCCCCCCCCCTTCCCCCCCCCCCCCTGTGACTGGGTCGCCTGGTACCCAGGGCCCCCCGGCCCCCCTAGTTGCTACGCCACTTGGTTGACTTGGTTGATGTCCTCTCTGAAATCGTCCGTGCACGCCAAACAAAATACAAGTCTTTAAAATTGTGCATGCATTTTTTTTTTTTTTTGCACTGCACAAGTTTTGTTTTGTCTGGACATCCTTTTACCTGATGTTTTATCTGGCTCATTACTTGTGTGTTTATTTATGCCCATGCACTACACGGATTGTGAATCAAAAGGGTTTGATCTAACTACTGTTACATTTAGCATTCAAAGTTCTTTGTTTAGACTTCAGACAGGTGTCTGGGGTGCCATGACAAAAGTAAATTACATACCTGACAAGGCACCAGTCCTCCACCTTCATTCACATCATTCAGCAAGCTTAGGCAAATGTTGAACGCATAAAGAAAATTTGTATGATTGGCATAAACCGGATAAAAAAAATCTATCAATAAATTTTAAAAAAAGTGCTCTATAAGAAGACAAACCGAGGAATGTAAAACCAAACAGTCACTGCTGAAGCTACCAAACAATATACATTCATTTTTCTAAACTTGCACAAGCATGGCACCAAATCAAAATGCTCTGGTTTAAACTACTGATGCGGTAGAAAGTGCTGATCGGGTATTGACACCACCAACCTAGGCGCTGAACTTTTGTTTATCATCAGTGCCCTGCTCGAGCAAAATGCGAAAAAGTGCCAATGTTGCACTTGTGTTAACGGCGTCGTGCACGAAACGCGAGTGCAGGTCAGAGGTAATTTTGCTAGAAGAATTGGCAGGGCTAAAATACAAATGCTCTCAAAAACAAAAAGGTGTGCTCAAACACTCTCAACCTGGTACTGCTAGATCTAGCCAGTTTTTTTAATTTTAATTAAAGTGGCTTTTTTTTTTTTTTTTTTTTTTTTGCTTTTTATTAGATAGTTGGTTTGAAGAGAAGAAGAAACATACATCAGATGGATTTTATTTGCAAAGACTCCAAAGTATGACTTTACAACAGTTTTCTTTTTTTTTTTTTTTTTATGCTCTCCATATAAAAAATTTGAGGTGTAGTAGGTATGTTTATACAGTCTGAACTTAGTCTGCCTCAACGGGCAAGTTGTCGTTTAGCTGTAGATGAGAAATTTAGCCAGTGCAGTGCAGCCGCTAGCCTGGGGTCTTTAACGTGCACCACGCAGTAGCGATACACGACTGCACGCTGGTACGATGCTCATCCACATCGAAACGGGCAGGGGTGGGGATCAAACCCAGGATTGATGGGCTATGCAGTGCAAGCTTTCGCTCCACATGCTCTGAGCTGGTGTGCGCTAGCCCACTCGGCCACCAATCCCCCATCTCCATATCGACACCCATCTCATTCAGCTTGCGAGGGAAGAAACAAAGAATGTAATAATATTTACAGGGAATGTAAACTCACGAGTGTGCTGGTTGAGTTGAGCATTGAAAGAATAAGACACAAATGAATTGAGAGACGAGGTACACTTTCTTTCAGTGTTAGTCAAAAGTGTAAAGTGCCGAAAGAGACGAGGACAGAATGAGTAAAAGGAAACAAAGCGCACTCGCAACTGAAGAAAGATGGAACTTCCAGAGAAATGTATAAGATATTTGTAATTGGGAGTAGAGGCGCAGATTGCATCGGCAAAGCGTTCGTAGCATTATTTGAAAAAGAGTCCGATTAATGTCAGACGGAGTTGTTACAAGTCTGACTAGGAACTTTTAAGGGGATTCTTTTTGGACATGTTTCCTTTCGACATACTTTGGTCGCAAGCATGCCTCGTTTCGTTCGACTTGTCCCGTCCTCGTCTCTTTCGGCGCTTTTTCTGCGCGTCTTCTCCGGCAAGCTTGGGGCGTTACCATGGCGACCTTCAGCAAGCGCATTTGTGGCCGCACCTGCAGCAGCTGCAGGACGTGCTGGTGCGGTGCGACTGGGACGTGGACCGGGCACTCGACCAGCTAGAGAAGAGCCCGCCCAGCATGAAGACGAGCAGCCCCCACCGCAACTCCCACTTCAAGACTGTCTCTGCCCCGAAGGGCAAGGGGGTAGCCTTCGACGGCCCCGAGGAAAGGGAGGTCGCCCCCAAGGTACTCTCTTCCTTTCATTTCATTACTGCTTTAAGGGCCCAATTAGAGCGTCGCATGAAGCTGTGTCGCAGGACCCCGAGTTTCTCCCCAGAGAAAGCGTAATCCGACGAAAACGTCGGGTTTTTGCGCCGCAGCACTGCGGCAACTCCAAGGTGGAGGGAAGGAGAGATGTGCACGAGCATTACAAGTAGAGTCCTGGCATGGCGACGGACCAGCTTGTTTTTAATTGTAGTTTATCGTTAAACGATTTGGGTGTCGAGGGCCGAGGCTGCTAAATTTGTCTGCAGTGGTGTCGAGAGTAGATACTGCTAATTTGAACTATAAAGGCTGGCCTCCTTGCCCCTGCCCCTTGCCGACGTGAACGACGAAGCCGTGGAGGAAATTGCACAAGATGTTGGCATCGTGCACATACTTCTGCGGATATTTTCCCCGTGGAAATATCTCTTTAGGGGAGGCTGTATAATGCTATAAAATTGTAATAATATACATAGAAAAAATAAAAATGCAGTTGAAACTAACCATTTTATTGACACAACTGAAATATTAAAAAACACTGTCGCATCATTAATGGTAGCATTACGTAATGGCAGCTGGTTTCATTTGGTAGTAACGAGAAGAAGAAAAGATGAATCGAAAAAATTTGTTTTACCAGAAATTTACAGAGCACCAAACTCCAGCGTTTGTGGTCATCAAGGAATGGTTATCTAACAGTTATTAAACCCGTTGCCCCTTTCAGCAGCACTTGCGTAACCAGAGGCAGGCATCAAGTAATGCCAACAAAAACGGCGATATAAACTTTCTCAGGAACACAGCATATCACCGAAGGTCAGTTAAATATTCGTAAAGATGAAATGTGCGGTGCTGGTCTAAATTTAGAGAGATTACTTCTTACTAAATTTGGTGGCAAGTTTTTGGAGACATTTGTGATGTATTGGTGTTGGTGGCAAAAAAATGGCGGAGCGAAGTTCAGCGCATGTTTTGTGGTTGATGTTGGGACGGCGCGTAAACGACAGCAAGACAAAACAAAACATAAACGCATTCTGCCATCCGTTGCCTTTACCCAATACGAGCCAAGGGGGCACCTTCTTTAAATGCATCTAATTTATAGAACCAGCCAGAGCATGACAACTGCGACGCCATGACGTCATAATGTTATGTGACACAATGTCACACGACGCAGTGACATCACGTCACATCGTTACGTTCAAGGCACTGTGATGTTGTTATATACTATTTGCAAAACTCTCGCAACGTGCCCTCGAGTGACCTCCTTGCTGTGCTCACAAAAGAAGGAGCAAGAAAGAGTCCTATAAATGCTATGCATTCAGAACGACTGTGGGAAATTCCAAAAACACAGCCAATTTTCTTCTTTATTGTTTTTGCAATCCCGACGCATCACAATTCGAAAGCAACGTGCCTAAAGGGGCTGCCGCATGCAGGTCAAGCTACGCGCAGAGGTCGTCACCAAGCCCGGCGAATCCTCGGAAGCGGGCGGCAGCAGCCCCAAGAAGTCCATGTCCAAATTCAAGGCGTTCAACAACCTCAAGTCGCGGGAGGCCAGCTCCAAGAAGCAGGGAGGCGGCGGCCGCAAGAAGAGCAAGCGGTCCAAGGCAGACGACGAGAGCGACGACGAGGACTACCGCAATGAGGACATCTACGGCTCGGCCGACGACAGCGACGCCAGTGCCGGGGAGGACGAGACGCCCGCCAAGGCAGAGGCCCGTCGCGCAGTCACCGACTTCTTCGACACAGCCACACTTAACGAACTGAGTGCCGTTCCCGGCTGCACCAAGAAGAAGGCGGAGGTGATCATGCAGAACCGTCCGTACAAGACGTGGAAGGCGCTCGTGGACAAAATGGAGACGGTCAAGGGAATGTCGCCTACCCTGCTGAATGGCGCCAAGAACGTGCTGCACATGCGGGGGGTGGTCAGCCGTCTCATGTCCAAGTGCCAGGGCATCGCCGACCGTATGCAGGAGATAGTCTCCCAGCTGGTCTCGGGCAGTGAGGAGTCCGAGGGATACATCAAGGAGCAGCCATCCACACTTAACAACAGGTGGGGCTACCATAGGCCCACTTCTCGTTGGCCTGCCATGTTTGTGGATTGGAGACTCATAATAATAACTTCTCTATTGTCTAACAAAATCAATGTTGGTGGAGACGAAGGTAAAAGGCAGTCTTGACTGGCGCCATACCCCCAAGGTACAGCTGCAATAGAGCACAAATGAAAAATGTAGTCTTATGCTCTTAAAAGTAACTTACAGTTGAAACCGTAATGCATAGTGCTCGGGCTCTTTTGCCTTCTGCGATTAGAGGTTGTGACTGAAGGCCCGAAAGGGTTTTTCCCAGACCAGGATAAAAAGTTACGCTGTTAAGCAAGATGTGCAATACAAACTGAAAAACTGAGCTAAATTAGAGAAAACTGAAGAAGGGGGTATATAATTAAGGTGTGCGTCATTGGTGAAATGTTTCTATTGTGTTGGCTTCGATATCTTGCATATTGTTTGTCATGCCGGGGGTTGTGGGTCTGAGATGGCCCCTTTCTGAAGTGATCAACATGTCGCAGAAGAAAAGAAAGTGTGGGGTTCCTGTCCTACCCTACACTGCCTCTATGTGACATGCAGAAACACATACATAGTATGTATTTGCATTTGAGAGGAAACATGTGGACTGTTGGACTTAATTTTTGCAAGGACCCAATTTTTGCGACTTGTATAATATTGAAAAATATGTACTGCGAATATGTTTCTCTATGGTAACAGAGACATAACATACCACCTTGATTTATGAAGTTCCGTGCCCGCTAATTATTCCTAAAAACCACACTTTACCGAGTTCGGGAAGCATTGAGCCGGCGAAAGTAAAGTCGTTTGCAATATGTTGCTCTTCCTCTTTAAGAGATTCCAGCACTATGCGAAAAGAAATTTAAGGATGCATGCGCTCGTGTCACTTAATTGAGGACATTTTTATTTATTTTATTTATTTATTTATTTATTTGAAATACTATCGGTCCTACGCAGGACCAAGATAGGAGTGGATTTTTTACAACACAAAAAAATACACACGCTCAAAATGCACAGATTAATAACACGAATTTAACACAATGATGAAATGACAACTCTAGGTACTGCTGTCAGAAATCTCTGAAATAAGGGAACTAAACTCTTCTCGAGTTTCAGCGGTAACAACATGTTCGGGTAGCTTGTTCCAGTCTCGCGCTCTTTGTAAGAAGAACGAATACCTAAAACAGTCCTTAGAAAACTTCCGCTCTTCCACACACCGAGCATGCTTGCTGCGGGTTATACGCGACATGCTCTCCTTAATATACTGTTGCTTATTTACTAGAACCAAGTTATTCATTATGTTATAAAAAAGGTTAAGCCGCTTCTGCTTCCTCCGCACCTGAAGGAGGGGTAGATTTGCCCTTTTATAAAGAGGTGACACAGAGTCCAGCCGTCTATAGCTAGAAAAAACAAAACGTAACGCACGCCGTTGAACTCGCTCCAGATTTGATATAAGATATTTAACATGCGGGTCCCAGACTTCACATGCGTATTCTAATAAAGGCCTTATTAGCATCTTGTATGCTGTGAGTTTTGTTTCTGGGGAAGCGAGTTTAAGAGTGCGCCTGATGTACCCTAATCTTTTGTTAGCTTTTCCGATTATATTGCTAACGTGCGGAGTCCAACTTAGGTTTGAGGCCATTGTAAGACCAAGGTATCCAAACTCTGACACTCGGCTTAAGGCTTTTCCTTGCAGCATATACATATACTCTAACGGCTGTCGTTTATGAGTGATCGTCATACATACTGTCTTGTCTAAGTTTATCGACATTTGCCACTTAACACACCATTCATTGATCTGAGACAAATATTCGTTTAGCATAATTTGATCATTAACGGACGTCACTTCAGTATAAATAATACAATCGTCGGCAAATAATCTGGCTTTTACAGGTGAATCTTGGATAAGGTCATTAACAAAAACCAAAAACAGCAGGGGACCCCGGACAGAACCCTGTGGAACACCCGAGTTCACATCACATTCGTCCGAGCTAACCCCATCAATACTTACAAACTGTCGACGATCATTTAGAAAGGCCTCAATCCACCGAACAATCTTACTCCTCGGGATGGGGAATACCCGCCAGATGTGTAATGGACTCTCTAACTACCATGGTAATTATTTTGAGGTCATCAAGTTTGAACTTTTAAAGTTTGAGCCAATAAGTGAATCAAAGAAGGCCGACTAAATTTTTGCTTTTAACTTCCGAGAAAAAATGTGGCAGAATTTGGCTGTTTCAGGGGAATGTGGACATTCAATTCCAGCGTCGTTCAGCAAAGTATGGTGCCTGGGGTCCAATTTTGGTCGTCGCAAGAAAAAGAGCGAAATTGAATTTGCCTCTCCGGAACGAGTGAAGATAGCATTCCTCGAAGTTTCGTCTGTTAATGCAAGCGAGGAATGCCGTTTGTCTGCTTTGAAGTGTGATTCTCAGATGGAAATAAAAAAAAAGGAAATGGTGTGCGTCGTCTGCTAACAGATTGAAAAAAAGTTCATTGTCTACTATGAACTGAGGGCCACAGCAAAGTGAGGTTGGAGATAGGGTTAGGTTGCAGTCGTCCGCTATTTCATGTTGGAAGCCATTGATAACTCACGCTTCTTTCATAAGCCTCGGGTTGTTCTGCTGCCGTACACAACCCGACATTGACCGGTGGGTGAAGAAGTACTAAGGACGAGCACGTTGGAGGCCACGAGACTTTTCTCACTATTTCCGGACTGGCGAAGTGCTCTCACCAAATTTTTGCACGGTCGTGAACTCTCAAACGTGTCGAAAATCTCTCGTCGGTTGATTACATGCAAGCTGCGGCGGCACGTCCAGTTGGCAACCAAAAACGCTCTCGCCCTCGCCTTGACCAAAATCGGACCCGAGGAGCTAAGTTTACCGCATTCTCGAAAGTGGTCCCTTGATATCTGCCTGACGACGTCATCAAGATGTCACGTGCGTTGCCTGCCCCGATTTTGCCACTTTGGGACTGCTTCCGACGCATGGGCGGGATACGACCATAAACACGTCGATCGAAAACGTATTCGGGGCTCAATAGTTCCAATGCTCTCGTTCGGCGAAGACTCGTCTCTTCGCCGTAGTAGACTCTTCGTTAACATCCCGCCTGGCTTGTGCACAGCCTCCAGCTGTCCCCCTACCAGCTGATTGGCCTCAACTGGCTGGCGGTGATGCACAAGCAGGAGGTGAACGGGATCCTGGCGGACGAGATGGGCCTGGGCAAGACGATCCAGGCCATCGCATTCCTCGCTTACCTCCAGCAGCAGAAGGAGAACGGGCCGCACCTCATCGTGGTGCCCACCTCCACACTGGGTAGGCTTCCCCGGTTTCCGGTCGCTCGCCTTTTAGTTGTAGCGCGGTTTAGCGCTGATCTTTCGCGAGCCTGCGTGCACTCTCTCGAGGCTCGTTCGCACGCTTGCGACAACTTACAACCAAGTGTGTTACAACCGAATGTGATCTGTTACGACGCGGGAACACGCAGGTGTCGTCTGTCGGGTAGTTCTGGGAAACTCCAGATTTCCATATATGTATTTCTCCTATATTTTGCATATCATTCTTTCACTATCGACTTGAAGAACTTTTGACAATTTTATAAACGACCATTTCCCATAGATGGCGCCTACATTTGATCTCGCAAATAGCACAAAACCCTTGCTCTAGTGAAAGCCTTATAGGTGGCACCAGCGTACCAGTACATTCTCTCATCGTGAGAGGTCGTGATGCGCTCGACCGTGGGCAGTCGCAAGTGCATGAACCAGTCTTGGGGCCGCTGTACTCGAAAACAACTTTTTGTTTAAGCACGGCGAGAGGACAGCATTGCATCGGGAAGTTGTCCCCAGGTGTCCTTACTACCTCGGTGGCTCCGTGGCAAAGCGGTGGCCTACGGGGGTTCGAATATCCATTGAGGTGCCCACAATCTGACGGAGGCTTGTTGCGGCGAAGGCCGAGTTTTCAGTTGCACCTCGAAAGATCCCCAGGTGGTTGAAATTAATCCCTGGTCCTTCGCCAGTGTGTGCCTGATGCCCTTAGTAGGTTTGGCAGGCAAGTCCCCCGGATTGGTTCCCAGTTGTAGCACTTTTAGCTATTGCCCTTCGACCAAGTTGAACCAGTGAGAGACCAGCTACCGAAGATTCAAGAAATGTTGGGCAAACTGTATGTTTAGTATGTTTTCTTTGTCTTAAATGTATCTATATGCAAGGAAAAAAAAAGTAAATAAAAAAATGTAATTTTTTTTTTTTAGTTTGAAGCTTTTTGTTTTAGTTATTATACAACAATTATTATACAAATACAACGATTAACTCTTTTTGTTAGTTTTTTCTTCGAACATGGAAAGAAATTGTTTTCATGAAACCTTTGGATCGAAGGGAGTCTTGCAGTGGCCCCTCACGTCGCTCGTTTTCCCAGAGAACTGGATGCGGGAACTGCAGCTGTGGTGCCCCTCCCTGGACGTTCTGGTGTACCACGGCAGCCAGGAGGACCGCAGGGAGCTCAAGTACCAGATACTGGACGGGGAGGTGGGCACCTTCCACGTGCTCGTCACCACGTGAGTGCCACTGCCATGACACACCAGGCAAACAGCGCCGTTGTGCGCCTTTGTCTCTCATTTTATTTGCAAACGCTCTCGTGCCAGTGAGGCGCTACGGTCACCGACAGAGTGAGCACGGATTTTTCTTTCGAACGCTGGGACTCCGGCTCGCACTCCCTGCCTTCCACCGTACTTCGGCCGCGATCGCACGCTCGGGGTGCGCGAGACATTGACGCGTCGTCGGAGGTAGTAAGCCTGGGCGCTGGAAATGGGATGACCAAAGCACCTCCCTGTCGTTCTCACCCTCTTGGTGATTACGGGTGAATTCCACGCTTTCTCACCAGAAGCTTTAACGGCGCTGTGCACTAAGCATAAATGGAGAGCGTAGTTTAGTGCAGTAGAACCTTGTTGATATATTTAACTCGCTGTTACTTTTGCCAACACCGATTAGGTTGAACTCTTGTATGGATACGTGTATTATATTTACTGTTTGTTGCATCTGCCTTCTCACTCGATACTTTTGGAAATGCCGCACGGTGCAGTTGATGTGACGCATTGGCCTTAAGGTTGCTGGTCCTGTCTCACTTTTCCAAGTTACGGGACGTGTCGTAAGTTCATAATAATTAATTTTTTTTTTTTTACGTTGGAACAGCCAAGTTTAACGCTCCCTTTCCCACGGAGCACGCTCGTGACCAACCGTTGTAACGCATACCGACGGAGCCTAGCATATAAGGAGATAAAGGAAATCGGCTCCGATTTCCAGGCTCATGAATTGCCATTGTCAGTGTTATGGTGCTGGCAGGCGTCAAAGTCTTCCAGCGGTGGTCGTTCCACAGATGTAAAATTGAGACTCGTCAACTTGTCATGTTTCTGGAGCATTTTTTTGCGCACAGGATTCGATTGACATCTGTCTTTCTGCCTTTTTGACAGCTACCATATGGTTTCTGGGAGCGCGGAGGACCGGAGCCTGTTCAAGAAGCTGCCCTTCAACTACGTCATCTTTGATGAGGCTCATCTGCTCAAGAACATGGCATCTCAACGCTACAACAACCTCATGAAGATCAACGTGAGGCATCGGTCTTTCGTTCCCACAGTAGTAGTAATCGGAGCGGTAAAAGTTTTTTTAGAAAGTACTAAGTTACAGTTACACGAGTTAGGATGGGATCTCAATCATATAGACTCATTTTCTGTAGATTTATGGAGTTACTGTTGCTGTAGCGCTAACAAAAATTTGCATTCCAATTATGCTCCTAAAATATCCTGCAACGTCGAGGTACCTATAGAGCCATTGGTGACCAATGATTTATATCCTTCACTATCTTCCCCCCGGAGAGAGTGAAGAGCAAGGCCCCTTCAAGACGGGGGCGGCCCTCTCACGCTTCACGAGCGGGCCAAAGCTTGCAGCAAGGAGGTCGAACGTTCCGACTCGTGGCAGCTACGAAGGCTTTGGGGGAGGGCGACCGGCGATCCCCGCAACCTCGCGTGCGTGCACAGCCAGAGTGTGGCGGAAGGCGAGAAGTATGTGCCGGAGGCTGGGCGTTCGGAAGGCACTCTCTGCCGAACCCTTCTTTCAGCGACTGTAGCTTTAAAAGGTATTGCCCAAGTTCCGCTTGGGTTCTGCACTTTGCTGCGCCAGAGTTTTTGTTGGTGAGAATGACTCGCGGTGCCGATGTCGAGGCTAAATCGGTGAGAATTTGTGTGTTTGTCGACGTAATTTCGAGTTGGGACCGTAATTAATTTAAGTTACGAGCTCAAATTCGAGTGTAACTTGGAGAGTATTCGGTAGCTGAAATTGTAACCGAACTAACCTCTGGCTCAAAGGCAAAAATTCAAACGACGTCCCCACATTTTGCGACTTATACACAGCTGTTAGCGCGACTTTGAGAAGGAGGAAGAGTAGCCACTACCCTGTTTTTCGACCTAATCTTTCAACTTTTGGTTCTTATGGCAATCATAAATGGCGGTGCTCGGTACTTCATTGACAAAAAAACTTTCCACTCGAAAGGATTGTTTTACTAATAATTTTGTAAAAGCAGGTAATTAAGAATCGGATTTGCCACCTCAAGCCTCAATCGGATAATCTAGCAAGGCCAGAATAGTTTATATAGTTTGTGCGAGAGATGAGATTTTGGGGCAACTAAGTACCTGAAATGTGCTTTCTGAATAGCTTGGGAAAATGGAGTCTTATTTCTAAGAAATTGAACTTCTCAAATCTGAATCAGAAGGCCTTGTTGAGCGCAAAGTACCTGCAGAAATGGTGTCCCTCGCTTGATGCTTATACTATAAAAATAAGATCTAGATCAGCCTACGAATTTTTGAGTAAACTTCAGCCGAGCACAAACCACCAGTGCAGTTTAAAGGAGACCGATTTTTTAACGTCGCTACGCAGCGTGAGAATTCTCGTTTGAGCAGATCGTGCGTCGGCAACGCTGTAGGCTTTGACGATACCTTGCATGGTTTTCTGTCTCTTCCCCAGGCTCAGCGCAAGATCCTGCTCACGGGCACTCCCTTACAAAACAACCTGGTGGAGCTGATGTCCCTATTGACCTTCGTCATGCCACGCATGTTCAGCAACAAGGCTGAACAGATCAAGCTCATGTTTACCTCGGCGGCGGTGAGTCGTACAGGCGCCCAGTCACGGAAACTGCGAGCGTTCGGTCGGGAAATCGGGGACCCGTAACAAACAATGCATCGCTTCAAGAGGTGAATGGAGGTTTCAAGCGACCTTAAATGCGTCAGCGTAGTCGAAGTGGTCAGGGCGGAGAGCAAGAAACGTGCCTTGCTCCGTTTGGCTGCCGCAGAATCCGGGAGTCGTTGCGGGCGACATCCAAAACCCGCGAGAACCTTGCGGTTTCTGGTTCCCGCAATTTGCATCGCAGAGCGTTTTTTAACCGAGCTGGGAGTCTGTCTACAAAGCTGAGCGAGATCTAACTGAAAACGGCCGTGGAGTCCGAAAGTGCCTTGCGGTCTGTTAGAGCGTCGGTCCTCAAACTGGGTCCCCCGGAGTAGTATACCCTCGTCGGTTCCCCAAGCTCCCAAATTCCAAGCGTCTTTTTAGTTCGAGCACGATTTTAGCAGCCACCCACCGATGCGTAACTACGAGCCAAACATTCCCCAACACGCGCATTATTGTTTACATGGTCTCTAGGCTCGTTTACCGCTTTACCGTATTATTACTGCCAAGGCTGACTATTCATTGAGGGAGACGGGGAATCCTCGAGGTCGCCCGTCTCCCTCAATTGTCGTCGCAATGTATGTGTCTCTTGCCGGCAGAAAACGGAGGAGGAGCAGAGCCGCTTCGAGCGGGAGCGGGTGGCCCACGCCAAGAAGATCATGCGGCCCTTCGTGCTGAGGCGCCTCAAGCGGGACGTCCTGCAGCAGCTGCCCACCAAGCACGAGGAGGAGCGTCTCGTCCTTATGACCCCGTACCAGGCCACCTGCTACACCAACCTGGTCGCAGCCCTCTCCAAGGAGGTATGTGCGCCACGATTAGCTATGAACTAGGGTTCGGCGTCTCCGGTAAATACTGACGAACCTCAAAAATTAAAACCCCGAACTGGTTTTATTGAAATCGGGGTGGAAAGCAGAAAAACTCAGAATTGGAGCCGTCTGCGATTTAAAAAAACCCGAGCTTTATAGGAAGAAAATTTTGTCTACGTCTTTTTCGTGTCGACCTGGAAGGGGGTCCTTGATTAACTGTCCACAAGGCATTTTGCTTCGGAACAATGCGTCTCGTTTGTTTTTCTTATCAGCACGGGGACGTTTTCAAAAGGGTCGCGCGTACATTCCCTGCATGTTAGGGAAGCCCCTGTCCCGTCTTCCTCGCCATGAACCTTGATCGTTTGTCCGACAGGAGAAAACAATGCCGAAAAACAAAAATCGGTGGGAGGAATTGCACCCTGAAGAAAAAACGCCCCCCAATTTGGCGGAAAATAAACCCCGAATATGCAGAACCCTAGCTATAAATAGAGTTCAGTGTTTCCGGAATATAATTTTCTTTCCTATTGAGGGCATTTTTTTCTTTAGGGAATTGCCTTTTATTTTGCAGTTTCTGCGATTTTCTGCATCTATTTCCGGCGTCGACAAGCGACATTTATCGGGGTTTGCGTCAAAGAAACGGGACACGGACGCGGGATTTTCCGTCCTTTGGGGGAATGTGCCCGTGACTCATACAGCACCGGGAAAATGTTTCCGCATCAATGAGAAAGGGAGACGAGAGGAAGGGAATAGTTCCCCAAGAAACAAGCAGCCTCGCAGATAGTTCAGCTAAAGTTGTATTCCGGGTCAACACAAAATAAAAATAAATAAAGCTGTTTAAGACTTTTTTTCATAATGATTGGCTTTTCTTTTTTTTTAATTCAAGGAGCGTTTTAATTGGCAATTTTTCACTTTTCCCAAATTTTTGATAAAACCAGCTGGGGTTAACTTTTGGTGTTTCTTGGTGTATACCGAAAAGGCGGAACCTTAGCTATAACTGCGCCCCATATACAGTAAACTCTCACTTGGGCGAACGTCAGTTTACCGAACATTTCAGAATAACGAACATTAAAAAAATCTCCTACGGTTTTCTTATGCATTCTATGCGAAAATGTTTCAGTAAAACGAATTTCGAAATAGCGAATATTTCAGTTAAACGAATATGATCGGTAGACCCAGGGTTATTTTTGCAATCAGTTCAATGAAGTTTTGGGCTCTGTACTGCTGGCGTAGCCGATGCCCACTGCCCACCGCTTGGTGCAGCCATTAGCGGTTAGCATCCGCACCGCTTCATTGGCGTACTAACCGCTCGTAACAACACCTGATGCAGTCATTCATTGTCTTCTCGTCAAGTGCTACTGCTTTCTAAAGTGGCATGAATGCTGCCGTAACAAGCACCCAAGGCAGCAGCGTAAATATCAAAACCCAAATATGGCTGTCTACCGTGGAGCTTCGCCCGTGTGAGCGCATGTTCACTTCAGTTGTCAAAACCGGAGAAGTATGTTCACTTATGGCTTTTCAAGCATTTCCAAAGTAGACACGTGATTATGGGTCACTCTTGGTTAGTCAGCAAGCACTTTGAGGCATTGTTCGGGGAGTTTGGAAGCACAGATTGCAAGGGTGCGTAGGAGTAACTCTAGACTAGGACAGCACAAGGGGGTGGTAGTGGTAGTAGTAAATGAATGAATCTGGCATTTCTTTGTTTCTTTCTCTCCGTTGGTTCAGCTCCGGTTGCTTCATCAAGTTTTGCCTATGCTTTGGCAGCTTTGGTTTCGCGTTCCGCCCCAAGCCCACACCATCTCATTTCGCCATTGTTACTGTGCCTTGTAGGCTCGTTTCGTACTGCGATGGCTTCGCGAAAGCCACGCCCGCGACGCCATTGCAGAACTTTTTGTTTTGCATGTTTTTAAACTAGGTATTGCTTTTTTGTGTGTGTGTGTGCCTGATAATGGTAAGTTTGGATCATACGTTTTCCCGGGGTAATACGTCTTCTTTGTCGCGGTTTCTTCAAAACGTATCAATAAGGTTCTCCTGTGTTCGCTCGGTCGCAGTCAAACGCAAGTGTGTGAACGAGCCTTTGCGGTGCCTCGCCGTGTGTGACCAACCGTATCACTTTAATGTCGTCCCGATGCCCAGTTCCAAGAGAAACAGGAGGCAAGAAGTGGCATACACATGATGATGAAGCTGAGGAGGGCAGCCAACCATCCGCTCCTGCTTAGGGTCCACTACAACTCTGACAAGCTGCGAACCATGTCCACGCTCATGCTTAAGGTAGGCCGTGCCGGTGCAGCGCTGAAACTTCTTTTGGTTCATCATTTGCACAACTTCCCCAGTGTGGGCGCTCCCTTTTCTTACAGAAAACGTTGGTGCATAGTTGTTAAGATAATGTAAATGCGAGATATGCAGCCCACACGTTTAGATTTCTAAGTGAAACGTTTGGAAATATAGGTGCAATTTATATTCAGAAATTTGGGACACTTGGTGACTCGGCTTTATGCCAAGTAATACACGCTTCTTCCGAATCAATGTTCGTAACTCATTGCCATAGTTTTCTGTGATTTTTCATGTTATTTTTACAGTGAAACTGATATACGCTAGGGTCTGGGAAAAAATGTGTCCTCACATGTCGAGAGAAAACTCTTCATTGGTCTTGGCAAGTATGAATAAATAAAAACAAAAAGAGGGGTTAAGTATGAGTAAATAAAACAAAAAGAGGGGGCAACCAGCATGAGTCAGCCTTCCTTGGAATTATTAGATAGTGAGGTCCTGATCCCTTGTTATCATCCCTAGGCATTGTCCTCAAGGTCGTCCTAGGAGTCGTCCTTGAGGTCGTCCTAGACGTCATCCTAGAAGTCGTCCTTGAGGTCGTCTGGGGTCGTTTTCGGGCTTGTCCTAGAAGTCGAATCTGACGTCCTCGAGGTCGTCCTTGAAACCGTCCTAGACATCGTCCTCTAGGCATTGTCTTCAAGGTCGTCCTAGAAGTCGTCTTTGAGATAGTCCTTGACGTCATCCTCTAGGTCGTCCTAAAAGTCATACTTGAGGTCGTCCTAGACGTTGTACTCTAGGCATCGTCCTAGACGTCGTGAAGATAACAGCTTCGCTTGTCCTCCATCCTCACATAAGGTGGAAGGGCTGTACAATTTTTTTTTATATTTGAGCCTCGTCTAACAATGGTTGTTTATTTCATAAATATTTAAAAAGGAACCTTCGTGTCTGAGCAGTTGGCATTCTTGTCCGGCTAGTCCTGTCGTTTACCATTGTAATACCCCGACTCGTGTTTTGTGTGTGAACTATAGTGTACCAACCACTCCTATTGTGTCTTCTGATAGGGGACGGTTATCTATATATAAGTAAAATATAAAAGCAGTATATTTTGAAGTAATTTTCGCAGATACATATTTTTGGATATATCAGTTTCCATAAATCTGATTTATCAGCAATAAACTGCAGTGGCACAGGGCTCTTGTCACCTGTGACAGTCGGTTGCATGTTGATTTGCGGCAGGAACGCACCCACCACGATGCCAACCCGGACCTGATATTTGAAGACATGGAGGTGCTGTCGGACTTCGAGCTTCACACGCTGTGCACAAAATACCAGGTGTGCATTACCTTTTGGTTTCCTTTCTCCTTTACATCAAACTTTCTTCAAGTAGGTAAATTCAACTCTGGGGAAAGTTGCTAGGCAATAGTCGTTTGCATTTTTATTCCTCTATCTCATGTGGCAGTGGCTCATTCATTTCTGAAGTGGGATCATTTAGAATCTGGATTACACCACATTACTTTGTTTCTGCTCTGTGTGAAAGCACTGTTTTAAATGCTGCAGTACTGCTGATGGGAGCAATAAAAACTAGCTAGGTAGTTCTACTGCAGTTGTGTCAGTCTGCTTTGTGGTTCAACTTTTTTGGTGGAATATCATATCCAATAGGCCCTAAATGTCTAAGGGACTCTTTTGATGCTTTTAGGCATCAGCTTGTGGAGATGCCAAGTGAACAGAGTAACATAAATGGCATTGCAGTCCTAGTTTCAAACATTGGACACTAAATTATTACGGGTGCTCTTATTGAAGGCAAGACTATTGGTCATTAACATAATTAAACCTGATATACGGAAGAAGGTGGAAGGCACATAAAAAGTACACACACATGCACATCAAGGAATGTGTGTGTACTTTTTAAACCTATTCCTCCGTGTTTCAGGTTGGGTTGCGTCAATGGCTCACAAGCTTGTCTGTGCAGTCACTCTTTTTTTTTTAAGGCCACAAAGCTCAATACCAGTTTTCACTTCAAGAAAAAAGCAAGTTTTGCACATTGTTCATACGCTGTGCGAAGTTCTTACGAGATTTGGTTATTGAAGGAAAAAGCGATGCTTTTAGCATTTGGAACGTGTGCGTGGTGATAACATATATCTAATCTAAAATTCACCTGGATATATCTTAATTATCCCCATAAAGAGGGGAATTAGTAATGCTTCGCAAAGAGCTGGATTTGTTTTACTCTGGTTCTTGAGGTGAAAACGGGCATAGAAGTGTTTGAGATGTTCATACGTGCCCCTTGATGCTCCAGAGCCTTCGGGACTACCGACTTGAAGATGACCTCATCATGGACTCCGGGAAATTTCGAGAGCTTGACTCTGTACTCAGTGACAGTTTGAAGAAGGTATCTATTTCTTGTTAATGTATATCAATAACACTACTAGTACTGTTCTCCTCGCTGCTTTGTTGGGAGGACGGCAAAAGGTCACCTTTTTAGTGACCACGGCATTGCTACTGTGAACTATATGATTTTTGCAAAAGGATGGGTAGCTTGTGTTCAGGAAACCATTATTAGGTGGTCCTTTTTGATGGGGTGAAGTGGTTTAGCTATAAGGATGAGCTTGACAAGGGAGGAGAAAAAGTGGCGAGGAACCAGGATGGGAAGGGAATGCAAGGTGGGCGAATGTGGACAAAAACAGGATTTCTTCGTGGGGGTGTTCCCAGCTTCAATAATGCATTGGTATTCCATTTTAGAGTTGACTTTCGTCCGAGAATTGAAATTAATTGATATTCACTGTGGATAGGCACAATACCGGTGCAGAAACGATATACACACAAAAAAAAAAGATTGAGGTACATCTAAGCACGTCTTATGAGTTGTGAATGCGAAAGCATGCAAGCCACTCGACCGCTCCCTTTTTCGTCTGCTGCATACTTTTCGTCGTCGGTCAGCGCGTGTGCTCCCCTGGGCACGGTGACCGTGTACACTTCGTGCTTAGGGGAGCAACGGCGCGCTGATGGACACGCAGCGCCATGGGGTGAGTGGTCGTGGAAACTGACGAGCACAGCGGCCAGTGGGAGTCCCGCCGACGCACGCCAACCAATGGAACCGAAGGAAACTATCTGCCGTTTTTGTGCCTTAAACTGATGACGTCAGCTTGTGCATGAGACAGTTAATGCTTTCACATTAAAAAGAAAGACGGTAGACAGCTGTGCATGAAAGTAGAATACCTATATACTACTATACAATAAATTAAGATTATACAGGTCTTCATTTGGTTGTCCATTCAACATATGCTCAGAGATCCCCGCCTTACCTTTGTGTTTGTGCCACTAATTACAAGGGATACCACAATGCTGAATTGTCTGCCAAATACTTAAAGCTTCCCTTTCCCTTTTTTCTTTTTTTTTTTTTGAGTCATCTGCTCGGACTATGTTGGTGTACATTTCTCTGGTGTTCCTTTTTTTTTGGTAAATAGAGTAAGCTAGCGACATTCCGTTTACTGGACCAGATAATATCTTGTCTTCCTAGATCCCGTGAAAGCTACAAATGAGAGTGCCCTATTCTATCCAAACTACTCCTTGCAGACCGTCGCCGAAAATCGGGGTAAAAAAACAAGCACGCGAGACTACAGTGTAGACCGCATATAACGTATGTCTCGGGAGTCGCGAAAATCCGCGCTATAAGCGGTACCGCACTATAACCAAAACATCAATTTTTCAGGCCAAAATACATGCCATGAGACAACTTACCTTTGTAAAAGAAATTATTTTATGTTAGATGAAAAATAAAGCTTAGTTTGAGGAAAGTCTTTATTTCACCAGACTAGTACACTTCTCTCTCAAGTGTGTCACACATTTTAAAAGAAATGAGCGGCTTTTGCCTGGCGCAGCCTTTTAACGGCGTCGCGGGTTGCGGACGGACGTAGCGAGCGTTCGGGATTGCTAACCCTAATCACTTTTCTCCGGAGATGAAAACTCATGAAAATTCGCATCCTTTATACGGTACGCGCCAGCAATACCTTCAACTTGAGCACACGCACGAAATGCGCCAAATAAGAAATCCGGGCGATGTTCAAGGACACAAATGCTTAGAAATCACCACTGCAGTCGAAGTAAACAAACACGACGACACGGGCGTTTCTGCCGTCTTGAGAGCGCCGCCACGACATCGCCGCACGAGTAGGTGAATCTTCCCTTCTAGTACGTGCTGGGTTACCATAGCGACGCACAACGAAAATTTACAGTCAAGGATAGCGCTTTTACGCAGAACGATGAGATGCACGCCGTCTACGACGACGATCACAACTGACGCCATGTTTGCGGAATAGAAGCAGCCGGCCCGCGACCGGTATGCAATGCGCGCGAACACTTCTCCTCGACTTGCGATCGGTCTGTCGTTGCGGTTGTTTGTTTCTTTGTTTCCGATGCAGCGGAGGGACGCACGCACGTGAACAACTCGTGCGTGCGTCCCTCCGTCGCTATGGTAACTGAAGCCTCTCTCTTCGCTTCTCCCCGCGTTTTCGAGCAACCTCCTTGCCCCGCGAGTGCAGCTTGCAGCTCGCGCCGTCAGCGCCGTTATCTAGTGTCGCACAGGGAAGCGAGCTCGCTGCTCCGGTCGTCGGCGCGGTCGGCGGGCTGTGCCAAAAACCGCACTATAACCGGTATTTCCCTTCGCACGCCTGCATTTTAAGCGGTATGTAATTACATGGAGTTCTATGGGAGGTGAACCGGTGGTTTAAAAAAACCGCGTTATACCCGGTCCTGCACTATAAGCGGTTACATTGTAAGTGGTCTATACTGTACTAATGGATCTGGCTGAAAGCTTAGCTTAATTATCTGGAGATTGAGACAAAAGAAAGTTAGGCTGTCTTAAAGGGAAACGCTACCCAGAAAAAAAAAAATAATAATAATTCTGCTATAAAATATGATTTTGAAGAAGGCCATACTTACATCCATCAACATTGAGAGAGTAATCACAAAAAGTTTCAGTTGTTTACACAGCATAGTCATTTTCTTATAAATTATTCTTATTATTCCTTAGCATCGGTCCACCAATGCTAAAGAAAAGGTAGAGATTCGAGCACTGTGAACATGTTTTTCTGTGTTCCATTTTTTTTTTTTTTTTTTTTCATAAATTTCACTTGAGGAAAACTATTGTTTGGTAACGGGACAAAAGAAAAGGCTTGCTCATTGTTTTTCTTAAAGAACACATGCAAAAAAAAAAAAAAAAACATTTTTTTTTAAACAGCTTAGATGGAAAAAGGATATCAAAAACAATTTTACAACGAAGAAAAAAATATGTTAGAGCTATATTTACGGCGCTATACGAATTTGTAGTTGGCGCCCTCTGTAGCCGCCGCTGGTCATGTGGTAGGCCTGTGCGCTGCCGCGCTGCGTCGCCGGCGCCGCAAAGTCACGCCGCCGCTGCACACTGAGCATTGTACGACTCCGCTTTAACACGTTTCTCCACGCTGCCATCGGGGATTCGCCACCGTCCTATCACGTCTGCTTACACTTTTTCAGGAGTTTCCTTTGGGCTCTAAAAGTTACTTATTAATCTTAGTTTTTTGTTATACTTCAGACAAAAATGAAAAAGTTACTTTTAGAGGCCATAGGAAGCTTCCGAAAGAGCGCAAGCACCACGTGACAAATATGGGCCCATCACGTGATAAATAAGGGCCACTTCTCTGCGGCGCCCGTGGGCGCCAACTACAAATTTGTATAGCGCCGTAAATATAGCTCTTAAAAATTGTTTTCTTCGTTGTAAAATCGTTTTATGATATCTTTTTTCCATCTAAACTGTTTTAAAAAAATGTATTTTTCCTTTGCATGTGTCCTTTAAGTGGAATTTAATGGGCAATGGCAGCTGTGGCATTGTTTTCTTACTTTGTGGATGTCTTTTATAAAATATGTTAAGATTCTGTCGACAAGATAAAAGGTAAGAAATTTATTTGATTTTTCAGCACCAATGTTAGCATAAAATAAATTACTTTTTGGGAACTGTTTTCACAGCTGCACTCTCAAGACATTCTGCTGCGTATCTAGTAGAGAAAAATGTTGGTTGTTCCATTAGTTTTCGAACTCTAGTTTTTCTAAACAACACCAGTGTGTTCCTGATAAAAACCATTGTAATTTCTTTCACAATTCATGTCTACAGATGAAACTTTGCACTGCATTCTGCCTCGCAACTGCCAGTATATACTGTAAATTTTTTCATTTATATTAAGCCGAAGGTTCAAAAGTTGACCCTTTTGGGTAGCGTCCTCCCTTAAAGGGCACTAAACTGGTTTTCGAGATCATTTATTTGTTATCGTAACTCAATCTGCGGGCCCTATGCATTTTAAAAAGCTCAAGATTAGATTGGTTCGCGTCCGATTTCCCCTTTTAAAACTATCAATGATCGTGTCGTACCGGTTTTTCCGCAATTCGGTGCAGAAATCAAAGGGCACCGTCAAGCATAAGACAGCCAGTCGCGAGCGATCGCTTCCTGTGCGAGGTACTAAATTTCGAATGTGTTTGATTCGTGCGCGAAAAACGACCACTTGCGATTGGCCGTCGCACGTCCGACTCTGGTTTCCGCCCCGAATCGCAGAGAAACGGGCGTGACATAACCAATGATCCAGTTTATAATGAGGAAATTAGACGCATATCAATCTAATCTCAGCCTCTTTAGAATGCTTTGGAGGCTGTAGATTGAGATAAATAGATGATCTTAGAAAGTACTTTGGTGCCTCCTTTAATGTGGTGTCTTCTCATGCAATAGAAGGTCTGGCCCATGGCCTTACTATTTGTTTAACGCCGTCGCCCTTTTCGTGGCCCTTGCTCCCTGACAGAACCACCGGGTTCTCATCTTCAGCCAGTTCACCATGGTGTTAGACATCCTAGAAGCCTACCTCAACATTCGGGGTCACAAGTGGCTACGGCTTGACGGGGCCACCTCGGTGACCGACAGGTGAGGAATTTCGAATTTATTGGTGGTATGGTTCGTTGAGACTGAAATTAATCTTTTACAAAGAGCATTGCAAACAATGAAGCCACGCTTTCGGGACAATGTTTGTGACCGCAGAGCGAATGTCGGGACATGGGCGCGATGTGACCATCTCTGAACTAATCACCTAAAATCTATGATTAACTTCCAATCAAACATTCATAGCCCAGTGTCGAGGTACGTCCAAGCTGCTTGTAGATTTCCGAACACTAAATTCTGTTTCATGCTGTTCACCGCACAACCTGGGAGGGTCTGATGTTCAGAAACTAAAATGCACACAAGTGATAGGTTATAAAGTCTTGTCTCGAAGCGACGTTAGTGGTCACTGCGGGAGTGGACAGATAGTTATCGAAAGCCAATCTGGCTGTGGTGTGATACCCAAGTGTCCTGTAGTCAAGGCAAAGGCACGTCGCACACTGGCGACGTGCTTTTGCCTTGTATACACAACTTTCAATAATTTTTTTTTTTTTTTTTAAGTGGAACTGTTAAGGGTTAGTTTCCCCAGTTTCGTGTCCGGGGACAAATAAATCTCGACACAACACTCTGGACAGTTACCGCCATCTATGAGCAGCAGCGGCAACCAGACAACTGGCTTGTCGGTTGTCTGGTTGCCACTGTTGCTCATAGATGGTGGCATATAGTACAGCTCCGCTGCTCTTCCTTTTTTTACCAAAGTGGAAAGGCTGGAGCGAGGCATGTGACATCACTCGACGGGAGCGTTTGCGTCACTGTGCCAAATGTGAGAGCCGGAGGAGCCGGCTGTCATCTGCTGCAAAACCTACCAACTTCAGATAAATGTCCACCGCCGCAACGTTGCCGTCCGCTAGATTAGCGAGTGCTTCGGGAACAGTTCATGAGAAACCATACACTCAATTTACCCGCGAATCTGTAACGGGTGCTAATGCCTGGTCAATGTTTTGAGCAGCAGCGGTCGATTACAGGGCTGGGATCAATCGAAAGCCATGTTTTTTGCGGAAAAGAGTTGATCCGAATGGAAATATCGTTGAAAAGGAACATGTCTAGATCTTTCTTTCGTGTTGTGTAGTGTTGCGTTCAGAAGAGTCTGTGCTAAACGTGATTTAGGTAGAAGATATGTTATTGCACTGGTCGCACTTACGCATCACGTGACTGTATATTACAGCGCTCACTCGTACCATGCAGGTGATCGGGTAGCGCTGTTGGTTGAACGGTTGATCGGCGGATTAGACATTTGCCGTGCCAAAAGTTCAAATCGCATTAATGTTTTTTGTTTTTTTTTTGACTTTTAGATTTAATAACTTTCAATATTTTCACCATCATCCGGTGCTATGCTATGTTTTGGGTGGCAAGGCCAAATAGTATACTGATAAAGATCGCTACAGAAGAGTGGTAAATATCAACAACTCGCAGGAGAGTGATTTTCCAGGTAGGGGTTTGGAATGGAAAGAGAATGTAAATGTGAGCATTTACATACTCCTACTCCCTGTTGTAAGTTGTTTTCAGTTTTTTGTGGTTAGTTGACTGACTTTAAGAACAAATTTGAACTTAAGAGTTACCTTGAAAGTAGAGTTACCTTTTTGTATTTAGTACTGTGCTCGGATACCTTTCGGGTATGTCAGCTTTTTTCCTATAAATGAGGCAGATCCACGTGAAGAGAAGCATAAAAAAGATGTGTGCTTATCAGATTACCTTTCCACCCCTTACCGCAGCTGCCTGTACAGTGGTTTTTCTTGTATCAAATGACCTATATCAGTTTGATTGCCTGTGGAAAAACACTCAAACATAAGCCCGAGTTTCAGTGAAAATCGGCATAATCTCGGTTCTGTATCTGGCTCAATTTGAAAAAATAAGAACCCAGATCTACCGAGTTGTCATTTTACTGGGCACTTCGTAACTTATTAGAATGCAGTTTAGGCATGCCATAATCAACAAGCCAGAGACACGCGTCGCATTGCACTCGTAGTCGCTCCGTTTTCAACATGTTGGTGGCACTGAAAGAGGAATTTAAAAAATAGTGATGCCAGACTGTCTCCTGTAGTGCCGATTGGCACAGCTCTTTGCAAATGTCTCCATTACTAAAGTAGTGATTAACAGCCCAGGTGGTCACTTGAGTTATCTGTGGTGCAGTAGAGTCTTCACGCAACGGCACCACAACGCTCTCTCCGACATTTCTGCCCAAGCCGTCAAGTTCCCACATCCCCAAAGTACCACGTGCCCGTGTGTCCGTTTAATATCAGGCGTTCCTACTATTTCTGGCAAATTGGATATTTTAAGCTAGAATTTTGGGACATCATTTTGAACAAGGTAAAAGGTATACAGTCGCCGATCGATTTTTCGGACACGTCCGAATATTCGGACGTTTTCGCCGAACCATCACTCGCCCCATAAAGTTAACGTATAACAGTGACCAAAATTTCAGACTCCATAAAGCTTATTGCTCTATATTTCGGACATAATTTGTGTGATTTATTCAGTTAACAGCCGCCGCGAGCTTAGTCACCGCCATTTTGGTTGTCTTGATTTTGCCCTGTAGCCTGGATCCTACGCAATAAACAAGCTGGGTTGAGACTATAGTCGGGTTTTCCGGTTCCTCTATAGGCAACATGGCCGCCGCCTGCCCATTCTTATGGCTTTTCCAGTTCTTCTTGTGGTTCATGTTTTTCAAGTGTGACCGTGAGAAGATCGGCCGTCTGCCGTTCTTGTGGTCTTTAAGCGCAAAGGTTTTTTGCCGGTAGGCTAAGTATTGAAGTGAGCTTAGCGGACTAAACATTGTCTCCAAATGGCGCAAATTCAACTTCTCTGTTTGTACCAACGAAGACGCTGACGAAGCGCAGCACCATGATCAAACAGATCAACAAACAAGTAAAAAGTGAACAATATAAAACGGAAGTTGCACGAAAACTTAGAATTGACATCATGCAAGTGGAAAGTGGCCAATACGCTGCAAAATATCTTCGGAAATTCAATATTTTGGCTGAAATCGATTTTGTCAGACCGCTTGATTATTTGGACAGTTTCGGGGTACGCTCCAAGTCCGAAAAATCAATCGGCAACTGTTGATAAGATCTTGTGCCGGGGAGTATTACAGACGCGTTGCTGTACGTGCGATTCTGATAACATCGGCTTGCCCTTCTAAACCCATATTGCATCAAGTTTTCCGGGAACGCCCGTTTTCGAAATTTGCACATGTCAACAAAGTGTGGCGCTCGAATTTTTGTGGCACTGCAGCAATACTGAGCTGTGTAAATTTTTACTAGGCTCCTAAAACATACCTGACACACAGTATGTTCTCGTTCCGTCGGAAATACCGTATTTACTCGCACAATGAACGCACTCGCGTAATGAGTGCACCCCCCAAGTCGGCTCTCAAAATTTCGACTTTCTTTTCACCCACGTATTAAACGCACCCCCAACTCGGACGTCAAAATTTTGACCCCCTCCCCCCTCCCCGCGCGCGAAATGAACGCACTTTCTATCCTGGTGCAGCGAGGTCGTGAATGCATGGGCAGCGTGGGCGAACAAAACGCCTTGCAAAAAGCGTTAAAAAAATTCGAGAAGATCCAACGGAAGCAAGAAAAAAAAAACATGGAGAAGAGCCTTTTTTTTTTTTTTTTTTTGCACAGAGCAATTTGGTTTTTTGTGTCGGGCGCAAGGAGATAAAAGAGAAGCGGAGAAGCAAACGAAACGCGTGCGTCGCGCGCAAGGAGATAAAGAGAAGCGGAGAAGCAAACGAAACAGCTTGCGAAAGGCTGCAAGAAGAAAAAAAAAAAAAAAAAAGCAGAAACTAAAAGAAAAAAAAAAAAAGCTTTTTTTCTTTTTTTTACAGCGCAGTTTGGTTGGGGGGGGGGGGGGGGTCGCGCGCCGCGTGCAAGGAGATAAGAAAGATAAGCGGAGAAGCCCTGGCCTAAGCAAACGAAACAGCTTGCGGAGGGGGGGGGGAAAAAGATAAAAAAAGAAAACAAAGAGGAGCTTTTTTTTCTTTTTTTTTGCACAGCCCAGTTTCGTTACCGGGTCGCGCTCCGCCCGCAAAGAAATAAGAAGTTACGTCGATTTTTCAGGATGAAAGGTCCCTTCATTATGCGAGTAAATACTGACGCAAAAATTTTACTTCGAGTAATGAACGCCCCCCCCCCCCCCCCCCCCCCAAACTTTGCATCGATTTTTCGGGAAAAAAAGCGCGTTCATTCTGCGAGTAAATACGGTACTCGTGCACAAGGTCCCTCAGCACTTGGAGGGTGAAGGAGTCAAGCAGGTACTGTGCTGGCCGCGACTTCCTCATCCGAACTAGCTTCGGCGATGCTACTGACAGCACACCTTCTGGTGACACAACCTACTCTTTCTTCCACTGATGCTAAGTCGTCCTTGAAAGGTTGGTCAGCGTCCAGATCCTCTCGAGCACTTCGTTGCACGACGCTTTTGGCAATTCTCGACGCAGCACAGAGTATACATTCAAAACAATCTGTCGGGCTTGCCTACCTAGGACGGCGTTCCCCAATGGTGTCCAGAAACGATCCAGTGAAGCAAGGAAAGTTTTTGATTCCGACGCGCTTGGAGCAGCCATTTCTCGTGTGTGAACCAACGAAGCAGCGAACAACAACAAAAAAGCGACAGTGACAGTGCTAACGGTGCTATGAGGAGATGAAAATCAGGAGGGGATACGGATGTAGCATCACTTTTTTGGTTTAAGGATAATCTAAACTTGTAAATTTGTAAATAGTCGTTTCTTGTTAATATAACCTCAATAGTGATGGAATCCACAAGTTCAGTTGCCGTTAAAAGAAAAACGAGCATAGAACAACTTTTTGTTGTGGATGGCGCTGTTGCTGTGGTGGTAATGAGGCCCCGCAGCCTCCCCGTCCTCCCTGTGATGCACTTCCGTAAAAGATTGTCACGTGCCTTGCTCCGGCGCTCTTATTGGGTTACGGTGGCCACAGCCTCCACAGTTCGCCAAGTTATTGTGAAACAAAGTATACCAATGCCGAATGCCAACTTAGATCGATATTTTTCGAAATTACAGTGATGTGATTGGCCTAAGTTCTTTTGGAGCAGCCAAAACAGTGTTTTGGAGCAGCAAAAGTGGCCTTTGGAGCAGCCAGAACAGTGTTTTGGAGCAGCAAAAGTGGCCTTTGGAGCAGCCGAAACAGTGTTTCGGAGCAGCAAAAAGTGGTTTTTGGTGCAGATTTTTTTTATAAGAATAAAAAAAAAATATTTGTTTTAAGTTCTGGACAAAGGAAGGCACTTTGCTCGCCACAATAATCAAATTATGGTCAAGTTAGACGACCTGGGAGTCTTTCAAGTTAACTGAAATGGCAATGACACAACATTTTTTTGCAATGCTTCAGTTAAATGACATATATATGTACCCGCTATAGATAAATAAGAACCAAATTGCACACACTAAATTTATTTGAAAATGACCAGCTTAGCAGTAAATATGAAAGCATAAAGTTCACTGGTTATATAATATAATAAATTGAAGCAGTATCCAACTGATGAAACACGTAACTACTGCAATGCAATACGAAACTGTACACATGAAAAAGGTGCAGTGCGACTGGTGGGTGCTTTTCCTTTTGCTTTTTGAAACTTTCTGCAAGGCTGCTGCACGCCTCGCTTAGCTTTCGGCAAGTAATAAATGTCCACTTTCAATGTCTCCAAAGAGACATTGAGACATTCCACAAGTGTACAGTGCTGTAGGCGTTGCAGAGCAATTCCAAAACGTCTCCCACCGTTTTACTGGTTCCCGACATGGCAGGTTTTCGTCAGAAGCAAGCAAATGTAAAGCAATGGATTGCAAGCGTTCCGGCTGGTACCTCTGTCGTACAATCATGTTCGCATGCACGTGAGGGCAACTTCGGCAGCTTGCAGTTGCACGCGCTTCGTTATGCGAGCGGAGACGGCTGTTCGATCGAAACCGAAACTCTGCCACTCTGCTCCGTCGCCATCTGGTCCCCAAAATTGTATGCAAAATGTAACAATCCAGAATAAAAAAAAAAAAAAAAGAAAAACAGTCCAGCGGCGCGTGCTTGTCAGGCCAGTATGTGAGGCATAAGCTAAGTTAAAAGGTTAAAGAGCACAAACAAAACAAGAACAATAAAGCTAATAAAAAAAAAAAAAAAAAACCTGAGCGCATCAATGCAAGACATCGCGAGTCAGGGTCAAAAAAGTTCTTGGAGCGCTTTGTGCAACAACTGAACTCAAGCTAAACAAGCGCGCTGTGCGGGTTCAGCGTGCAGGCATTGCCTTCTGTTGCTTTAGCTAACTTGTCTTAAACTTTCTTTTGCAACAGACTTTTCACATACCAGTGTCCCTCTCAAAAGAAATCCGACCGAGAGAAACCTAGGTAAACAGTACTTTGACACAACAGTCTTTGAGCTAGAGGGATTTTTGTAATACCGTTTAATTTAAACAAGGACAAGATTGCTGATTACCCTGCAGCGGTCCTTATGTTTCATTTTAGAAAGTGCCATATCTGCAGCAATGTGTGGACGGGAACACCCGACGTCATTACCACGGCGACTGGTAGGCAGGGACCAAAGATAGTTTTGCCACGGCCGTTTCTTTCAGAAGCGAGTGCTTCAGATCACAAGTAACTCCCAATGCGCAAAAACGTGGTTTCGTTTTACAACATGACGGCAATATTTTCAAGAGGATGCGAGACGAGACCCACGAGAGCGCGAAATGAGGAACGGCGGGAAAAACCATGCTAGACCGGATGGACGATTGATACAGCCTATTTCTGTCGGGCGGTCGCTTGCGTCACCTAGCTCACGCATGCTCAATTACGGTACTCAGTTTAGTTTCGGTTTTGAAAGGCGACCGAAATTGGTCCTTTGGCGCAGGCTTGGCGCAGATTACCCATATTTCGGTGAAATGTAGCATGGCGCAGTTTGGCGCAATTGGCACAGCAATCACATCACTGAAATTAACTAGTGGATCTTGGGTAATCAGTATTATTTCATCACACTTGACCCGGTGCCCACAACTGTGTGTGCATAATGTTGTCCCAAATATATTGTATCTCTTAAATTTGGGTGCCCTTTACTTAAATTATGTTTGGTCTAAACAAGAACACTGTTACGTTTATTTATTTATTTATGCTCGATCCTGCTGTGCGTGCCCCTTGGGGCATAATGGCAGGGAGAAAGGTACATAAAGAGTTTAAGAACAAACATGGTGAATCGTGGCACAGGAAATAGTGAGGATGGCAGCAGGTTCCACTCTACTGTGGCACAAACAAAATTTGATGCGTGACAGTGGAACAGAGTTTGTTTTAGACGAGTGGTTTAGTCTGGGAGAAATATTGCCGCATCATCAGGTAGTTTTCCTTGTGATTATCATTTGGTCGTGTAAAACGGTATCGAAAAATAGTAGCGCGAGGTTTTTTCGTTGGATAGCGAGTATCGATGGCAAATTTAGTTTGTCTTTCATTTTTAGAACACTTCTAAGCTTCTTTTATTCCTGAACCGGGCTTCCTTCGATCCCTGGAATTTATCCCTTTCTTCGTGTCTCGTCTTTTTTGTGCCAGCTGCTACCCCATTTTCTTGCAACCTGCAAAGTGGGACCGTGCGGCAAGACCGCACGCAAACACCGCACGCGAAGGGAGGGAGGCTGACCGAGTTGCTTGGCCGTGTTTCCCAGGCAGGACCTGATCGACAAGTACAACGGGGACAGCAGCATCCTGGCCTTCCTGCTGTCTACGCGGGCAGGTGGACAGGGCATCAACCTGGCATCAGCCAACGTGGTGGTGCTACACGACGTCGACTTCAACCCTTACAACGACAAGCAGGCCGAGGACCGCTGCCACAGGCTGGGACAAAGCAGGTGGGGTCCGGCGACCGAACCAAGAACCCCAACGATCTTCCCGGAATCCACCCTTTTTGGAAACTGCCGGTTGGAGCTGTTAGGGCAGAGAACGCATGTGAACGCCACGGGCACTGGACTATGAGCCACTCGCTTGAAAGCCTGTCACGGTCGCTCGTAAACCTACAGAACGTGAACGCGTGTTTTCATACCAGAACCTCTGGAACCTCGATTTCAACGAGTTTGGATTTACAATTTGCAAGCTGGTGCCTGCCACCTAGCATACAGTGCCAAAACCTAAGGCATTTTGTGTGTGAGGCTGTAAAACGATTAGAAGACGAGGCTTAACGGCACATTGGAGGCTTGTCGGAAGCTTATAAAATCGATGTACTCGCGACAAATACGCGCCGCAGATTCGGCAGTGCCCGTTCAACTGCAACACTGAGCCGTTCAACTTCCTCCCCTCACGGCCGCTATTCAAGCTTCTCTCTTCGCGAGATGCGGCTTGGCCGATAGAAACCTAAATTAACTTATTTCCTTTCTCACAAAATAATCTCTGCAGCCATTAGCGATGCAGTGTGCTCGTATTACAAAAACCAAAGCGATGCATGGTGCAGTTCTTGCCTCCACAGCAGCTTAGTACAGTGTAAGCCTAGGAATTGGGCATACAGATTTCCTTTCAACAGGACGGGACGCTGGCATCTCTTCACGCAGCGCAGCAAATTTTAACGCAAAATCTGTTTTATGAGTTGTTTGCTACGAGGGAAATCGTTTTGTACAGTCGAATCTCATTAATTCAAGCTTGAGGAAACCGAAAATATGTTTGAATAAAGCAGAGTTTGAATTACCGGGAGTATCCTCCCATTAGAGACGCATAGGATGGGACCTGCATGTTAGTTTGAATTATCCGCAAGTTTGAATTAGAGAGTTTGAATTCATGAGTCGACTGTACGAGCGTCATAGCGATCGTCGTGAACAAGTGACGTGCTGGGACGTTAAGGTTACACCTGAAGTTGAAGCCCTGACAAAGCTTGAACCTGGGTCAATGCGGTGGCAGCCAGAAATTATAGCCACCGAGTTACAGTTACTAGCACAGCTGGTCTGAAAGGGTAAATGATATTATTCAAACGCAAACATGCCGGTGAGAGCGGCAGGCTATGAATATAAAGATAATAACAATATAAATAAATATAAATAAGAGCAGAGAGTAAATAATAAAATAAACAAAATGAAAAAAAATGTGTGGGACGCTTTTTGTACTCCCTGGTCTTTGTCAGCACGATCAAGCCTGTTTTTGCGAAAGTTCATTTGGTAGTTGTTTAATAGTCACTCTGAAACTGTTGGCGCACACTTTAAGGAGCAGGCTTTTGTGGGAGTAAGGCAAACATCCACTTTGTCTACCAATTGATTCCAGCAGCTGTGGTTTTAGCGTTTCCACCATTTTTTTGTAACTTGCAGGCGTTAAAACATTTTTTGATGAAATCGCAAAGCGACTGCCAATCGCCGAAACATTTGATTAAATGCATTTGCCAAAGTACTAATACGGACCCATGTCATAAAAGTGCATACATAGCATAGCGAAATTAAAAAAGTGCGCGAAGACTGACTAAGGGCACGTAGATGCACAGAGACAGAGCGCTGATTTACTGTTATTTTAATGTGAAAGCATTAACTGGGGGGGGGGGGAGGGGGGGGAAGCCCATGGAGCAAAGCCGGCGTTGTCTGTAACAGTGAAAAACGGCACCTAAATTCCGTTTGTGGCAGCAAAAAATGGCAGCTAAATTCCCACTGGCTGTGCGGAACGGCAGCCGAAGTCCGATTGGCCAAGAGCACAGCAACACAGATGCATCGTCACGGAAGCCGTGAAGCCAGCGGGAGTGCCGCGCCTGCGCAGTGGGGGAGTGTGATGTCACCGCCGGAGCGCAGTGGTCACGAGCAAGCCAAAGCGGTCTGTGCGGCGCGCTGCCGCACTCCCTGCCGCTGCTGCTGCTTCTGGCAGCATTAAATTTTATTAGGACACACAAGATTGTTCTGGTACTCGAGACGTTCCCAAACATAGAAAGTCATCTATTTGTTAACATGCGTCGAATTCCCGGGGAAACACCAGTTCCTTCTCGTATAAATCCATAGACGGCACACTGATACAACTTCCCTCCTAACATTGAAATAAAATGTACCTCTTTAAATTTCTTTCATCATCTTGTTCTATGCCTACCACCCAGCATCGCCGTTCCCTCTGAAATGGGACTGCAGCAACACCTTGTATCGGTGCGCCGTCTATGGCTTTATACGACCAGAAACAGGTGTTTCTCCGAGAATTTGGCGCATGTTAAAAATAGATGACGTATGTTTGTTAATGTCTCCAGTATTGCACGAATCTTTTGTGTCCTTTCAATAAAACAACAGTTGCAAGTCAGCGAGCGCTCTGTCCGTGTGCATCCACTCGTCTTCCATCCTTCTTTGCACTGTTCTTAATTTCACAATGCAAAGCCAACTCGCCCAAGTTTCAACGGAACATAGCGCAACAGTGTTAGTCCCATTAAGTGAGCGCAGGTGTTTCGTTTTTTGCTTAGTGTCAAAAGGCTGTTATCAAAACTGCTTGTAGTGTGGTGGAAATCTCTTGTTTGGGGGCACTAACCTAAGCAGTAACATTCAGTGCCCAGCTATATTCTTTTGAAGCGAAATGAAGAAAACTGGTGGCGGCGTGTGTGCGCCAACGGTGTCGCGGGACATACAACTGAACTTGGAGGAGGAGCAGGTGTTACGAGGCAACCTATTTTCCTTGTAAGCTAGGCCACAGTGTCACTCATTCTCTTTTTGCCGCAGGGACGTGTTTGTCATTAAGTTTGTCAGCAAGGACACAATCGAGGAAGGAATCTTAGCCATTGCCAAGGAGAAATTGAAGCTAGAAAAAGACATCACCGAAGAAACTGGTAAGGGTTTGTTTCACATTCAGATCTCTTGTGCAAGTCAGCTTCCGCCTCCAAATAAAGTGATATCAGGCATTGCTTTGCAACAGAATAAACTAATGTATTTATCGAATGCAAATTTGGCAAATTCATCTGTCTTACAGCAGAGCTGTTAAGGGCTAGTTTCCCCAGTTTCGTGTCCGTCACCAAATAAATGTTGACCCAAAACTCAGGACAGCTACTGGCTTTTATGAGTGATGGCAGCAACCAGACAATCAGCTTGCAGTTTTTTGGTTGCTGCCGTTGCTCATAGATGGCGGCAACTTTTCCAGCCCTTCCACTCTGGTTTTCACCAGAGTGGAAAGGCTGAATTTCTCTAGGCGTCGTCCAAGAAATCATCCTCGAGGTCGTCCTTGAGGTCGTCCGAGAAGTTGTCCTCGAGGCCGTTCTAGACGTCGTCCTTGAGGTCGTCCTAGACGTCGTCCTCTAGGCGGCGTCCCACCATAGTACAGCTTCGCTGGTCTTCCTTCTTCACCCGAGTGGAAAGGCTGAAAGTTTTTTTTTTGTTAACCTTACTGAACACGACATTAGCCAAATGACGGCCGTCCCTGCATTGGGCAGGTTAAAGCCACTCAAGAGCTTTGCTCAGTGTGTCTTGGAAGAAGGACCTCCTGAAGGCTTTGAAGTGGCGGCTGACGGCTCGCCGAGAGACCAGGTCTCTTTTAACAAAGCAATGTCTGTTCCCCAAAAGATTCCAAAAGGTTTTCTTTTTTTTTTTTTTTTCTTTCTTTTTTTTTAAGTTTTTTCTGCTAGTTTTACCTTGGTTAGTGTTGCGTTTATGTTCAGAGCTTCGGAACATTTTTGCCCCATTGTCCGACATCACAACGACTGTCATTCACCCTTTCATGTCGCGTGACATTTACGTGTGCGCCAGTGGCTCATTAGTGCCATCATTTTGTTGCTTAGAGCCGCATGGACGGCATAGATGACAATTATGGTGCAGTGTACTAGAATAGGGGGTAGTGTCGGGACCTGTGCGGCTCACCAGTGGGAGCTCATGAGGTTGTACATGCAGACAGTGCCCTGCAGTCATTATGGCCGTAGAAAGTTACTGCAGTCCTCCAAGTTATTGTATTCATTTTGCGCGTTAGTTGCTAGTTGACACCCGTCGCGATCAACGTCACATGCCTCGGGCAAACCACTTTAGTCCCAACAGTAAACCGTATTCTAGTATACTGTAGTTATCGTTTGGAAGAACTGACTTGAGTATTGACAGTGTTAGGAGATTTTCCTCCACCATAAACTACTGAAGCATGCAGGATGGAAAGCGCTTCCTGCAGGTACTCGCAACACTGACTCCTATGCAACAAAATGGCTGAAGTGATGTTAGTATAGAGTGTGTCTGGCGCCTCTATGGTAGGCTACATAGGGTGTGTGCCGCTTGCAAGTCAGATACTTGTTACGAGTAGGTGTGTACATATTTGTGGTCCTTCACGACCTTAACCTCTTTTTTTTTCTTTTTTTGTGTTAGTCAACGAAGACATGGACTCCATCAGTGTGGCCCAACTCCTCAAGTCTGCCTTGGGAAACTAGGTCTAAAGTTGTTTTTAAATTGCTTTGTACAATTGTCCCACTGAACGCAAAAGGCTGCCTCTCCAGCAGGTTGTACAATGTTGCTATAGGTTACTCGTATTTTACGGTCATAAAAGTTTTCCAACAAAACCGAACTGGCGTCTTTGTAACATTCTTTTCAAGTTGATTTGTACAGTGCTGCAATGTTACCTACACGTTAGGGTTGCCTGAAGGACGTATTCGGCAAACGAGTGTCTCGGGTATTGTACGAAGGGCACTGGATGTTGTCAGAAAAAGAAACTCGACACAGAGTTTGATGAGAGCAAGTACCCTTTTTTTTTTAATTGGCATTTGTGCATTCGTTATGATACCATATTGCAGTTTTTTTTTTTTTTTTTTACCAGCCACGAACAGGCACACCAGTTACAAACATAGGTAACAATCTGTCGATACGACACTTTAGTTTTGTTTACATGCATGTCTGGTTCCGACACTTTTTTTTTTTTTAATACACAATTGGCAGCGTACAAAACACTTGTTTTCTTGCCTTTTACCTTACAAGTAATATGACAAGATATAGCCCGTACCGCCTTACCTGCGGAAATAAATAGACCTACCAAAGATATGCAGAACACTGTAACAAACCTCACAGCCCTGCACAAGTGTGCCATTGCCCCCCCCCCCCCCCCCCTTCCCCCCAAAAAAAAAGATAGAGAAAGATTGGAGGGCAGGGGGAGGGGCAATAAAACTCATGTTAACAACATGCACAACATGGACAAGACCAGCTTGTGTATAACTTTTCTTTTTACTTGTACATATAAAACTGCAAACTGCCAAACATGGCAAGAAATGGGAAGGACGCTTTTTTTTTTTCCAGCTAGGCAGTGCATGTGTTTTTTATTTTTTATTTTTAGACCTTGTGTTAGATATTGTTCCGTAATGCGGAACTACGGTATCCGACGTTGCAAAGTGGCCATGCTATTGAAAAAGCCATTCATCCCTGCAGTCTTTGACTTCGTGCATCAGTGGTGCCAAGTGTTCCCTTCCATTTACACTGTCCATTAAAGGGTGAACTCCAAAGAGCACAAACAAAATAGTTAAAGTGTGAACCCCAAGTTACAACTTCCCTCAAAAAATGGCACCACTGCATTTGGCACTGGCTAGGCCATTTTTTTTTTTGTCTACTTTTACATACTGGTGCTTCATGTAAAAAAAAATCGCCTAAACAAGCTGGCCAAACGTCTTTCGATGCCTAACCAGATCCCCCTTAAAAATTGGGAGCAGCATAACAGTATCCGACAGACGCCTTCTCAGATTTTCAGGAAGATGATTTGACAGTTTCTGGAGCGTTTCTTTTTGTTTTGTAAATATTTTAACCTAGACAGAAAAATGACATCACATGGTCCAGCCTTTTGATAGCTATTGTCTCGGTTATGCAAATCAATGTTGTACTGGCAGTTTTTTCCCCTTTTTTTTAACAATTCTACATTTCTTAAAATGTCACAACTTCCATACGTTTGCTGCATCAGCTCGGCTGTTTGAGTGATCGCACATTGTTCCGACCCTGCCATACAAGGTGAGCAGAATAAAGCCATCAAAATTTGTCAGCTTTATTTTTTATATTTTGTCGGGGGTAGCCCACTTTTGAGGTTCCTCAATGCTCTTTTGAGGAGAGTGCCGCTCTTTGTAGTAGTATCCGAAGCCGGCAGCATGCGATCATGGGGTAAATAGTGAAAAGTAGCGTTAAGCCAAATGCTAACGTTAGCAAAGGTCAAAACTATAAGAACATGAGCCGGGAGAGATGTCGGGGCCCGAAATTGTTCGATGTCATCGCCCTACAAACTTGTACACATTATTAAGGCACCCTATCCACCCCAATTTAATACAGTAAAATCTCGTTAATTTGAACCTGAGGAGGACCAAAACTTTGTTTGAATAATGCAAATTTTGAACTACCGGGAGTTGTCTCCCTAGAAACAAATAAGACAAGACTTGCATGTTAGTTTGAAGTGTCCGTGAGTTTGAATTAACGAGATTCGACTGTACAAGCTTCACTTCCTTGATCGCTTTTTAAGCCCAACTCTTTTCCCAAAGGCTATGTGCACTCGCTTAGCACAGGACGGAGCTCGGTAGAGCAGCGGCCAACGGGTATCCCAAAACAATCGCAGCATGGTTTGACACAAATGGACAGTGAAGATCACCTCCTGTTGTTTTACACATCAAGACCAGATCGAACTAGGGTCTATGGATGGTCCTCACTACTGCCGACTGCTTGCCGGGTAGATCGAGACCCCAGTCCGTTTTGGGATGCAGACAACCTATTGTAGTTTTGGCTGCATGTCACATGCTGGTCCAGCGGAACAGTGTTTTGGTAGTGTCCTCAAACCGAGTCCCTAGGTATTCAGGAGTTTCCTGGAGCAGCCTCGTGGGTTTTCCGAGCTCAAAATTTTCTTTAACAGCCTCTGCCCCAAGGCAAGAGGTGTTTCCAGTTTAAGCACTATGTTAGCTGATCCGAGCCAGCCATCGACGCATAGCTATGAGCCCCACACTTCCTAGTATATGCATTGTTTATGAGGTCTCGAGTTCTGCACTGCTTTACTACATCAATGCCAAGACTGAGGTTCTTCGGTTTCCATTGAAAGCAGATCCTTGAGATCGAAGAAGTTTGCGAACCTCTGTGCTAGTGGATTGATCTCACAGTCTCCGTCTAACATTCACAAAGAAAACCTTGGGCTTCCATCACGAATTCTTTTAGCTTGCCAGTCTTATTTCCATGGCACAATTCAGCGTTTTCACTTTTTCATACACTTCAAAATGCAACTTCTACGACAGTCTTGAACACGGTATGGATTTAGGTGCAAGTTTTCACGTGGTGCCCCTTGTTCAGCCCTCGAAAAGCTATTGTACTTGTTTTTGCGTCAAGAACCGCAATGCAAAAAGTTTGGCTCCTGTTGAGCACTGCTAATTTCCCTCTACGTGGCAAATTAAGGTACTTGTAGGTGCACTTAAGATCAGTCGTTTGTTTCCAAATGCAAAAAGCATCGTATTTGCCTACAACAACCAAATCTTTCGAGAACGACTTTGTGCAGTATCTAAACTAGGGCCAAAACCTGTTGTTTTTTTTTTGTTTTTTTTCCAGAACTGACGACGAGCACAGGTGGATAGACGAATGTTGTCTTCATTCTTTGAAGCGACGAGGGGGGCAGTGTTGGTGCATGCTACTTCGACACAAACACCCATCCTCCGCCGGCGGTTCGACGAAACGGCAGGTGAAATCCATCTGTCGAGCCATACCTGCTAATAAGTGCTACCACTCTACGATCTTATGTATACTCCATTTAAACCTTACGATGGACCGCAGTGCACGCTACAAGCCATCCCAGCCGATCCGGCACTGCAAACGTGTCGTGTGACAGTCGCGCATCATTGGATTGGCTTTGACAGTGCGCAAAGCCCTTCGCAGTTCGTCGTAAGGCGAAACGGAATAGAGTAACCGCCGGTTCCACGTCCCGCCACAGCAGACGGGCGTTCCGGCGGCGACCGGAACACCATGTTGGAGCACCTGGGGCGCCCTTTAGGAGGCACCGACGAATGACTAGGGCGTCCACTCTAGGAGCAGGTACTCCCGCAACGGCCCCGGCAGGGCCAGCTTCCCTACGGACATGGCCACCTGGTGGTTCAGGGCCTGGTGAATGGCCACGCGCGCAATCTGCTTGAGGGACCGCGGCCGGCTGTACATGGCCTTGAGGACGCGCCCGAGGTTGGCCGCCCGGGCCGGGGGAAGCAGGGCTGCCTGTCCCACAAAGTTCTTGAGGCAGCCGTAGAGCTTGCGGTGGTCCATGGTGTCGTAGTAGAGCCAGAGCAAGCTGGCAAAGCGTTCCTCAGGGTCGTTGAGGAGCTCCTCCTTGCCAATGATGAGCTGGATGTAGTAGTAGAGCACCTGCGAAGCAGACAGCGAAAAAGGCGCAGCCAGTCTAAGCTCTGCAACTACAAATATATTTTATTAATGCGAAAGCATTAACTGTCTCATGGAGCGAGCAAACGTCATCAGCTTTGAAACCATGCAAAACGGCACCTTAATTAATGAAACCACGTGCAAAGGTAGCCAACGGCACCTTTTGCACTTCGGTCCCATTGGCTGGCGCACGTCAACGAGGCTCCCATTGGCCGCAAGCCACATGACATTGGTTGCTGTCTGTTCCTTCCTCGCACCGCAAGCCACATAACAGTTTGAACGATCGCTCACCCGATGGCGCTGCGTGTCCGCGAGGCAGATGCTCCACCATTCTACACCCAAGGTCAGCACGTTGTACGCCGCATATTAAAAAAGGGATCGAAGAGCGGCGTGCGTGCTTTGGCATTCACAACTCGTAAGAATTGCTTAGGTGTACCTCAAGCCTTTTCATTGCGTACTGCGGACCACGTGAGTAAAAAAAAAAATGGGTAAAAAAGAAAAAAAATTATTGAATTATCCGAAAGTCAAATGATGCGTGCGAAATTCTGAATATCCACCACTTTAGATCAGGTGGGCCAACATTTTTATAATGACCCAACGCACAGTGGTGGCAGTGGCTATGTATGTCCTTCGCATGTTCAATGCAAGGCAGTGGTGGCGGTGTTGCAATGGTTGTTTTGTGTTGAGACCCGGCCAGGTCCCGTGTCTCAATATGTGTCCTTTTTCTCTCTTCACAATTTGGCACGCGCTTCAAAATCCAAAAAAGTTTTTTTTTCTCTCCAATGGGTGCGGCCAATCTCGCTTGTAACTTGCCCACTGCATAATTTAAAAAAAAAAAAAAACTGTTTTTGTGCATTACGCACAGCCAATCATGCTTGTAATTTGCCCACCCCCGGTCCTCTCGGGTCAAATTAACCAATATTTTATATTTCAAGATCGAAATAACGAGTTTTATTTATAGAAAAGTATGGGCTTTTGCCGGGACCTTTGAACAGGGTCGAATTAAACAATAATTCAAATTAACCGAGGTCAAATTAATGCAAGTCGACTGTACAAGGAATAAGTCAGTGCACAGGTTTCTCTGTTTCTTTTATATAATGGGAGCATGTACAGTGCTAGCAAGCTGTCCAGCTGAGAAGCATCGAATGGAAATATTGAGGGTGAAAAGTTGTCGCCTTCCTTTTATTGCCTTTCTTCTATTGGTCCCCTTCATTGACATTCCCAAGGTCTCGGACTATAAACCTGAGCTACTTTACAGAGCTTCCCCATTGGGTGATGAGCTATTATTCCTGGAATTAAATTTCCAGAAGCATTGGAAATCGGAAGAGTCAGAAGAGCCTAGAATCTACACCAGAAGCAGTCATCTCAAGTGTATCACATGCACCGAGCTCAAATTTCGAAGGTATAAATAGCCCCAGCAAGGCGAAACACTAAGCAAATAAACAAATATAGTTCCCAAAAGACATAACAGATAACAGCCCGTCCAGGGGGCAACCAGTTTCGCATCTAGGCAGAAACTTTCAAATGTCTAATCCCCGCCGTACATGTACAGCAGCAACCGTCAAGGGGTTAAAGGGGCACCAAGATGGATTTTGAGATCTTCTTTTTAGAATGCAAACTCAATCTATGCACCCTAAGCACACTAAAAAAAACCAAAATACAATCACTTGTGGCCTTTAATTTTATTTAAAGCATGCCAAAACGCCTCATTATGTCCCTTTTCTGAGGTACTATACGAGGTGGTATCCGAAAGTTTCCGGACTGGGTGTATAGAACGGTTCATTGTTATCATACATCTGTTTAGGCTTAGTGCCCTTCGAAGTAGTCCCTGTGGGACTGAATTCTTCGGTCCCAGCGCGTTTGCCAGTCTGGAACACTTTCTTGAAGTCATTTTCCGTAAAGCTGTCGAGGACCTTCTGCGCTTGTTGAATTATGTCCATGGTGTCAAAGCTACCTCATTTGAGCTTGAACTTAATTTTCAGAGACAAGGCAAAGTCGCAGGGGGCCAGGTCGGGTGACTAGGGAAAATGGGGTATTATTGCCATGGTGTTCTTTGCCAAAACAAAATCTGCGGTCTTGAGGGAGGTGTGACTGGGTGCATTTTCATGATGCAACAGCCAGTTTTTGTTGCACCAAAGTTCAGGACGTTTCTGGCGGACATCGTTTCGCAAGCGTCCCAAAACGTTGCTTTAGAAATCTGAATTATCAGTCTGCCATTTGGGAACAAATTCCCTGTGGACTGCCCATTTTGAATTGGAAGAAAACAAAGAGCTACTTCATTTTGGGGTCATATCCGTAAACCCATGATTCATCAGCAGTGATGACCTTGTTGATGAAGGTTGTGTCTGCCCATGCGGTGGCACGAAGCTCCATGCACACATCAGCACGCCGTTGCTTCTGATCGTTAGTCAAGAGTCGGGGAACGAACCTCGTGGCAATGCGGTGTATCTGCTGGTCTTCAGTGAGAATTGCTTGGCACTGCGCTTAACCAATTCCTGTCATTTCACACAGTTCATGAATTGTTCGGAGACAATCCTCTCGAATCAGTTCTGCAACTTTTGCAACATTCTCCAGTGTTGTGCTGGTTCGTGGCCGTCCCGAACGCTCGCCGTCTTCCACTGAGGTTTGACCGCCCTTGAACCGAGAATGCCACTCAAAACATTGACTGCGTTCCATAGCAGCATCACCATACACCTGACTAAGCATTTCCAGAGTTTTTGGTGGTGGATTTACCCAACTTAACGCAAACCCGCTGCTCGTTCTTCGTTCATTTTTCAAAACGCAGACGGTTTCTGACACTATCACTCTACCGACGAATGAACTTTCTTATCAGCCCGCAACTTGATAGATCCACTCGCTAGTGGTGTGTGCAGGGATTTTGTTGGGGGGGGGGGGGGGGGGGGGTGGCTGAGGTGGCTTGGATGTCCATGACTTGGGGTGCAGTGTATATGCAGGTGTATATTATAGGGTCGGCTGGGTTTCGGGGGAGGCTAAAACCCCATAAGCCTCCCCCCTGGCTGTGCCACTGCCACTCGTGGGGATGTGGTATCACCCCACCACTTGATACATCAAGTTGTGTGATATGCGTGCATCTACATCTAACGGCACAAGCACATACTTTTCTTATTTCCCACATAATGACACCAGTCCAGGATCTTTCGGATACCACCTCGTAACTCAGAAGAAGGAACGTATCTTGATGTTTAGTCAGATTTTCAATAACGAAGAAGGTTGCACAAGATTGTACTTTTTGGTTTTATAGCATGCTTAGGATGTACAGACTGGATTCGCACCATAATACACTTGAGACTGCTTACGTGTAGGAATGCAAAAGCATTCCTACAAGCAGCGTGCCCACTGTCTGCGGCGCAGAGTACAGCGGGCAGCGCGCCCGCTCCTCCGCGGGTGAGGTCAGCTTTCAGCCATGTCGCTTGCTCCTGCGCGGAGCGACATGGCTGAAAGCAGAGCGTAGAACATGTGAGGAGCAAGAATTCCCCGCTCCACATTACACCCCCCCTCTCTCTTTCACCACGCCTGACACATGACCCAAGAGGGGGGAGAGAGGGGCTGCCAAGTGTGCGCCACTCTCTCTTTAGTTGCACATTTTTCGCAGTCACAAACAACGCCTGCATTAGTTGCCCGCTCTCCGCGGTCACAAACAACACCGGGGCGCTCCATGGGGCAGTTAATTCTTTCGCATTAAAAATAATGATTACAAAATACACTTTAGAGCCTCTTTAAAATCTGCCATTTCGCTCACACTCACTTTAGAGCGTTGTACAAGCAAGTCACGACCGCAATGTCAATTGGAGAACTACAATAAAACCTGTCTACACAGAAGAATAATATAACGAGGACATAGATATTGTAAGCCAAAGTTGAAGTATGCTTGTCATACTGGTACAGTATGACAAGCATACTTCGACCAGTACGGGCACTTGAAGACTGATATATTCTCCATAAAAACAAACCACAGAAAGGTTCTAGTGTAGCTTGCACACAGAGAGACTCCAGGCAAGTCACAAACCTGATTGCAGGCTTTCTTGAGGAAGACGGAACTCTGCGAGTGGCAGATGACCGGTTCGGCCGAGCTAATCTGCACGTCCGGGTCCGCCCCGTGCACGAGCAGCGCCAGAGTCAGCGCCTGCACGTGCTCCAAGTCCGAGGGCAGCCTCGCATTCTGCACCAGGTCGAGCAGTGCCAGCAGGATGTGCTGGGTGCGCTGCGAGAAACGGGCGTTGGGGTCCAGCCCGTGCTGCAGGAGCACCGTCAGCAGCTGGCGGATGAAGGCGAAGGCGCTGCGCTTGTCCCCCTCCCGGTTCAGCGTGATGTACTCGCCCGCCGTGAAGACGAGGACGTGCATCGGGGTCAGGTTGCTGCGCGTCTTGCAGTTGGGCTTTGCGCCGTGGCGACACAGCAGCCGCACCGAGTTGAGGTAGAAGACCTTCTTGGTGTGAGACAGGCAGTGCAGGGGATCTTTGTTGATGAGGGGTACCAGGCAGACCATGAGGGGCGCCGAGCCATCCCGGCCGACGCAGTTGGGGTCTCCACCGCTCTGGAGCAGCATGTCCAACAGCTCGTAGCGGAACTCCCAGTCGCGCACGTGACGAAGCACGCATGCAAGGGCGCTGTTCCCTGGCCGGTTGATGCTGGGGCCCGCGCCGCTCTGGAGCAGGTAGCGGACCAGGTGCAGCATGTCCCACTTGGTCCAGGGGCGCGGCTCCTGGTAGCCGTAGCGCGACTCTTCCAGGGCATAGCGCACAATGAGGACGTGCAGCGGTGTGTTGCCCAAGCTGTCCGGCTCGTTGATGAGCTCGCGGCAGCCGTGGTCCTGGAGCACTCGCAGCACGGCCAGGGTCTCCTGGGCAGACTTCTTGCCCAACAGCAGCACCACGTGCAGCACGGTCAGCTGCTGGGTCGTGGTACGGGCGGTCACCTCGGCCCCACACTGGATCAGCAGCTCCAAGAACTTTTTGTCCTGCAGAGACAATACGTCGGGTCTTGTCTATGCTCTCATCAGCGAGGGCCACCAAACGTTACCGGAGTATGTCGCATTCTGCCATGTTGGTCAAAGACGAAAATGAGAGTTTAATTGTGATTCCAAAGTGCTAAGCCCCTATTCGATGGCACCATAAAAGCCACAAAGCAACTTCTTAAGGGCTTTCTCTAAGCAAAATGTTGCTGCCTCCACCAGGCTTTTAAAGGGTTCTTCATTAGACGCCACCACGTAATATACACAACACCAACGTGGCTCGGGTGTTTAACGAATCGTTGTCTATCCAACCTCTACAAATCTCCCATTTGCAGTGTTGCAATGGCTTACAGTTAGCGTCTCACTTCTATGGCACTCAACGGCAGTGGATGCAACTGTTTTTGGGGACACGGTGTCTTCGCATGCCCAGACGAACCGAAGTTGGCAGGCACAGACGCGTCTACAGCTCTGGCGACCCACCTGCAAGGCAGCCTGGTGGATGGGGAAGTATTCGTCGTAGCACTGGTTCAGCTCCTCAGAACGCTCTGCGACCAGGAAGCGCACGCAGTTCCAGGCACCTCGCTCGCAGGCCAGGTGCAGCAATGGCCGTTTCTGCTGCCAGGGAAGCCAGCTGTCCTCGCCCTGGGCTAACAGCAGCTCCAGGATCTCGGAGTGGTCCCCATCGATGGCATAGTACTCGGCTGACTGCAGCCGCTCAGAGTAGCGGTCCGTCGACGCCACGCCCACCGAGCTGCACAGCTCGCACACCTGTATCGGAATGAGCACCGCCATGTGAGGAAGTTGCTCGTACGCACCCAGGCGTGTCCTGGCTGTTGTTCGAACGCTCCGTCAAGACGGATTTAAAGAACAGCCAGTACCCCCTAAAATTCCGTTGCATGTTAGTTTTGAGATTTAATTCAATTCTTTATTTCCTCTCCAGGGAGCAGAGGGGGAGAGGCAAAAAAAGCTACATTCGGTACCCTGCCCCCCGGTACAGTTGGCAGTAGCAGTGGCTCCAGAGCATAGCAAGAAACATACAAATAAATGTGCAAATACGACCAATGATTCAGGATATGCTAAACCTAAGGACATGCTTTTTGTCTTTCCTTGGTTAACAACGTACAATAAATAAAAGTGTTAGAATATAACTTCGAAAGACCTAAATAAGGCATTTAGCTGCGACTTTGGTACGACTTCAGCTACGACATTGGGGCATTCCAAATGACTTGCCATAAAATACCGCAGAAGTGCCCACCATTAACATTTCCCAAACTTGGGAATTCTGAAAAATTATAGGTTAAGCACCAACCCCCTCCAGAGTACCAGCATCAGACGAAAATGTTCACACCGTTGTGGCAGCCACGAGACTGCCAGTAGCAATGACGGGGATATCATGTAAAAATAAATGTGCCTTCTCTATTTCCATTCACCCAGCCTTCAAAGCTCTTTAGTGGCCGCCATCTCGGTTTTTACCGATTTGACCGGATAAGTCCTTACGTCCTGAAATGTAGGCACGATTCACGTTTCCGTATGTCTTGCATTATGAAGTTTGTTTCGTCTCGAACTGCAATGATCAAGGAACGGTCTGCGAGTACAGCAGATTTGTAAAGGCACGCGAGTTTACAATGCTGCAACCTCACACGTTAATCACGTGTAGCTATATGATATTTATAATGAACATAACAGGCCCAATCTCTCGTGTTCTTGTCCATCTTTTTTTTAATGTAAAACATCATTTTGCTCCGTGTTCGGCATTTCGTGAAGCCCAAAAGTGACACCCAAATAAAAGCGTGGCCGTGAGGTTTCGACACCGATTGGTTGACGGGTGGGAGAGGAGGAGTGGGTTAAAAGGTTCTGGAAGAACACCAGGTTTATTATTTCAAGTGTACACATGCCACGCGTTAAATTATCCAATGAAGAGCGATATGAACGTAGGCATCTGACTGAAGAGGCTAGACATGCTGCTAGACAATATGATATAACGTTTGTGATGCTTGAATGTTCCATGCATGCAGTGCAATTGCCCACCAATTTGCCACACATATTTTTTTCTTGCGCCACACCCACATTGCAATGTAGTAGAATCCTGAGAGGTCAAAGGGCCACACCTGATTGTGGGGTCCCGGGAAACACATGCGGGCCTCGGAATCCACGCGTGCTCCGTGCTTGAGGAGAAGTTCCACAATTTCTTCGTTGCCCTGCAATGCGGCGATGTGGAGGGGAAGGCTGCACACTCCGCGATTGAGGTCACAGCCCCTTCCGAGGATCCAGCGCACTAGCTCGACGCAGTTGAAGCCAATGGCACGCTGGAGCAGGTTGTAGTTGTCTGGACCCATCACCGTCAGGATGTTCTCCCCCTGCGTGTCAACGACAGCGCAAGACCCGAGGGAAAAGCTAGAGTCGAGCAAATCGAATGCAAGAATCGGAAGTTTGTGCTCCAAAAGCTTGTCCTTTTTATAACGATTTCGCAGTTTTAAATTGATTTCGCCACCACATAAATATCAGGTACTACGGGAGCTCAAACAACCTTCTTCTTCTCGTAAGGCGTGCGTAACGATCAACCCAAAACAATCCTCGACAAGTGACTCACTTCTTCCAAACCCTACAAGTACTTCTCAAGCAGAAAATGACGAACGAGTGACCACCATCTTTTATTTCCTCGGGTGGAATGCATTTATATAGGGCAGAGTCTGGACAATGACGCCTAATGTCTTGTGGTCCAGCAAAAAAAAAAAAGCGTTGTCGTCACGTTTGCATTAACAGCATCACGCAGTGTCCTATCGAAACCAGCATAAAGGTGTAAGGCAGCAAATCTGACATTCTGTACAACCAGTTATATAGTGCTTGCAAAGCTTGACACATGTGGAGTGACACGAGCAGCCACAACCTCGTCCCTCACCGTCCTGTAGTCTGCTAGTACCGACAATTATCTCCGACATTTGTTAGATGACGCTCGTCGACGTAATTGAACAAATGCTTGAACAGTGCAAACTCTTTCGCCACACTTTGAGACACCATATCTAAATGTTCCACCTTTACTTTGAGTGCTGTGTGTGCTGATTAACAGCCGGGAAAAAAAAACATAACCGTAATCTCGGCTATTGCGCATTCTTCACCTTTCCATTTCTAACCCGAACAAGAGCTTTAATGGCAAAATAAATTTAAAAAAAAAAAAGCTAAACAGAGGGACACTGAGGACAATGCAACTTTTTCAACCCCATGTTTCGTGTTCCTTTCAATTGCTTACATATGGGGTTTCTTGCTTTCGGGATTTATTTTTCTTTTGGTTTTGCGAGAGTGTTTCTGGGGTTTACTTTTTTTCCCCGGATGCTGTGTTGTTCAGTGTAAATTTCCGGTGACAACAAAAAAATCTATGTTTATTACGTTGAGAAAAACAGGAGACGGGCATGGGATTCCCGAACCTTCAGGGAACGCTTGACCCGAATACTCGGAAAACAATAAGAGAAGGGAACGAGATAAAAGGTCCAGCTACCGAAGAAAAAAATCAGCTTCGCAGACAGTTCAGTGCATGCTGTTTCGGGTCAACACAAAATAAAGCTCTAGATAAAAAGATCCTTTGTGTAAATGTCGGGTGGGGTTTATCGGAGGTTAATTTTTTAGCGTTTATCTGCGTATACAGAAAACACTGAGCCGTATTGATATTTCAATGTGCTGTTCCAATCTGGTAAGGCATTTCACCAGCCTTGCACAAACAAATAATAATAATACTAATAGAGTCTGCAGAATTATTCTGCAGACGGACATGCGCTACGATGGGCACGGAGCATGAGCGGTGCTCTACGTGTGCAGAAGTACACCCACTGCGCGTGCGCCGTGCCCACCAATGCCGTACCTGTGCTGCTAGCGTGTATCACACACAGCCGAAACGAAACTGCAGTACCTTCGGAATCTGGACGATGAAGCTCTCGATGGCGGACCAGTGGATGTGCGTGCTTTCCCTGCTACGCATCTCGTCGAGCAACGCGAGCACCAACCTGCGCGTGGCATCCGACGTGCCCGACGAGAGCAGGTGGCCCCCCGTCTGGAAGAAGCTGCTGATGAGCGCACCCATCCTGCGGATCAGCCTCAGGGTACAGCAGCCCTGGGGCGGCGGTTCCCTGCGTCGTCGGCTCTCCAATGCTGCGTCCCCCGTACCCACCTCCGCGACTCACCACCACCCCACTGCACCACCGTGAACGCCCGCGCACGTTCACCGCGTTCACCACCTGAGAAGCATCGCCGTGCTACTCCGTTCTCCAGGTCAGCCGACACCACCGAGTCCGACGAAGTCGTCGCAGCCCCGAGCCAAGTTCGCACCACTTGAAGGTCTGTCGCGTGGTCGCATGGTTCGATCTTGTTTTCGAAAAACAAAATTCCCCCTTCCCCACCCCCTTCTTTCGCTGTGTTACTTTCTCCCCCCTCCTGCGGAAATGAGTTCGTGACGCACGAGCGTTGCCGCTGCTGAGGTCGCGCGGGCACGACCACAGCGACGAGCCACTTTCTGCGTCGCCGCTACTGTGTAGTCCGCCGGAGAAGCATGATCAGTCAGTAGCAGCGTAGCAGTCTCCGCTCTGCACAAACGAAACGTTCGCGCTGCTGCACCGCATGCGAGACGTACAACACAGATAGCGACGCACCCCCACTTGTTTTGACGCCGTTGCGACTCGTTTCTTTTTCTTTCGATTCGTTTTAGGGGGTCAGTGGTGGAGGAACCCGGACGTCGACACTCTTTCCGAGTCGACTGCAAACACACACCCCGACGCGATAAATATTCATGAATTGCGACAAAATATAATGCTGCGCATTCACCAGAAATGCGGACGAAGATCTGGTGCACGCGGAAACGTACCGTAAGCGTTTTCGGGCAAGAGTTTCTCACGAATAGAGGCTGGGAAATTCACGGCGGTACAAGGGGCACCAACTGGGAGCTATGTAAAAAAAATCATCCGTGATGGGCACAACGGGACCATCGTCCCTCCCCTCGGCGCGTTTTTGGGCTCTGCCGCTGACACGCTGACATTTACTAAATGTGCGCCAGTGGCGCCATCTGTCGCCTTGTCTGTTGTCTTTTTTTTTTTTTTTTTTTTTATGACGTCGTCTACTTATGAACAGCTAGATGCTGCATGCAATCTAGGGACGAGCCTGCCTAGACCACTGAGATCAGTCATTACACAGTGCCTCACCTATCGGCAAGTCTTCCAAGTTAAACCAACTTTCTATAATATTATTAAAAACTTAAATCTTAAATGATATTGCGGGTCACTTTGAGTTTGCATTTTTTCATACTTATGTTATATTTATTTTGATTCTAAACCTCCTAAATATTTGCAAGTCAGAACCGAAAGCACAAGTGAACGCGCTGGCCTAAGGATTTTTTTTTTTTCTAGCACGAACTTTTGCGTGTAGCCACATATTAACTTTATGCATAAACCTGAGCAGAGGCTCTGACCTGCGCAACCCAAGGAGGTTATTCTCCTTGGTGCAACCACTGTGCAACCAACGTGTGTGCGACTGGTGCGACTCAACGAGCTTTTGTGCGACTACAGTAATGTGCTAGATTTAGACAGCCTTGTCTGAGGTCTAACAACGTTGCGCCCCTCTCCGCAAGACAAACAACATGGAGGAGTACGCACGTGAACCTTGGTAAGGAATTAAAAACCTTCGAGTGCTCGTTTCGCGGACGATAATACCGCGGCTGACATTCGGTACCCCTAACCTTCGGCCTGCCTTTGGCCCCGTCAGAGTACGTCTACTGTGCGAGGCCTCGGTGCAGAAGTGCCCTTCGCTTTCATTCAGCGGTGATTGCGTCATATAGAGGTTTCGTGACCCCGAGCCGTTTATTCGCCGAATACGATTGGAGTTCCTCAAAAGGCCGATAAGAACGTAAACCATAATATGTTAAAATGACTACAGTCCAGCTAAGGTGGCTCTGTGTTCAGGACAAGTCTCGACAATTCTCTTGGCCAGGATCGGTCGTCGCCCGTGTTCCCAACCATACCCCGATAGGGCTATGGCTGCGAAAGTTTATAAATTTGTATTGTGTATTCGTTTTTAAGCGAAAAAACCCGAAAATAAGCAGTCTAGCCGTCGTAAAACGAAGAAACAGAGAGGGGAAAATTCTACGATCGTAGCATCTTGATAATCATCAACAATGTGTCACCACGCCTCCAAAATTGGTGATTCAATGAATAGTCGAAAACGTCATGAGGCATGATCTAGATCTATTAGCAACATATGGAGCAACACTCGAGGCTGCCAAATAACCGCTTACGATGTCTAAAAAAGAAAAAGGGAAGGGGTTTACATGGATTTTAGTAGGCAAGTATGCCATACCGTATAGGTCTAACCCTGCATGTATATTGAAATTGATTTGCACACGTGATGACTACGTTTTTACTTTTCGCACCCAGGTTTCAGCAACCATGGACAGTTCAGCGTCGGAACCAATGTACAGAGTGTCTCAAATGGCATCCAGGCCCTTTAAGTCGACCGCGAAAATTGGTTTAACCTTTTGCGCTACAATTTTGTGCAGCGTTGCCCACAGGTGGTGCTTTTTTTTTTTTTTTTATAAAATTTGCAAAGAGCAATTTTATCTGAGGAAAAAGTAAACAAAGAAAAAGCTTAACTCCTATGTAAATGCAGCGAAGCCACCGGTCTTCAAATAATAGGGCACTGTTTGGTACGGGAGACAAGAGATGGCGTAAGCGGTCGCGACGCCAACTGCCTCCAACGAAAGAGCATACGGCGCCAAGAGCCGGCGTCAAATAGCAGACAGTATTTTCTACTCAAAACCAACACAAGCTTTTTCGATGTTAGTTGCAAATGCAACATTTTATCATCTTTACCAGTGTTGCGGAGTTGCCACTCCAGAGTTGGAATGATTCCGGAATCATTCCGCACTTTCGCGACCCCGGAATGGAATGGGAATGGAATGGCGGCAACATTCAGGGGAATGGAATGGGAATGGAATTAGATGACTTTGGCCCGGAATGGAATGGGAATGGAATGGGCCAGGTTCTTTATATTTTATTTAATTAATTATTTTTTTACGTTCAGCTATACTGAGCCAGTCAGGGAGTCGGTTGTTCAGAAATAAAATGAGCGGGAAACTGCGAACCCGCATAAGGCCCTAACAGACTTATACGCAAGAAAAATGCAATACAAAAAACAAGCGTCAAAGCAAAGAACAAAGGGGGGATGGGGGGGGGGGGGGGGGGGAGCGGTGGCGCCTTTCACCGGTGAAGTTCAGCCCATATCTCTTTCTCGGAGAGCTCGTACCTGTGCCGGCCATCTCAGGTCGCAATCCAGGAGGTCTCTGTTTGAGTGATGCTAGGCGAAAGTTGAAGACTGCCATTCATGCGTTGGAGGCGGAGAGTCGGCAGGAAGGACCGTCACAACAGGGATGCCACCGTATAGATTTTTCAACCGTAACAGAAGATAAGACATGTGCTTCATGTGCTTCAACTTTTCTCGAAAATTTCAAATGCAGCTGCCTGCATGGTCTTCAACGAGGTCACCTACAACGAAAGTATGTGTTGTCCAGTGGCCTACCAACTTGTTTTGAGTGGGGGGGGGGGGGGGCAGCAAACCAAACCCTCCCCCCCCAAAGGCCGGGGGCGACGCCCTTGGTATCCCTTGGACGCCGCCAGCCAGTGTTTGCCCAGTGGCGGCTGTTTCAGGGGGGGCAAAACACATACCTTGCTCCCCGACTCTGAGAACTGGGGGGCAAGCGCCCCCCTTGCCCCCCCGGTTGGTACGCCCATGGTATTGCCCTTTCATACAGCAGCGTGGGTAAAGTTTCATGTTCAATGCAACACCTACAGATTCAAGAATACTAGTTCATCCCACCGTGACGTCATGTGATCAGTGCTGACAGGGGTGCCCTTATTGGACGAAGAAGTGGTGATGTTTTGATGGAATTTATTTAGAGGTCGAAGTCTTTTCACATCACTGGTCAGTCGGACGGGATGCCAGGGAAGGGACCGCGGTCAATCCTTGATAAAACGTTTTTTTAAACCCATTGAGTACTCTTCGTCCGGAACCACTACCTTCAAGGCGAAGTCCCAAGCCTGCGGGAAAGTAATTTTGGGGCAAAAAAAGTTTGCACTGCAAATTTTATAGAAAAAATGCACCACCTATGGGCAACGCTGCACAAAATCGTGGCGTGTTCGGTTAAGAAATAGATTTTTGCAGTAGATTTAAGGAGCCTGGCCGCTATTTGAGACACCCTGTATATAAAACTAGAGCGCCCAGCTTTGGAGTACACATCAATAATATATGACCGCCAGAGTGCATGCAAGGGCTGACCATCAGAGATTTTTTTTTTCACACAGTAGCCAAATCTTTTTCAGCTTTGTTGAGGAAGCTCAGTTATCGGTAAACTTGCACAACTGAAAATTTTTCTATTTTCTGCAATATTTTAAACACCTTAACTTCGCAAAGTTCCATAAATCCTGGGAGGTGGTCGCGAGGTTTTAATAAGGAATAATTATCTCACATTTATAAATATTCTTTTCATTCAAAAGCCACCGAAGATCGGAATGACTTGCCTTGGGTCGTTTTTATCGGCGCCTCCTCTGTAGAAGCATTTGAAGAAAAGTCGTCAGATATGTGTTCCGACTTGTCGTTGCGCTTTGCGAGAAAGTGCTTACAAACGTCAGTTTACCGTGGCAACGTATTGTTACCGTGTTTATTCTATGTATAACTTCCTTCCTCCTCTGCTTATCAAAAAGCTATTGTATCTCTCCCTGCAGACCTACAGAAATCGGCAATATTTGAAATTTAAAAAAGAAGTGTCTTTGATGTTTTTTGCGCAGCCCATGGAGAATAGTGGACGACTGCGGTGGAGCCTTCACGATGGGTGCCATCGGTGGTGCTGTGTTTCAAAGCATCAAGGGATTTAGGAATGCCCCTTCGGTGAGCAACTTACTCCCCTGCATTTATAGTTTCTGACAAGATGAAAACAGCTTCTTCCCACCTCCGATAGCGCTTTCGGCGTTTCGTGAGTCTTGCGCATCACGAAGCCAAAGCATGACGAATGGCAACCAGTGCGTGATTGAAATATGGACGATCTCGTTCTCGCCATGTTAGTGTTCATAACACTATTAGAACTGCCTGTTACCAGACCAGAGCCACTTTCAGAGCTAGGTTCTGTCGACAAGTCGGCTCTCCTCGCCTACCATCTAATGCCACCACAAATCGTCGAGTCACTGGTTTTAAACGTTGCCCAGCGCTTTCACAATGACAATAGTGGTTTTAACATTCAGCTGCCTCCTCTTCAACTTCCTCTTAAAGTAGTGAGTTTTTTGGGTTTTTTTTATGTGTACGCTGTAGCTTATTAAGCAGCACTCGTGACAGGGCCCATTGGCAGCAACAAGGTTAAAAGCCAGGCTAGTTGGTGGTATGCACCGTGTGATTGAACACAGAAGTTTAGCCAAGGGCAGTGGAAGAACACATCAGACACACATACTTCCCAAAGTCGAGTCAAGAGTCGATGCTTAGTCTGTCGTGTTCTCCTTTGATTCTTGTCTAAATTGTTGCACGGTTTATTCGTGCCCATTGGCAGGATTTCCCCATTTATGTCACGTTGACACTTGAAAGAACAAGGGGTGCATGTAGTTGTCTAGTTGGTTCACGGTGATTAGTGGAGATTTCGATGGACGAAATGTTGACAAGCTAACTCGCTTCTAGGGAGTCAATCGTCGTCTGCTGGGAAGCCTGGGTGCCATTAAAGAGAGGGCTCCAATCATAGGCGGTGAGTGTACTCCCTAATCCCTACCACTGCAACACTGCTTTGTCTCTGTCCTTCCAACGTCTTACTTTTCCTTAGTTTTTACTTGAATCGATCCTGCTTTAAAGCCAAAGCCGTCGGATGTGGCGACCATTGGAAGAGATGGTTCTTGTCCCTTTTAATTGTGATGGCTGTGGTGTCATCTGCAGGAAACTTTGCAGTTTGGGGAGGCTTGTTTTCGACGATAGACTGCACAATGGTGAAGATTCGCAAAAAGGAAGACCCCTGGAACTCCATCACCAGTGGTGCCCTCACGGGAGCCATCTTGGCAGTCCGAAGTAAGTGAGCTCTCGCGCGAAGGGGTTGTCTCTGTGAAAAGAGTTAGCTGACCTCATGAAAAATGTTCCAAGTTATATAGCTTCAAAGAGAAAAAAATTAACCAGTGTTATTTTGTACGTAGATATTGTAAAATAACAGATAGCTGATAATGGAATTGCAGAGTCTTAAGTTCTGTTTCAGCTAATGGTTGGCAAAATTAAAAGTAGAACTGATCAGACCATCTATTCAGTGCTGAATGGCACTTGTAGTGCCATCTGGAATTTTGTTTGGCAGAGCGCCAGTCAACTTTTCGTGGGGAGAGGGTAGAGGGTGCCCGGTCAGGATGGTGACGACCGATGATGGTGTTTGCCCGATGGAAGTCCCCCGGGAAGCGGAATAAGAAAAAAAACTAAAAGTTGTTCGATCCCGCTGGACACATTACGACGTGGTTGGTTTACGATGGCCAGTGTGGCCACGTTTATTTTCAAAACAAAATGACAACAAGTCAACAATAATTTACAGAACTCCCAAAATTAAAACCCATACTTTAGTCCCCCAGTCTCAAGAGCCGAATCTGCCTGATTTCAAAAGCTGAATCCACGAGAATCCTCTTGGCAGCCCTTTTATAGACTCGTAGGGGCCTTCTTTCCTTCCAGAGACGGGCCAATTACTTCAAATTTGCCCATTGTCACGTGGTACTCTCTTACCCAATGACCAGCGAGCTGTCAACGTGACCCCCCTCCGACACTTCAACGGTCAAACCCAAATTCTCTGTAGAGTAACCACATGCTTTCTCAGCCGTCTGGCTGGTGTCACTAAGTTAAGTTATTGCGTCGACTAAATGCAAAGTTTTCTACACTAAGCGGCGAAATACGTTGGACACAAGCACACCCGCTTAAAAGCCACAAGTGCGAACAGAAGCCCAAGACAGGGGTGTTCCGGGGCCCCAACTGAAACCCAATCCATTTGTTAACGACCGGGGTCCGACTCTTCTTTACTGAGCCCCGCGGCTGCTCGAAGCCCCCCGCGCTTGAGAGAACAAGACGACTCCCCTTTCACGCTCTCACCCCCTGCCGCGGGTCTGCGAGCAAACGCCCAAAAATGTGGACACAAACACAGGCAGATAAAAAAACAATGCCGACGGAACTGTAGAAAGATAGACTTTTCTAAAACAAATCTTACTTATTTCTAACAAAATCTTTCGTTACTTAACACAGACTCTTAAAACGGAGTTCAAACATCCGACTTCTATAAAAATTCCCTTTGAAAACTGCACCATAAACACAACAAACCAGCTTTGGACAGCATTTGTGATTTGAGGCGGACCATCTCAAATCATAAAGTCTGTCCAAAGTTGGTTTGTTGTGTTTATGGTGCAATTTTCAAAGGAACATTGCATTTCTTCATTTAAAAACAAAACTTTAGTGAAAAAAAAAAAAAAAAAACATTTTTAAACTCTTTGTTTTAAGAGATGTGGTGTAAATGGTACAGTGCTCACCAGACTTATGCAGAACATACAAACTTCTTTATCTCGCAGAAGCGCTAGCTCCCCTGCTTGGCTGTTTCAATGAGTGCTGCGTCAATGAGTGCTGCATCATAGAGCGGTTCTTTGGCAGCTGCCACCGTAGCATTACCATGAGATAAGACACTGTTTGGGTGTTTTGTATAGACCTTTTCTGCAAGTGCGCCGCCATCTTGAATTGACGTCACTTCCAGTATGGGCGAAAACATTGTTTTGCCTTTGCCACGCCAATAGAAGGCATTTAGATTATAAGCGTAACCGTCACACTTTCTCGTTTTGCCTCCCCTTTATTTTTTTACTATTTGCAGGTTGAAACGTTGGATTATTTTTTCGTCGCCCATACCGGATACGTTTATTAGGTGGCTGGGGACGAGAGTATACATAAAAGGTCTATGTGTTTGGGGAGCACCATACGTACCAGCCAAGATGCAAAGTCGAAGGCAGTCGGGAGCCAAGCGCCTTCCATTCCAACTGCCCGTGTTTGTTGGCATTGTGTTGTTTCTGGTGCTTAATGTTCTCGTTTCTTCCCTGTTATGTTATGCCTTGGTTTATTTTACCGGTTCGTTGCATCCCCTTTTTGGTACTTACGCTGTTCCTCTGTTCCCGGCAGATGGCACCGGCGCAATGGTGGGATCGGCAGTCATAGGTGAGGCCATCTTCCGGGGTCGAGGAAAGGTGTTTAGGGCATTCAGGCTCACGTGCGGTGATGTCTTCTGTCTGCAGGTGGTGTCCTCCTGGCCCTGATTGAAGGCGTGGGCATTCTCTTCACTCGTTTTTCGGCCGAACAGTTCAAGCCAGGTCAGGCTTCCTTTGTCACCATTGCTAGAGCGTTCTAGAAGGGGGATTGTTGCGAGGCCACATATACAAGGCAAAAAAATGGCGCTGCTGTCACCGACTCGCCTGCAGGTTTCATTGTATCATTGCGACGATGCATTTTCGAGCATTAAGCGTCCCAATAAGCAAATGGACAAAACAGCATTGAGCAACGATAATCTAGTGCATACTCATTGAGCATAGAAAATGCCGAACAAGTACCCTGGTGTGAAGATTTAGGAACAGCCCTTCACGAAAATATTTATGTATATACTGTGAAGAAGACTTGAATTTCAGCAATTGCTTACGTTGCAAGCGACATTGTCGACAGATTGTTTCTACTCCACCTTTGGGAATCAAATTTCATCAAAAACTGGAAGTGATCTCCAGGTCTTTTGTCCTTATTGTATAGGCATGCGTTTAAACCTGAGATCGACGGAGAGGCCTACTGACTTGGCTATCGGGGCTGTACCGGTCAGCCAAACTTCTTTACTGGCACTTGCACACGCTCGCACGAGGATGCCGGTTTTGCTAGGACGCTGACATATGCACTAATTGCTCGTTTTTGTGTCGGAAGTGCGCAGGCAAAGTTAGTTGGAGTGCACATGAGTAGCGATTTCGTTGCTATTCTTACTTCCGGAAACAGGGAGCGTAGCGGAACAGGGATAGAAATTCTAAACTGTTGTTTCGTTTCCTTTACAGTAAATCCACAAATGGAAGACCCCTCGCAGTTAGGAGCAGCGCCTTTTCCTGGGGGACCACAATACCAATAGTTAGGTAGGAATGCTCCAATCTGCAGCGAAGAACTGCGACGAACAAGGACCACGCTTGTGCGGACATGGGTCCTCGGAATCGCAGCTGCTGCTGCTGCCATCATCTTCTCGTAGAAAATGGAACATTGCATGGGTTCACGTGCATACTTTCAGCTCCCACCGTGAAGTGTCCACGATACCAACCAAACGGAATAAAACTATTGTTCATAGCGTGTGAAACAAGATATGATGCCGACCTGACGGCATGACTCGTGTACAATTTGTATTAATTTGCTGTGGCTTGGTACTTTGGAGCATTCTCTGAATTGTGAAGGCCCGTTCACACACTTGCGTTTGTTTAGGACCGAGTACTTGGGATCTCTTGCAACAACAGTATGGTCCTTAGATGAGAGAGAGCATGCTGGCACCATTTCTGAGGGTACCCTGAAACTGCATTTCACTAGAGCGAAGGTTTTGCAGTGTGCAAGATCAAATGTGCATACTCTCTAAGAAATGGTTGTTCATAACATTGTCAAAAGAAAGTGATGCATAAAGAATAGACGATGTCAGTGTTTTATCGTACGAGATTTTAAGACTCGCGGTCGGAAGCAGTCAAAAGTGTGAACGAGCCTTGATTGTTGCTGAAGAAAAATTGTATTGATTCTAAAATAATTTATTTTTGAAAAAGAAAAAAAGATGTGTTTTGAGTAGTGACAGGTGGTCGTATTGCGACGACGTCACTACGCGGAAACCAGAGAGTTTGCGGCGATGATTTAAAGTGACACTGACACCCCCAAAAATGCGTTGTTGTTTTTGTTTTGTTTTTTGCCAGGCGATTTAATTAATTTCTCGCTACAGCGACATGTGTTGATAAAGTCAGAAAACGCAACTGATTGAAACGGGAACTGGACTTGGGAGAAAAAAAAAAAATATCACGTAACTAGGCAACTTCTTTTTTTTTCCTTCAATCAACTTAAGTGAAGTTTTTGAGAAGCCACAAAAAATGGGTATTATATTTTTTTTGTTCATTTCTAGTATTGAGTGTGTGCCGAAGAGGACCCACGACTTCGATTATCTTTGGTGGTTGTGTCTAAACCATAGAAAACGGCACGTGACCACAGAGAACGGAGTGAGCGCGACTCAAACCGACCAGTTCTCGATCGGCGGTTTTCGGGCGAAAAGAAAACGAATTTCGACCGGCAATTCGTGTTCCGAGTAGTTGGGCTCTCGTATCTCATGTACAAACAGAGACCTTGGCGAGCATAAATACCCTTTCAGTGCCCCTTTAAACGGCGAAAAGCGAACTAATCCCATGCAAGGTATTTTTGACTTGCTGAACCATCAGCACTATTGGTGAAAAGAACAGCTAGAAATATGTATTCTAACTTTAATCGGAATATATTTGTGGGTCATCATGTGGGTTCAAAGCGAAGCATATGAGCCGAGACAGTCAAGTACAGAATTCTACAATTATTAAAAAATTTTCCCTCTGAGAAGTCGTTCAACGATGGTCTTACATTTATATACATTTCTATGTACCCTTTTCCTTGGGATCGTGGTTGTTTTTCTGCGTGGTGTCCTTGGAATCCTTAATCCTTTATGATCTTCATTTGCGCATCCATTTGCAACCTTCCTAAAACAAAATTACCAAAAAACGAAAAGATTTTTTTTTTTTTTTTTTTTTTGCAAAAATAAATTGGCTGAATGCTCATTCTCCGCCCAAATGTAGCGCGAGCGGTCCGAACCAGTTGTCCAAGTTCCGGGGCTTGCCCTTATCTGGTCAGAAGGTTTGTACGCGATTTCCGGATAATTTTTAATGGCAAAACAGTGGCCAACGAAGTTCGCGAATACGTGGAGCTGATTAGCGTCAACAGCCAGAAACGGGGCCCATTTTCCCGTTGAAATTTTCTGAAAATTTCAACGGGAAACTTCCGAATAAGATACCGAGTAGTTTTGCATGCTAGCGCCACATTAGGGCGGAGAATGAGCGACCATGCAGTTTATTTTTATATTTTTTTTACGGTAAAAAGAAATTAATAAAACTTTCATGAGTAATATAAATACTAAAAATAAAAAATAAAAGCTTACATTTGGGGCTGTTCGAATGCTGGCAGAATATGTGCCATTTAAATTTAAATAAGCAATTTTGTTGTGTCAATGTATACAAAACTCCGGCAAATTCAAATTTGCAAAAACTACTCAGAGTACCAAAAAAAAGGTAATTTTGGTTTGTGTTTAGGCTTAGGGACCCATTTAGGAAAATTCATATAGTTCGGAATTATCAGGTCATTCATTATATTTGAGTAATTAACCTCTTTGGTTATGAATTTAAAGGCATGGTTTCAACTCGAAACTTGCTGGGCATCATCGAAAACCACAAAAATCAACCAATTCCAGGATTATGTGTAAGGTTCGTGCACCATTTTACGACTTACCGAAAAAACGCTCAATTGGGTCGCGTTTCTAGGTTTCGGTTTCCTCTCGGAGCGCGTCTACGCGCCGGCGGGGACTCGCTCCCTGATCGCTTTCTACCCCCGTTCCCGTGGCCGAGGCGCGGAAAGCACACGTGCACCACACTTGCTTCCCTCCTACGAGTGGAGGCAAAGCAGTACCGTCGGCGCAAAAATGCGTCCCGATAGGGAACCGAAACTTAGGAATGCGTCCATGAGCCTTACATTTTTCTGGAATTGGTTGATTTAATGGTTTTCAATGATGTCCAGCAAGTTCCTAAGTTAATTGCTTAAATGAATAAATGACTTAATTATTTGGATGACATGTTGTTTTGTCCGTTGTTTTCATCATTCCGTGTCGACGGTTAGCATAAAAAAAAAAACAAAAAAAAACACAAACATTAAAAAAAAATTATCTTTTTTTTCTGTGCGATCCGTAGTTATTGCAAAATAAAATTTGTCGGAGTTTCGTGGAACACCTCGTGTAATTATTCGATTCGGCCTTCGTATTGAACGGTGACATTGGGGAGCGCAAGTTCGTCTGCTGCGACGACCCCAAGGCATCTAGCACTGAGCTCTACCCCCTATTCTTTCAGATAAAGCCAATCAGAGTTCGGAATCGTCCTGACGTCACCGCAACCCTCGCGCAAGAAGCAGACGACTTGCTCTCCGCATACTCTAGGCAGCCTCACACCTTTTCATTGTTCGAGGTATTGGCGACTCCAGCGAAATGGACGGCACCATAGCGGCTAGAACGGGAAGCTGTGGCGGCGGGTTCGCTCACCGAGCCTTCTCGAGCGAATCAGGTCTTCACAGCGTCTGGCGATCTAAAGACGAAGCCGCGAAAGTAGGTTTGCAAACGCGCGATCGAAATCGCCTCCGTTGAGTGCGCTTCTCCTTGAGCGTCGGTGCACTACGGAAAAACGACACCCGCAAAGCAGACACCGCGATCTTGTGTGCCTCGCTTCGCCGCACAAGTACAATCGCGCCACTGGGAGAAAAGCACCCGGTCACCGCGAGATACGGTGCACGCGCGCGCGCGCGCGTTGGAACTCGGTAAATTTTATGACGACTTTATTTTGCAGCCATTTTAAGTATATTTAACATTATAAAATAAACCTAACATTATGAGTTGACGGCCTAGCTGGTTAAACATATCGAACACAGCTTCTTTCGCGCTTGTTCTGTCCACTCTTCTACTTGTCCCAACTAAGAACTCGGGGAGGGGTCTATTTCTTTTTTTCCCGTAGATTCGGTGTTTTTCGGTTTGAAACTTTCGGTTTCGGACAAACAAAAAACATCGGTATTTATTGAATGGGACAAAGCTGAAGAAAGCGAGGCACGGGCATGAAATTCCCCAACCTTGCGAGAAGACATAAGCGAGTGACCAGTCTTGTACATGTTACTCGAAAAAAAGAAAAAGGAATCGATTACAAGATTACTTGATTACTGCCGGTTTGGAAACGTACTCTTCATTATTGGGTTAGAATATCCAAATTATGAACTGCTTAACTTCTTAATCCACCAATTTTGGTAAAGCATCTTCTGTTGGAGTTCTGGTTCGAAAGATTCCTGGGTAAGGAAACTTGTACAAACAAACGGCGCGTTTAAGAAGCGGAGGGGAAAAAAAGAAACGGTTACGAGTAACTTTAGTACTTCCAAAAGTAATCAGATTAGTGCTGTGATTACTTCCTAGTCAGTGAAATCAAATGATCGTAAAATTGCTTCAAAAAGTAAACGATTACAAGTAATTTGATTACCTGCAATGGGGGTACGTCCCAGTCTTCGGCCGAATAATACGGAGTTTTCGTAGATCGCTTCCGCGGTCCCGCAACGCTCTCCGCAACTCGCTACGAGATCGGAGTTTCTTCAGTCAAGGCTAGCTAGCTGCACGCAGACGCAGTATTGCGGATGGTTTGAGGGCGGAAAGCGGCCTATAATAGGGAGTTTTCCCTATAAGGCCGCGTTTTCCCCTCCGTTGAGCCCTCCGCTACGAACAAGCCTGTACTGCGCCTGCGAGCCGATGACCTTGACTGTAGAATTCTTGGTATCGCAGCGAGTTGCGGAGAGCGTTGCAGGACGGCGGGAGCGACCTACGAAAACTCCCTAATACGAAAATGTTCCGGTGCCATCGAAAGAAGGGAACGGGTAAGGTCGGGCGTAATTCTCGAAGAAGTAACCTCGCTGACAGTTCGGTGGAGACTGTGATCCCAGTCTACACAGAATGAAGCTAGAGAAAAGGATTTTCGTCCCGTGAAGCTCGACTTTTTCGCTGATCGGTATATACCGAAAACACGGATTGGGTGGTTGCGCAGGAGTAGGGAATCATAGCGGAACACATGAAAACAAAAAAAAAACCTGCTCAAAAAGATTTTTTTTTTTTTTTGCTGCTTTGAATAGTGTTTTTTTTAAATTACTCGGGTCCTTTAATGTGTGCCGCTGCATATGGTTACACAGCGACGCTGTGGTCATTGACATCGTTGCTGGGGTAAAAGTGTTTTCGTTAGATGTACTTAAAAAGTATAAAGTGCCGAAAAAAAAAAAAACGGGACCGAACGAAGTAAAACAACGTGCACCTCGTGTTCATACTTCGTCTTCCTATTTGTTGTTTTCGGTGCTTTGGGTGTCTCCTTACTGAAGTCGAATGCAAATAGCCTGCCCATAAAACAAAATTGCTCATCTACAGTGTAAAAGAGTGTCGCCTCATCCTGGCAGACCGACCTTACGCTGTATAATCACGAAACGTCCAATTTGACGTTTTTTGTTTTTTTTTTGAGAACGGTGGGGGCGTGTCT